AGTCAACTCTTGCATTATTGTTGGCAAGAACGTCTCTTTGAAGTAATATGTTGATGGCGGTTTATAATTGAGCTTCCCAAGAAACTCAACGAATGCGTCATGTCGGAGAGTGTTCATTGGGTGATTGGCGAATACCAAGTATCTGCAACAGTAGTAATCAGCTTCCCTGATATCTACTTTGTTGTAGGTAGCGCGGGCTTTCTTGCAACGTTCTGAATCGAGATGACGAAGTATGTGTTGGCTTGTATCGCCTTTTAAAGGCTCGCTACAGAAAATACAGTTGAATGGTTTGTCTGTGTCAGTGCTATTCTCTCCTGTTGCTTTGACGAGAAACACTTTTAAGCAACTTGATCACTTCCCAACCATTGCATATCGGGTAACTGTCGTAGGCATTCCTAATGTTTATATCATTCATATTGTTGACTCTTATACTATTTTTTGGTATATTTATTAATACAGTAAATATTCATTTATCTCTATAAAGTTACTAATCTGTTGAAAATACATCACAAACATCCTCTATCTCTCTTAGATTGCCAAATAGACCCACCCCAACTGGGGTTGAGAGAGGTTAATTCAGGTTTGACTGACTCACCCGGATCGGCGAGCACCAATCAGAGTAGTTGGGAACATGTTCATTCTCAGATATATTAGTCTCGAGCGACACGGTAAGCGAGTGACTGAATACTATTCAAAGGGTCTGATCCCTCACAATCCAATAACATCCCCAAGTGTACATACCCTTACCTTTACCCTCCCCTAGCCCTTACTTTGATTGAACAGACTGATTTTTGTTTGGTTGGTTGCCCAGGTCTCGCGTCCAAGCCACACTCCCAAGAGTTGGGAGTGGGCGAGGAGACCTGGAAGGCAATATGAAATGAGTGATTTATTGAGTTAGAGACGGTCGAGGTACTCAGTGAGGGGCGGTACATCAACAGGAAGTCCTTTTCTGGCTCTGATCTCCCTGACGATTCTGTAGGCATCAGTCTTGGGATCGAGTGGATCTTGGTCGAGCAGTGCCCAGTGATCAAAGGTCATCTGAAGGAAGGCTTGGCCACTGGTCTCGGTCTTGAGCAGGTTGAGGAAGCCGAATGATTGGGCGACAGGCAGATGGGCACGGATGACATAGATGCCATTCATGCCAGACTTCTCCTCGGCAGAGACCAGGAGACCGCGACGGGAGGCAATGCAACGGTTGACAACGCTCATCATCCTGTTGGGCACGACTACTTCAGCCAGGTACATGGGCTCGACAAGACGAGGTGCACCACAGAGCTGGGCGGCGTAGAAGGCACGACGAGCGGCGGGTGTCAGTTGGCCGGCACGACGATGGGCACCATCGGCAATGAGTGTGACATCCATCAGACTGAAGTGGACGCCTCTTAGTTCCTCGCCACAGAGCACACCGGTGGATGTGGCTTCGCCAAATCCGTCGACGATCAGATCGCGAGCTTCGTTGAGGTACTGCGCGCCAGTGGTTTGGTTGACAAAGACGTTGGCACCATTGCCATCTGGACCGAACGCCCAGATGGAACGGGTGTCGGCGGGAGCCCAGTCGTATTGAGCAAACTGTTGGACACGGTGGGGGATGTCGTTCGACATTGGATCAATGGTCTTGGAGTCAATGTCGTTGGCCAGAGTTGGGTTGAGTGGGGCACACTTGATGTAGAGTCTGTTGTGCTTGTTGGCACTCTTGGATAGGCAGACCTGGGACTCGAATGTGACAGTCTCGCGGTAGCTGACCACGGGCTGCGAGGAGATGATCTCGCATCCAGCGATCTCTTGGAGGTCCTTGAGACAGATCTCGAGCTGGAGCTCGCCGACGGCGGCGATGACATTCTCCGAACCTGACTTGAAGTGCTGGATGGCTGGGTCAGTCTTGATCAGACGCTTGATGCCCTCGATGAGTCTGGGCAGCTGAGATGCGTCCTTGGGGAAGACGGCCACACGAACAACTGGTGACACAGAGAACTTCATTGGAGCAATGGAGTGCGCCACAGCTGAGGTGGTGAGAGTACCAGTCTTGACGAGGTAAGAGTCAATGCCAGTGAATCCAATGATGTTGCCAGCAGGGCAGGCTTCGACGGTGTCCTGACGACGACCCATCATAAGCACGACATTGGTGATACGCTTGCTGGAGACCAGAGTGGGCTTGGTGACTGGGTCGTACTCGGGTTGCAGGATGCGGATGGTCATGCCTGGAGTGACTGTGCCAGAGAACACACGACCAAAGGCAATGAAGTGACCACTGGAGTTGGGTATCATCTTGCTGATGTAGACCATGACCGGTCCGTCTGGGTTACACTCGGCCATCGCGACACCACATTCGTCATCCTGGGGGCCAGTGTAGAGCTGCTCAGCTCGGTAGCGCTGAGCGACAACAGGAGATGGAAGGTGTTGCACGACCATCGTGAGGATGCACTCATCAGCGGGGAGGAACTTCTTCATGATGGCTCGGATCAGGTCACGACCAGTGAGCTCCATCTCGTTGGATGGGAGAGTGATGTTGAGCACCTTGAGCTTGGCGTCCACCTTGGCACGGTCGCCATCGTTGACGGCAACGATCAGATCGCGCAGAGGTGTGTAGATGAACTTGCAGAAACCACGCTCGAGGGTTCGGCCATCTTCAGAAACGGGATTGTCGCTCCACTTCTTGGTGACAGAGTCGTAAAAGCGATCGCCCCACAAGTTGTTGATCATCTTGGTGCGAGACACTCCGTGGGCGGCCTCGTAGATGCGTGCCCATGCTTCGATTGTGAATCCCCAACCCTGGTAACCACTGCCGAATCCGACATTACCCGCTTGGGGCTGGAGGTAGACACACGATGGAGAGCCCTCAGCAACCTGGACGAGCGCGTTGACGCTCTCGATGGTGCTGCGCAGCTTGATGTACGCGTCCTCCGGCTCCATCTTGAGCTCCAAAAACAGACGGTCCATCTTGTTGACAAACAGGATGGGCACGACACTCTCAAGGATGGCCTGGCGAAGCACGGACTCGGTCTGGACGCAGACGCCCTCGACCGTGTCGACGACGACCAAGGCGCCGTCGGTGACACGGAGGGCGGCAGTGACCTCACTGGAGAAGTCGACGTGGCCTGGCGAATCGATCAAGTTGATCAAAAACTGCGAGCTCGATGAGTTGGCTGGCAGCTCCACCCCGGCGGCCACCTGGAATTGCAGGGAGACGCTGGATGCTTTGATCGTGATGCCTCGGGCGATCTCGTCCTCACGGGTGTCCATGTAGCGGGTATCGCCAGACTTGTACTCTGGAATAATACCGGCACGGGAGATCAGAGAATCCGTGAGTGTGGTCTTTCCATGGTCCACATGGGCAATGACCGACATATTACGAATGTTATGTCTCTCCTTCATGGCAGAGCTGATTTGATCGACACTGACTTTGACCATCTGGATTGATTGTGTGAGGGTGTGTGTGAGGGCAAGGGTTAGGGTCGAGGGTTAAGGGTTGACGAGGGCAAGGGCGAGGGTTAGGGTGAGGGTTGAGGGCGAGGGTACGAACTTACCTTTGATAGTTGTTGTTGTTGGAGTTAAAGAATAAAGGGGATAATGATAGGATTATAGGTAGTTTAGGTTACTGATTAATAGCTGAGGATTATAATGTGTATCTTTGGGTAGATCTACATGGAGTTGACCTTTACGGAGATAATACACAAGGTTATATTATTATTATTTGTAGTTGCTTATACAAGTAGGGGAATACACTTTGATTGGTATGAATTATATTAATCAGTCATGACTGATATTTATTTTGATTGCATGAATGTCATCTTGATCAAAGTTTGGAAATTTGGTAATCTCAAAACTTCATCATTCGCACCTTATTCTCAAAACGAAGGAGATAATTGCGAACTCTACACTTCTCAAACAGTTGGTAATTATTGATGGTCACCAATGTCGATCAGAGTTGGGAACACATCCATTCTCAGATATACTATTATTCAGGCTTCTGTTCTCGAGAACATGATCACTTTTGAGAAGATCATCCTTCTCAAACATGGTCTGACGAAGACCCAGCGTTGACTTGAACATTTGATGTCACAAATCATCATCTAACACTACGTAGTAATGATCAAATGACACAAGTTGTAGTAGTACTACTACTTTATCCAAAGATTATTGTTGGTCCAACATGATTGATTGAATGACAGGAAGTTCAAGAAAGTAGAGTTGCAAAATGACTTTGGTGAAGTTGAATGAATGAATGATTGAATAGTTATTGCTAGATAGAGTCATACATATACATATACAATATATACATAATGAGTAATACTAATGACTTTGACTTTGGTGACTTCGAAGTACATAGTACATCATCTCAGCAGCAACAACATCAAGGTCAAGATCAACAACAAGGACAACTACAACATATAACATTTGATGACTTTGGTGACTTTGCTGCACCTACCAACATATCAACATCAACTGCAGCAGCAGCAGCAGCAGTACCTGTGCAACAACAGATAACGTTTGAAGACTTTGGTGACTTTGAATCAACAACATCCCCATCATCAAATACATTAGATGACCTCATCACATCGACTCCCATTAATAATAATAATGATCCGATACAGCAACAACAACCACAACAACAACTACAGACACAGCAACTTAAACGAGTATTCGATGACTTTGGTGACTTTGAATCAACACCTCCATTGCAATCGACCAACAATGTGATCAACAATCAGATAAGATTCGATGACTTTAGCTCACTCACAGATGATAATGATGATGACAACACCTTCTCCTCATTCACTGAACCTCCACCAATACCTGCACTTGATGATGATGTACCTGAGCCTGAGCAAGAGCATGAGCCTGAGCCTGAACCTCACACTCCCGCTACTCAGCCACCCACCATCATCGAGGCACAGGAAGAACATGATGTACCAGTGCCAAGCCAACAACTGGGGAAGGTCATGTTTGATGACTTTGCCGACTTCCAATCTACGCCGCCACTTCAATCAACAAACAACACCATCAACAATGAGATACGATTCGACAACTTCTCCGACATCTCCGACAACTTCACAAACAACATATCATCACAACCTGAGTCTTCACCTTCTCCTCCTCCTCCTTCCAACCAGACAGAGCAACAACAACAACAACAGCCTTCATTCGATGACTTTAGCGACTTCTCATTCACTCCAGCTGTCATCACACAACAGATACCAGCATCGGTGACCGACCATTCAGGCAACACAAACCCAATCAACAATGGAAATGACGACTTTGACAGTCTTCTCTCGTTCTCAACAGTTCCTGTCATTCCTGTTGTTGCCTCCAGTGACAGCCCGCCTGCGACTGCGCCTGCGACGACACAATTTGATGAGTTTGACTTCTCCTCATTCACTCCAGTCACAGCCCCAGTCCCAGTCCCAGTCCCAGTACATTCGAATACGGTTGATGATGACTTTGATCAATTCTCATCCTTCTCAAGTTCATCCGTCACTGCCCCTGTCACTATCCCTGTCCCTGTCCCGACTACTCCATCACCACCTACTACCAATCAATCGGTCGTCAGCAACAACACACTTGATGATGCCTTTGATGACTTTGGAGACTTTGAAACTACGCCACCATTGCAATCGACCAACAATGTGATCAACCAACAGATACGCTTCGATAACTTTGAACTCAACGATCCTTCCTCATTGGGCCAAGACACAAAGAATGATTCATCATTCGACGATTTCGATCAGTTCACTTCATCCTCAGTACCACCTCCATTGTCCGACTCTGAAGAGGATCAGGTGAGTGAGACTGTAGTCTCCCCCGTTGTGGCCTCACCCGCAGCCACTTTACCTGTTACTGCTGAGGCAGAGACTGAGGCCAAAGTGGAGCAAGAGGAGGAGCAGGTTGAGCAGCCAAGCTTGGAACAGGATGACGATGACATGTTCGACTTTGATGAGCCACAACAACTATCACTATCAGACATTCAACAACTGACTGCTGCCTCTATCGTCCACGATCAATCGACGAATCAAACAAATGATGCCGCCTCAATCATCCCATCAATTGACAATGATGACAACAACGACAAACCCACAAACATGGACCAGCATGACACACTCAATCTCAATATCCATCCCAATCCCTTGGCCGACTCATTGAATGAGATTGCCAGTCCACGCCTGCATGATGACAAGTTCGTCCACTTTAACGATGCCAATGATCTTATAATAGAGACCACTGCCTCGGGATCAGAGTCCACTGGTGGCATGGATGTGCTTAATGAGAAGCCACACTCTGCTCAGCTCACATTGGACGACACGCCCTCTTTGGACAATGATGGAGACGACTCCAATGACAACCTGGGAGTCAATATATCAATCATCACACCACTCACTCCACCAATGATACGCGCACGTACACCAACATCTGCGATGGAGGTCATTGATGCTGGATTCAAATCATTGGCACATGATGACGACGATGATGATGACAAGCAGGATGAGTTTGACGACTTTGGTGACTTTGGCGATTTCAAACAACCTCCAACAATGTCGACTTCCACTGCCGCTGCCACTAGCGTTAGCGTCAACAACGATGATGAAGATGATGGCTTTGGTACATTCAATACAACAGCTGCTGCGGATGATGACGATGACTTTGGCGACTTTGGTGACTTTGGCGACTTCAAGCAGCCACCAACAACAGCCCTGTCCACCTCAACTTCCCAGATGCCCAAGTTTGAACCAATTCCTGTCTCCGCCCCTGCCCCTACCTCTGCTTTTAAAGTGTGTATTACCTTCATTCATTCACTCGTTCATTCATCAATCATCACCTAATTCATTCGATCAATCATAGGATGCCATTCAAGCCCCAATCAAACAGACTAGTTATGATCATATTAAGGAGAATGTTATCAAGATATTCTCGCATCACACTTGCTTCACAAAGTTGGCTCCGCCATCAACTACTACAAGTCCAAAGTCCAGTCCCAAGCCAAGTGAAGTGGTGGAGTCCGACTCTCCATCACAGGAAGAGGTCCTCGCTGAGGAGGGACAAGTATCCCCAGCAAAGGCAGAGCCAGCAACTGATTCCCCAAAGAAGGAGAGCACTCTGGATGACATCCTAAAGTCAAGCACTCACATTGAGAAGTAAGTGCATCACCTTACACATACTCTCCCACTCACTCACTCACTCACTCGCTTCGCTCAATCAATCCTAGGACACTATACCACATCCCTGAGCAGTCTGGCTTTGTTGCTCCACTTGCTCCATTCGATTTAAAGACATCATCGATTGAGAGTTACTTTATCCAATCATTAAGACTTGCACCTGGATGTCTGGACATAGTATGTATTCACATGCCTGCATGATGCATTAAAGAATGTTCATGGATGACTAACTAACACTTGTCAATGTAGATAAATAAGATTGAGAGAGAGAACAGTAGTCAACCATTGCAACCAATGTCATCGAGCAATAGTATGACACCAACTACCACTCAACCAATAACACCAGTGATCACAACATTTGACTTTATGGATGGCAGTGATACATCAACATCTTCAACTCCACCACAACCAATAAGGAGTAGCGGCGGCGGTGGCTTTGACCTGTCCGGCAGTGCCGCCCGCATCTCCAACGCATCACAACTCAATCAAGTCCTCTCCAAGATACCAGACCTCTCATTCATGCTCTCCACACACTGCGAATTCCAAGCCACCCATAAACATCAGTGAGTAATCACTAGATTAATAATAATAATAATAAACATTGTATAAGTAAGGTAATAAATAATCATTGATTGGAATCATTCCATCTCCACCCCACTCACCACTACTTGAAGTTCAATCAGTTCACCCACACACAACTTCAATTACACACTCTTTCATGTCGTCTACCTTGATGAACATGTGTGTGATCAGTGTTTAATTAATGTTTGTTCACACATTCATTCATTCATCATTCAATCATTTGATCACTCATACATAGATATATACAACATCATCATCTATAACAATATAAATATATAATGGCACAAGATAGAAGCAAAGTATTGTTCGTCATGGTTGATGGACTGGCTGATGTGTCCATTCCCAAGTTCAACAGAAACACTCCACTTCAAAGAGCAGTCCTCCCAGCAATGGACTCAATTGCCAGTATGTGTTATTGTTGTCAACATCCATAACTCGCTCACTCAATCAATCATACTCACTCAATCATTCAATCAATCAATCAATCACATTAATCAGACTCCGGCATCAACGGTGCTATGGACCCAGTTGAACCTGGCTACTCATGTGGCAGTGACACTGCACATCTATCAATCTTTGGCTACGACCCAAGATTGTACTATAGAGGTAGAGGTGCATTTGAAGTGATGGGCGCAGGACTAGACATGATCCCAGGCGACATTGCATTCAAGTCCAAACTTTGCCACCCTTGACAAGGGAGAATGCAATCGTCATCTCTAGAAGAGCCGACAGGAACTTTGAACATCTCGGTCCAACCCTCTGTGAAGCACTCACAGGAGTGTATGTATCTATCTTCTCTGTCGCCGCGAGTGGCGAATGAGTAGCCGTGTAGCGAATGTGTAGCGGGACAAGTATACTGACCTCCCCCCCCCCCACAACAAACAGCAAACTACCATCCTTCCCAGACTATCAGGTCGACATCAAGTATGCCACTGAGCATAGATGCGGTGTGAGAGTCAGAGGACCAGGACTCACCGATGCAATATCAAACACTGATCCGCTCAAGGACAACTTGCCCCTGCTTCACGCAATGGCACTGAACGACAGCAAAGAGGCAGAGTTCACAGCTCGTCTGGTAAATGAGCTCTCGGACAAGATCCGCGAGGTGCTTGAGCACCACCCAATCAACGTCGAGCGCGCTGAACAGAACCTCCCACAGGCCAACGTCGTGCTGCTGCGCGGCTGTGGCGTGCGCGCACAGGTGCCCACGTTTGCCGAGAAGTATAACATGAAGTCGTTCATGATCGCACCCACCTGCATCATCGCCGGTCTGGGCATGTCGATCGGCATCGAGATTGTCAAGGCGCCTGGCGGCACTGGCGACTACCACACCGACTTTGAGTCCAAGGGCAACGTGGCCGTCGACACCCTGGCCAACGGCGACTACGACTTTGGCTTCTTGCACATCAAGGCTGTCGACGACGCCGGACATGACAAGGACCCCGACCTCAAGATCACCCTGCTCGAGAAGGTGGACGCCATGCTGAAGAACATCATCGAGCGTCTGGCCGCGGCAGAGCGCGAAGGCAAGGGCAAGTTCTCAATCTGTCTGACAGGCGACCACACCACTCCCGTGCTCAGCGGCGACCACTCCTTTGAGCCAGTACCGTTCACCATCAGCAAGCCAGTGCTAGCCGAAGCTTCGCTCAATAGCACCAGCAAGGAGGATGCCAAGATTGATCACTGGACCTTCTCAGATGCCGTCACGGCCTTTGACGAGATCTCCTGTATCAAGGGTGCACTGGGCAGATTCCCCGGCAGTCAAGTAATGGGCATTGTATCACAGTACATGAACAAGAACCTCTAAGACTCTTGGCTCTGGCAGGCATACGCATTTGCATTGTCTGTGTGTCGCTTCCCCTTTTGAAGTTAAGGTAGAGAGAGGTACATTGATGTAAATAATCCAAAGACAATGAATGAATGAACCATTAATGTTAATATATTTCTAATTCATTCATTATCTGTATTGAATATAATGGGATGGAATGGCATGGATTGGAATGGGTTTCAGTCTCGTGTTAAAGTGTTCGCGTCTCACTACCACCAAGTCCGCGACTACTTGGACGAGAGTGTTTTGAGATCATTCATTACTGTCACGTGACATTGAACAACAGATAATATTACTATTATTACAACATTAATAACAACAATGGCTGCACCTATTGAACAAACAAGACATAACATGTTTTACAGACCAGAGAGATGTGAGCAAGAAGGTTGCAAAGAGACCAATCTTAACCTGTGCGGTGGATGTAAAGTTGTAAAGTAAGTCAGTAAGTGAGAGGAGTGAGGGAGGGAGGGAGCGGGCTGGGTGAGGGATGGAGGGAAGAGTAAGAGTTAGATCAGTCTTGTTAACCATCTCTCACTCTCTTACTCATTGAATGAATGAATTAATGAATATGAAGGTATTGCGGATTGGCCACAACATAAACCGGATTGCCAGGCGTATAAGAAGCATGGTATTTGGGCAAAGTTCACAAGGGATTCAGATCAGTTGGCTGTCAATCCAATTGGTGATGTAAAGTTAAAGTCCACTGAGAAGGTGTGCGGCATCTGTGGTCGACCACCTGGAAAGGATCGTCCACTCAAGAGGTCAGCCTGCTGTGGCAACTGGATGTGCGACAATGAGCACCTCTACCAAATGCACTCATTCTCCAAGGAGTTCTGCGCCAGATCACACGAACGCTATACCCTCTGCTCGCTCACTGATCACAAACATCAGAATAACGATTGGAGGTATGTTATGTCGCGTGAGCAATGTTGTAAGTGACACTAACAACCCCTTGTTGCATGCCAACTGTCCACAGAGCATGTCATAGATGCCATCACGGCGCACTTATAGAGCTGTGGTATGGAATCAATGCATACAACTTCATACCAATGGTTAATCTACCTTATATTAGGATGTCAAGGGATTGTGGAAGTTGCAAACTACCATACCTTCGTTGTATGAGTGAGAATGGACAAAGGATGGAAAATGGCAAGTTTGTCCCAATATGCAATGATTGCATGTACCATAGAACACCATCATCATGATCAATCAATCATTCAATCAATCAAGGTCAGGTCAAGTCAGGTCACGTGATCGATCACGCTGGCCAGACCATCGCCAGCGACGCACATGGACATCAATCACAATCAAACACTTGGATGGACATTCTATCTTAACGTTATAAAGTGTATTGGTATAATATTATAATTGGAAGTAATCGATCATGGATGGCGTATGATGATGATGATGATGATGATAATAATGATTATGGTGACCTGGACGTGGATCAGATCAATCAAATCTATTCGCTCTTCTGACCCTTTGATGCTCTGGTCACTCTGCTGTCCAATGTGAACTCGTCTCTGGTGAGGAACTCGTAGAGGACACGCCAGTAGGAGGTGTGATAGCGCAATCCCTTGGTGTAGTACTCCTCGGCGATGGCGGTCAGACGTGGCAGGAAGACCCAGGGCACGCGGACAAAGTCGTGATGCTCGTTATGGTAGCCAATGTTGAAGCCCAGTGTGTTGACGAGGCCGTACGTGGAGTAAGTCTCCTGCTCAGACTGCGTGACGGCAAAGTGCTCGGCGATCCAGCGTGCGCCCAATGGGTGCAGCAGGAAGCCGACGGACATGAGCGACGACAGCACCAGGTAGACCATGCCCATGGTACCCACCCACTTGGACATCACGTAGGTGAAGCTGAAGTTGGCAATGTAGTTGAGCACCATCCACATGCCGAATGGTGATTGATCCTTCAATGGATACAAGAATGAGCGCAGGGCAATAACAATCGAGTAGAATGAGAACCAGATGATCTTGCCAACAACAGTGTGACCCAACAATGAGTTTTCAATTGGTGTTGGTACATCTGGATCAGTGTATGTCTCGTTCAAGAATGAATGATGCAGCTACATAGTGTCGCGCGAGGTTAGTACTTGTTGTCGTTCGCGTCTCCAACAACTTTGTTAATATAACATACTCTGTGGAAGTGACGGAAACTGATACCGGCTGGGAGGATGTGAGGGAGATCGGCAATGAGGAGGAAGAGTGAGTTCATGGAGGACTCTTGGAATACAAGGTCATGAGTGAGCTCATGAATTAATACCCAGAGGGCGTGTGAGACGGTGGCGCCAAAGATGTAGGCGGCGACCAGCACGGTCAGGAAGGAGGAGTTCTCAAGGAGCTTGGCGGTGATGACCATCGAGGCGACCAGCGACACCACCCAGAAGGCGGTGGGCGTGTAGAATGTGGGGAAGTTGAGCACCTCGGGGTACTTCTGCGAGATGAGCTTGCGACGTGTCCAGTGCTGCTGGACGGCTTCCACGCGGATATGCTCGTCCTTTGTGTCAAAGTCCTCGAGTGGGCCGGCGCCCGCCAGAGGTGGCACGCCACTCTTTGATGGGTACTTCTCGCGAGTCGTCTTTGTTTGTGCTCCTTTTCCTTTTCCCATTCTGTCTATCTGTCTGTCTATCTGTCTGTGTTAGAGTATCTACACTTTCACTATACTATATATGAGAGTTGTTTCAAAACAGTAATGAATGAACGAACTATCTGTGTGAGTGTGAGTGTCAGTGTGAGTGTGTGTTTACAATTATCTGTATCAATATCTGTATTCGTTTGTGTGTGTGTGTGTGTGTGGTGTGTTCGATCGATGATTGTGATTGAGATGAATGATGAAGACAAGTTGTTTGAAATGAGTGATCCTACTTATAATATTAAAATAAATAAATAACAGTGGTTTGATGATTGATTGATTGAATGAATGAATGAATTGAATGGATCAATGAGCAGTACCTCATGTACCAAATGAGGTCCAAGTGTTTCGATGGTGGTAATGTGAGTCAGACATCACCTAATGAGATCATGACGAACGATGATTACCACACACACTCTATTGTTTGATATTTGAGGTAATGTTGGCAAAAGTGTGTGAGCTGTTTTGGCGCATGAACCAATACAACCTTAGCAATGGATATCTCTAGATGTTGTAAACAAATACTACTCCTCACTAACAAAGATATTCCTTTATATTCAATGTCAAATCAATATCATCAAACATCATCATCCAACGTGATCATCATCATAATTATCAACAACATCAACAAATACATACATGCATAATGATTGAATGGAGGTAGTTGGTCCAAAATCACAAGTCAACATACCCTCACAGAGATACCCTCGCACAAGATGATATTTACAATGTTTGGTAATTCGTTTGTAAATTTTTGATTTTTTTGAATCGTGGGTGAGCTGTAGAGAAGGGACTTCGTGTGAAGATGAGAGGGAGAGACCTTGTTTGAACTCCAACATCAATCATCTGTCTGCTGTCTGTGACTTGAAGTAATTATATCATATATATATATTATAATATAATTACCAACCCTATTTATACATTATATACATAAACAATGAGTGGCGTTAGAATGTTGAATATCGACGGAGAGCGTATCTCTGGACAGGATGTCAGAACACAGAATGGTTGGTTTATCATTTCCAAAGATAATGTTTACAGACTTTATATGCGATTGTTGACCCTTGACTTGACTTGACTTGACTTGATATGATGTGATCATGCGATGCGATTCGATTCGAAATGATATGAAGTAATTAGATATGATTCGATCATGATGTGAATGCGACACAGGGAATGAATATGGATGGACCAATCGAGTAAGGCTCGATCATTCATCGACAGGTGCTATCAGCGAAAGGCTGACACATCATGTGATCATCAATCATTCATTCATTTATTCAATCGATCGATCAATCAGACTTGATCCATCAATCATTCAATCAATCGAGACGTGTGGCCGAATGATCGAATACACAATAACTTGGACTAACATTTACATTACGACAACGAATAAACAGTGACAGCAGTTACAGCAATAGCAAACATTGTAAAGTCATCATTTGGACCAATTGGATTGGACAAGATGTTGGTGGACAATATAGGAGATATCACAATCACTAATGACGGTGCGACAATCTTGAAGATGCTCGAGGTTGAGCACCCAGCAGCAAAGGTGCTCGTACAGCTGGCCGATCTGCAGGATCAGGAGGTCGGCGACGGCACGACGTCGGTCGTCATTCTGGCCGCCGAGCTGCTGAAGCGCGCCAACGAGCTGGTGCTCAAGAAGATCCACCCCACCATCATCATCAGCGGCTATCGTATCGCCTGTCAAGAGGCCATCAAGTACATCAACGAGACACTGGCCGTCAACGTCGAGACACTGCCCAAGGACTTTATCATTAACACTGTCAAGACATCGATGTCGTCCAAGATCATTGGCGACGACAGCGACTTCTTTGCCAAGATCGTCGTCGACGCGCTGGGCCGCATCAAGACCGTGGACTACAAGGGCGACGTCAAGTACCCAATCAACAGCATCAATGTGCTCAAGGCGCACGGCAAGAGCGCCAAGGAGTCCGTGCTCGTCGAGGGCTACGCACTCAACTGTACAGTGGCCAGCGAGGGCATGCCCAAGCGAATCGTCGGCGCCAAGATCGCCTTCCTCGACTTCAACCTGCAAAAGGCCAAGATGAAGCTCGGCCAAAAGGTGGTCGTCACCAACGTGCATGACCTCGAGGCGATCCGCGATCGTGAGAACGACATCATCAAGGAGCGCATTCAGCTGATCCTCAAGTCGGGCGCCAACGTCGTCTTCACCACCAAGGGCATCGACGACCTGTGTCTCAAGTACTTTGTCGAGGCCGGCGCGATGGCCGTGCGCAGATGTCGCAAGGAGGACCTCAAGCGCATTGCCAAGGCCTGCGGTGGCACCGTGCTCATCACACTGTCAAACCTCGAGGGCGAGGACGGATTCGACGCCTCATCACTCGGCTTTGCCGACGAGGTCGTGCAGGAGCGCATTGCAGACGACGAACTGCTCCTGGTCAAGAACTCCAGCGGCAAGAAGGCCGCTTCGATCATCTTGCGTGGCGCCAGTGGTCTGACGCTCGACGAGATGGAGCGCTCCATCCACGACTCGCTGTGCATCGCCAAGAGGACGCTCGAATCGGGCACCATCGTGCCAGGCGGCGGCTGTGTCGAGTCGGCACTCTCCATCTACCTGGACAACTTTGCCGAGACCATGGGCTCGAGGAAGCAGCTGGCCATCTCAGAGTTTGCCGAGTCGCTGTTGGTCATCCCCAAGCAGCTGTCAGTCAACGCCGCGCAGGACGCTTCGGAGCTGGTCGCCAAGCTCCGCTCGTACCACCACGTCGCCCAGACCGGCGACGCCTCCAAGAAGAGCTACTCATACTCGGGCCTGGACCTCATCAACGGAAAGGTGCGCAACAACCTCGAGGCTGGCGTACTGGAGCCCGCCATCGCCAAAGTCAAGTGTATTAAATTCGCCACAGAAGCCGCCATCACCATTTTACGTATCGACGACATGATCAAGCTCAATCCAAAGGAGGCCGCTCAAGATCCACACGGTCATGGTGACTACTAAAGAGAGAGATCCACCAGACCGACTTAGGTTAGTCCGTCCAAAGAACCATGGTTCCCGCTCAGTCTGCCAGCGCGCGAGTGAGTGAGGCGCACATCCAATGGACAACAACACATTTACCGACATTTGCTAAATAAAGTACACCACGCCTACCTAACAACGACTACTGTCTTGGACCATGGTCCACTCAATCACATGATACTGGACCAAGGGAAGCGACAATGTTGATACCAACATGACATCACCAAATGTACAAGTTTGGTGAGAATTCGACTGTGTAGGGCAGTATCGAAATACTAGTTTGGAATCAAACACCATACTAGTACATTCGGGTTTACAATCGTTTAACCGAAATTGATGTGATTGATTCGAGTGGGTGAGTGTGTTGGAAAGGACCAAAACTTTGGGCCATTGATCACCCAGGACCACCAAGTTTTGGGCATCTAACCATTGACTCTAGAATTCAAATCACTCGTCCAAGGAAATTACAACAAAATAGGAGTAGGCGATAGAAGTATCTACCAACAACACCTATTACATCAAAATAAAAATCAACAACTATTTTGTGCACAGTCATTGGGGATTGTCAAGCAAGGAGTAGATGTATCGTCAACATCACCATCACCATTCATTCATCCACTACCATACATCCAACTATCTATCTATTGTCAGCTGAATCACCAAAGACGTGTTCATTTTCAAACTCCATCAACAATCACACACACACACACATAAAGATAAACAAACACAAACACACCACTGGAGTCAGCCCTGTTGACATCCCCCCAACAAACCAATTCAATTCAAGTTGCACAAGTCAAGTCTAGCGTCAGGTGGTCGACCCAACATCTTCCCACCCCCAACCAAACCAACCCCAAGCAAGACCCTTCATTCCTTCCTTCCTTCTTTCATTCATTCTTTGTTTGTTTGTTTGCTTGATACATTCACCTCTTCAAAGGGTCTCCCCAATCAACTCATCCATCCAATCATCCAATCAATCAATCAATCTTCACTTCACTTCACTTCACTTCAACTCTCCAAAACCTAAATATCTTGTATCTCAAAGAATCTCTCTTTGTTCATATACATTTATATATAACTGTTCAACTGATCAGTGTTGCAATGTGTTCTTGTTGAAGAAGGGGCCATTGTTGTATCAATAGTAGTACTATCTATACATTCATTCATTCATTCAATCATATCAATCAATATCAATCAAATATAATACACATACTTATGGAGCCCGTCACTGCTTATGACTACTCGGCTGACATCACACAACAACAACAACAAATAGAAGAAGAAGAAGAGATCGTTGGAGAAACGACACAGTATTTACCAGGCGAGCGTGGATCACTAGAAGACGACGTTAACAAAAAGATCCTGAAGAGCGACAACATGTTTGATCAACAAAATATAACGACAACAACATCAACAACAAACAATGAGTCGTCACACTCTTCGTCGTCGTCATCTACAAGCTCACCATCGGTGTCGCCCACACAAGATATGCTGATGAGTGGCGGTAGCGCAATCACATCGTCCACCGATAGCCATATGCCGTCACATGATCACGTGTCAACGTTGGACTCGAGCAACGACAGTGTGTCCATGCCCACGGTCAAGCTCAGTGCGAGCTACGAGTTGATGATGAAGAACGCCAGCAGCAACAACAACAACAATAGCAACAGCGGCAGCAACAAGCCAAAGCTCTTTGTTGGCAATGGTGGAAGTGTCTTTGTCCCAATCAACAAGCCTCAGCTGACACAATCACAGACGACACAAACAACACAGACTCAGACAACACAGACGTCCAAGCCAGCTACTGGATCTGGATCACCATTTCAATCACCTGCACTTACATCTGAGAACGATGCCGAGTCACCTGTTCAACTGTCCTCCAACATATTTGAGAACCTCGGTTTCGTCATTGATCAATCAATCAACTTAAAGCGCAAGATGGACTTGGTCAAGATAATCAAGAGAAATGGAGGCAAGTCCTGTTACTCATGTGGTGCTAAGGTATGTGTGTCCACACTCATTCTGTGATTGATTGATCGCTAACATAGTTCCACTCACTCCACAGTCAACACATCTGATCACTACGCCACAAGGCTTTGTTGACAACACAGCCAAGGTACAGCAGGCATTGGCTCTTGGCATACCCATTGTTGTAAAGGAGTTTGTTCATCACTGTGCTTACAAGAAGCAGCTACTAGAGGTAGAGCCATACAGGATCACTGCAACCGTATGTACCCAACTCCTGACACACACAACTCATTACTAATACCAATCAATCAAACATACAGAGTATACCATCAGAGTCTTTGTCCAATCCAAACTCACCAGCGTCCAGTTATCAAGCATCACCTACATTCACATCCACCACCAATCAATCACGTGATCAGATGGTGACTGGAGGAGGATCATCGTCCTCATCATCATCACCAGATCCAATAATGGTCCCAGTCGTCGTGCCACCCATTGAGTTGAGCACTCACCAACAACAACAACAGAAGCAGCCACAACAATACAATCAACCGCAACAACAACCGCATCATCAACAACCTCATCATCAACAACAACAACCTTTGATCAAACCATCAATCAACATTCCAAGCGTATACTCTAATAATGGTGTTGACCAAAGACATTCATACTTGGGCAGTGTATCTTATGGTCATCACGCCCAGGACGAGATGGACGAGGAGGACATAGGCAAGAGTCCAAGCAAGTCAATAATAGAGGACAACATCAACAAGATACTGCACACCTTTGACGACACATCATCAGAGCCAGTCCAACAACAACAACAAGAGTCAATGGTGGGTCTTACAAGGTTCACAGAGTTTGAGGGCACCTTTGAGGAGCAAGAGCTTGGCGGATCGATTGAGGACGAGGAGATGCTACCTCAGGTCGACTTCCGCGACGCACTCCCAGACTCGTTGAGTCTGGCGAGCCACGTGGCCACATCACCCCGATTCAGCAAGGAGAGCCACTTGTCGGACCCCAAGGTGGACAGCAGTGAGACGAGCAACTACAACTTTGGTGCCATCACCAAGAAGTCTGCTTCAGCGCCAACATCAACTACTACCACTGCAACTGCTACCAATGCATCTGCGACGTCGTCGGACGATGATATGTTGAGCTCGCCGCTCTACTCCAACTATCACCACGAGATCTTCAATCAAATACTCTCGCCATCGTCCAACGAGCTCAACATGAACAACAACAACACCTTCCATGGCATCCCCGTTACCGTGTCCAAGAACGTCGTGGAGCAAGACTCGCCCTCAAAGATCTTTGTTGGTGGCCTATCATTCAGTGATCTTGATGTAAGTGAGCGAGAGCACATGCAGCTGCGAAGGACATGTCGACTGACCCATCTATCTCATCATCCACAGATATATACAGAGAAGGAGAGTCTGCAGAAGCAGAGAATGTACCATTTGATATCGTTGTTTAAGGAGTTTGGAAAGATTGTAAAGATACAAGAGTTTCTGGAGGAGCAGCATATATTCATTACATTTGACAAGGAGACTGAGGCCAAGCTGGCACTGCAGACACTCAAGTCCATGTCAACCAAGACATACTTCACCGACAAGATCAAGAAGAACCTGCAGACACTAGGTCTGCCCACCATCATTGCTCCATCCAACGAGTTCTTTGTGCGCAAATCAAAGCCATCACAGCTTTCAAACTCTGCCAACAACATTGCTGGCAACAACAACAACAACAACAGTACCAACAACAACAATGGCACCACCAACAACACCGACTCCAAGGGTGAGTTGGTTGGCGACAATGCCAAAGACAACAACAACAACAACAATACACTGGCCACGTCAACGTCCAACAACAACTCCAAATCATTCAAGCAACCAAGCCATAGTAGTAGCGGCAACACTGCCAAGCTGCGCACCAAAAGGAAACACCTGCCAGCGCGCGTATACTATGACGATGATGAGGAGGACGAGACGGCCCAGTACGACGAAGAAGACGGCGACGACGAAGACGACCAAGATGACGAGTCCGAATACAGCGTTTCCGAGATTTCAGAGGTGGACGATCTTCCTGTCAAGTATCAAAAGACGGCGCGATCACCATCATCATCCATGTCCTCGACCACTTTTTCGCATCACAGCAGTGGCAGCAACAGCAACAGCAACAGCAGCGGCGCCAACCCCAAGAAGAAGAAGAAGCGCGACTTCCTCCCGCCTTTATCTGTCGTCGTGCAGATAATTGTAACATTCATTATCCTCAGCGCATTCTTCATGTCACTTCCACAGCAATAATGGATCGATGACATCGCTGCGCCAACGCCAATGCCACGCCAATGCCAACGCCACGCCCACTGCCCATACCTTCCACGTTCAACTTTCGATCGGAGGTAGTCCAGTCTGGGTACACAGAGCTTTATTATTATTATATTTAACACATCAAAAGAGGAGAGGCCTTGTGGCCCTCAATGAGAGGCCAAGCCATATATAACCTAATAAAATAGGTTACTGTGTAGTAATGGTTTTCCATCCAACATCCAACCTGCTCAATCAATCAACTCGAGCAATTGCTGGCTCGAGCTATTGGTTCTTCTTGTCTTCTCTCAACAATCACCTTGAAACTGGATGGAGAGGATGCCATACCAAAGATCATGTCCTCGTCCAATGGCTCAGCAGTCTGTTTGGTGAACTTGAAACGTTTGAATATGATGGCCGTCATCATGAACAGTTCATTCTCGGCCAGGGACATTCCGAGACAATTGCGCGACCCTGTACCAAATGCCTGTTTGACAACATTGCTGTTGGCAACACCATCCACGCCCAAGAACCTAGTTGGATCAAACTCCAAAGGATTCTTCCAATACACTGGAGTATTCATAGTGCCATACACGTTCTGAATGATCTGAGTCTATGTCAAGTGATGGGCAGGTAGTGGTTAGTGAATGCTCTCCATGGACATAGCGAGGAACTTACTCCTTTCTTGATGTGATAGCCTCTGAACTCACAGTCTTCTTTGGCAGAGTGAGGAAGACCCAATGGACCAACAGTGAACCTTCTTGTGGCTTCCTTGATCACGGCATTGGTGTAAGGTGTTGTGCTCTTGTCTTGGATCGATGGATGATTGTTCTCGAATTTGTTCGAGAGTTCACTATACAGATTCTCCTGCAACTCAGGTCTGTTCACCAATGCCTTTATCATTGCTGATGTTGTGTTTGCCTGTATGGATTATCACTTGTTAGTATGTCATTCCATTTTTGAATATTTAAATGAATGAATATTGGGCATAACTTACAGTTGTATCTGTTCCTCCCTTTATAAGGTCTTGGAAAGTGTATGTAAGCTCATCCATTGTTATGTTTCCTTTGGATAACTCCATCAAATAGGTGTCAAGAATATCCTTTGGTTCAGCTGTACTGTCAAACAATGGCACTCTCTTCTCGATTAGAGCCCTGAGGAATTTGCTAAGCCTGTGATTGAAGTCAAGGTACTCTCTGAACTTTGGTAGCTTTACCAGGAGCCACCCGATAAAGGGGAAGCAATCGCATGGCATTGGTGTCCCTGATAGGATAAATACTTGATTGATCAAATTGACAAATTCCCCAGCATCAGTATCCATATCGTATGGGAAGTGATGGCTGAGTGAGAATCTAAAGATGATGTTCAGAGAGCACATCTTGATTAGGCTGGTTGGGTCCAATGGTTCTCCACTCTTAGCATAGACATCCAATTTGTCACACAACAGATTAATCTCCTGTACAATATCATCTTCCATCTTTTTGAACCTTGTGCTAGTGATTCCCCTCATTGCAATGTCTCTCATAATCTTGTGATAGTCTCCATTGCAAGAGGCAATATTCTTGCAATCTGATTAAAGGTATAAGTAAGATAACCTAATTAATCTTGAACCAACATAGTATTTATACATACTGTTCAATGTTAATCTAGAAACATTGATGTGACGGTTGATAAACATGTCTGGATTATCTATAAATGCCTCACGTAATATCTCTGGTTCTGTGAGGATGACTGTTTCCACTGAACCCATCTTAATCCTAATGATATTGCCATATTTCTCATAAAGTCTGTTTACATCATTGTCTGGCCTCTTGCTTAATTGATGAATATTCCCTATGAATGGTAAGGGGAAGGGTCCAGGAGGTAGTCTTCTCCAAGGGTTCTTTATATTTGTAGGGTGTGCTTGAGAGTGTTAGTGTAACCCATCAATGAATCAATTAATAATTTCTAATGAATATGGATACAATTACCTTCTCATGGAACACATAAAGACCTATGATTACAATAAATAATACTAAAGTAAACATTTTAAGGGAGATAATGGAAATGGAAGATAAATTATTAAGTTCATGCAATTATAGTAAGGTATGAATCCACCTTTCCCTTACCCTTACACGTACCCTAACCCTAACCCTACCATGCACTAACCTGCCCTCTTGACCCCCTTCTACCATTCCACCCCATTCTCAAACTGTGTCCAACCCCACTCACTACTCGTTCCCCGGTATTCATTGGTGGATCAACACTCAAGAGTGGGAATATAAGTAATAAACAATGCTTTAAAGCAAAGACTAACACCTCAACATACTCAACCGGATAGGGAGAATTAATATTAATAATATAATTATTAGTTTCTGACATATATATTTTATTTTTGAATGTTCTTTGTCATGATTTTCCTCCTGGTAATTAAGATATATTACTTGGACAAGGGAACAGTTTAACATTATGGACTATTTGAATATTTGAATAGGACCGGTTGATCAATTATTCTCGAGCCAATCCTTCTTCTTGTCTTCTCTCAACAATCACTTTGAAATCGGAAGGAGTTGAAGCCAAACCAAAGATCATATCTTCATTCAATGGCTCCTCGGTCTGTTTGGTGAATTTGAAACGATGAGGTTGATAGGGTCCACTGGTTCTCCACTCATAGCATATGTATCTAAATTGTCACACAATAGATTGATCTCCTGTACAATATCATCCTCCATCTTTTTGATCCTTGTGCTGGTGATTCCCTTCATTGCAACACCTCTAACAATCTTGTGATGTTCTTTCTCCATTGGCTATGGCAATATTCTGTCCATCTATTTATTAAATTCCAGGTTGAAAGGAATTAGTATACATTAATTCATTCATTATTATGAACAATCAATTTATACATACTGTTCCATAATGATCTAGATATTTTGAGATGTCTGTTAACAAACATATCTGGATTCTCAATGAATGCCTCACGTAAGATCTCTGGCTCTGTGAGGATGACTGTTTCCACAAATCCCATCTTTATCCTAAATATATTACCATAGGTTTCATAAAGTTTGTTCACAACTTTGTCTGGTCTGTTGCCCAATTGATGAAGGTTACCAATGAATGGCATTGGGAAGGGTCCTGGAGGAAGTCTTCTCAATGGGTTCTTTAATTTTTGTTTTATTTGTATTAAGGAGGAGTTAGAATATTCAATCAATCAATCAATCAATCAATATTTATGGATATCCATAATTACCTTTTCATGGAATACATAAAGAACTATGATTACAATAAATAATAGAGTTAACATTTTAAAAGATAGAGAGAAATAAAATAATTTCCTGTAAATAAATGATAGTAATATATGAATCCACCAAAAACAACCCTACCCTTACATAATACTAACCTTACCCTTATAGTACCCTTGCGACTACTGCCCACCCTTCCTTTACCCGTCTACAATTCCCAGCCCACCCCCAACATTGTCCCACCACACTCACCAGCTACTAGTTTCCCGATGTCCATTGGTGGATCAACTCTCATCTCTGTGGGATTAAACTCGGTAAGTAAAACATGAAGTGGTTTAACAATGGAATGAAATACGATACTATAATAGTCCTATTCATGGTCGAGGAGATTGTGAAAGGGAGGGTGCAAAGGATGCCCAGGTAATATTGTGGCTAAACATTGATTCAAATCTATATGTTCAACAATGGTAACCGTATTGACATAGGTTTGGACATGGACAGGAGATAGACACTATGGAACTGTTTGTAACAGTCCCTTTGAATGTTATTTGAATCTGTTGGGATCGTCGACGATTATGCTCGAACAATTGGTTCTTCTTGTCTTCTATGAACAATCACCTTGAAATGAGATGGCGTGGAGGTCATACCAAAGATCATGTCCTCGTCCAATAGCTCATCGGTCTGTTTGGTGAATTTGAAACGTTTCAATATGACTGTTGTCATGAGGTACAGTTCATGTTCGGCCAGTGACATTCCAAGACAATTGCGCGATCCTGTACCAAATGCCTGTTTGACAACATTGCTGTTGGCAACACCATCCACTCCCAGGAATCTAGTTGGATCAAACTCCAAAGGATTCTTCCAATACACTGGAGTGTTCATAGTACCATAGATGTTCTGAATGATCTGAGTCTATGTGATGAGATGGGCAGACGGGTGAGTACAGATGCACCTTGATTGATTGTCGAGGACATAGCAAGTTACTTACTCCTTTCTTGATATGATATCCTCTGAACTCACAGTCCTCGTTGGCTGCGTGAGGTACGCCCAATGGAGCGACTGTGAACCTTCTTGTGGTCTCCTTGATCACGGCATTGGTGTAAGGTGTTGCGCTCTTGTCCTGGATGGATGGTTGATTTTGAATGTTGCTCGAGAGTTCATTGTACAGTTTCTCTTGCATCTCAGGTCTGTTCACCATTGCCTTTATCAATGCTGATGTTGTATTGGCCTGTATAGATCATCATTTGTTAGAATGCCATGTTTGATTGAATGAATGATCATTCGGGCATGACTTACAGTTGTATCAGTTCCAGCAATGATAAGGTCTTGGAAAGAGTATATTAGACCATTCATGGTTATGGTTCCTTTTGACAACTCCATCAAATAGGTGTCAAGAATATCCTTTGGTTCAGCAGTACTGTCAAACAATGGAACTCTCTTCTCAATGAGTGACTTGAGGAATACGCCAAGCTTGTGATTGATTTGAAGGTACTCTTTGAACTTTGGTGTCTTTACAAGGAGAGGCTTGAGCAATGGGAAGTAGTCGCAAGGCATTGGTACTCCAGATTGGACAAAGGCATAGTTGATCAAATTGACAAACTGACCAGCATCAGTGTCCATATCGTATGGGAAGTGATGGCTGAGTGAGAATCTAAAGATGATGTTCAAAGAGCACATCTTGATGAGGCTGATTGGATCCACTGGTTCTCCACTCTTGACATAGGTCTCCAAATAGTCGCACAATAGATTGATCTCTTGTACAATATCATCCTCCATCTTTTTGATCCTTGTGCTTGTGATACCCTTCATTGCAACACCTCTAACAATCTTGTGATGTTCTCCATTGGCTGTGGCAATATTCTGTCCATCTATTTATCACATTCCAGGTTGGAATGAATGAGTATTCATTCATTCAATCATTCATTAATATCCTACTTACTGTTCCATGATAATCTTGACACTTTGATATGTCTGTTGACAAACATATCTGGATTCTCAATGAATGCCTCACGTAAGATCTCTGGCTCAGTAAAGATGACTGTTTCCAAAGAGCCCATCTTAATCCTAAAGATGTTGCCATAGGTTTCATAAAGTTTGTTCACAACATTGTCTGGTCTCTTGCCTAATTGATGAAGGTTACCAATGAATGGCATTGGGAAGGGTCCTGGAGGTAGTCTTCTCAAAGGGTTCTTTATGTTTGATTGTGTTAGTGGCCTCGATCATTCAATCAATCAATCAAATGATGGATATAATTAATTACCTTCTCATGCAATATATAAAGAACTATTATGACAATAAATAGTAATACTAAAGGGAGCATTTTAAAGATAGATAGATAGAGATAATGAATGAATGAATAATGTATTGAATGAATGATTGTATCTGTATGCTTGGTTGTTGAAATGATGATGATAGAGTGACCAATCGCTTCACATTAGCCAAGTCTGATAAGGTGTTTGAGGTTAGTTTGATGGCCAACTTGATCGGACCTCTTTGGGTTTAACAGCCACTAATGTGTAGGACGAACACCTAAACTATGAATGACCCCCCACCATCAATGGGATGACCCTTCGCCTTTTTTATCTCATCATCAATGATCGTTTGTGGTCATCAAACGTCAAAATCACACACACTCTATCAAATACACACTAACAAAGATAAGATAGATAGATAAGATAAGATGAGGTATGTTTGGTTGGACTGTGACCCTGGTATGTTATTTAATTGGCTTTGAATAATGTTAATGATTACTGCATGGAATGATCATACTAACTAACTTCCAACAAACAATAAACAATGAACTAAAGGTCATGATGATGCATTCGCTATAATGATGGCTGGACATAGCCAGTCATTGACGTTGCTTGGCATATCAACGGTAGCAGGTAATCAAACATTGGAAAAGACGACAATCAATGCATTGAAGGTGTGTAAGATCAGTGGACTTGAAAGCATTGATGTTGTGAAGGGCATTGGCAAGCCTTTGTTGAGACAATCTCGTGTCTGTCCAGAGATACATGGCGAGACAGGTTTGGACTCATCTATTGTGTTGGACGTTGAAACCAAACAACCATTACAAAAGAATGCCATTGTACACATGGCCGACACTATCAAATCCACATACGCAACACATAATTCCAAGACAACCATCATCGCCACCGCCTGTCTTACCAACGTCGCACTACTCTTCTCCGTCTTTCCCGAGGTAATCGAGTTGGTAGAGAGTGTTACCTTGCTAGGTGGCGCAATGACCACTGGTAACATGACTCCCGTTGCAGAATGTGAGTAATACTTGCTCCATCAGTCAATCAACACGGCGTATGACTCACATTGTTATCTCTGTCAACCTTTAGTCAACATATTGGTCGATCCGGAAGCTGCCAAGATGGTGTTTGATAGTGGAGTCAAGGTTGTGATGGTACCTTTGGAGATAAGCCACAAAGCACTCATTACAAAGGATATTCTGGAGCGAATTGCAGCCATTGGCAACACAAAGTTCATAACCCTGACCATCGAGTTACTCAAGTTCTTTGCCAATACCTACTTCACATGTTTGGAATGGATGTAAGTATAGTGCCACTCAATCCCTTCCCATCCCTCTAACTCTAACATGTCTCGCCAACTCACATCCACCAGTCACCTCCACTTCATGACCCTCTAGCCGTCGCTGCGGTAATAGATCCAAGTTTGTTTAAAATGAGACATCTGAGAGTTGACATTGAGTGCGCCAGCGAGTTGTGCTTAGGACAAACGATATGCGACGTTTGGAACATGTCCACTCGTACAAAGAACGTCTACGTTGCAGTGGAAGCCAACATCGACAAGTTCTTCGACCTCCTCATAGACTCAATCGCCAAGAGTAACAGCAAGAGTTGCTTGAACAACTAAATATAGTTCATTTATATCGAGGTGCCAGTGATTTCCGAGATACATACTCCATACTGTTCGGTGTATGGCGCGGCAATGCTACACAACATGACTGCGCGACATACAGAGTCACATTCATCATCGGACTCGTAGCTCACCGAGTTGTAAAGTGTGTACATCTCCAGCATGGTATCATTGATGGTCATCTCTTGTAATGCTTTGTACATTGATTGAGCGTTCAATCCTGCCGACTGCGTGGAAAAGAACTCGCTGGCACGGTATTCCAGCTCCCAAGTGATGGCGCCCTCAACAATATCCTGTTCCAAATTTGACCAATACTGATCATAATCGGTTATAAGGTATGCATCGGGGTCGTAGTGATACAGGCGTAGTGATGGGTTGTTTGGCAGTGCAGGGACATATGGATTGAGCCATGGTGTTAGACTGGGCGCCACAAACATTACGCCAGTGGGTGGTTGGCTTCGGAAGTCTGCCTGAGGGCTGTCATAATACAGCCTGAATGCATCACTATGCTCGTGGCCGTAGAAGTGTCCAACAATCACGTCCGAGTACTTGGCGAATGTCGAAAGAAACACATCATTGAACTGTGCATGGAAGTTTGGTGTATCATACTTTTCATTCTGGCCTGGTGGAACACTTGAATGAATGAATGATTGTCAGGACCATGGTGCTGGCGGGATGGATGAATTGATGGATGGTACTTACTGTCCAATGATCCAGACCTTCTCATTGTTTGATTGAGCTGAGGATAGTGTTGATGCCAGCCATGCCATCTGACCACCGGGGTCGGTCTCATTGACACATTGAACGTCGTATGTATAATAGAATACAGTATTGAGTGATATGATTCGTTGACCAGGTGCGACCAACTCTGTATAATATCCACCAGTCTTAAATGTCTGTTGAGCCTGGTCTGTGAGCAAATCAGACCACATATCAGAGACATTATTGAACAACCAATCATTGGGTCCAGGATATAGTTGATGTTCTGGATACATATCATGATCTAATTGAGTGTCAGTCAGCATCAATCATTCACGCAGACAGACAGACATACTTACTTCCAATGGCAGGATAGATTGGAATGTTGGGGAAATGTGATGTGATGAGGTTGGTCACATTCTGGATTGATTGGAGCACTAGAGTGCGATTGAGTTCATTCGTTGATACATGGGGAGGGTCGTCACCTGTGAATATAATGAAGTCTGGGTTGGGTTCAATATGGACCATTGCTTGAAAGGCAGACATTACCAATGCAATAGATGAATCACATTGGTAGTTGCCCAATGGTGATGCACCACCTGAGCCAACAATGAACTGTTGTTGTTGTTCCAAGCTGGATGATGAGTGACACATATCATTTGGGTTGCCACCGGCCTTTGGTTTAGTTGTTAGTCATCCATGTCATGTCATGTCTTGGACTGATTGATTCAGTGAGTGACCTACAACATAGTTCCAATCATAATGGATGTCTGTGATGTGCCATACTCGTCCTGTCTTACACTCTACCTCCTGTCCTGTCAACAACAAGGCAATCAATATTATTAGTATTGCTTGCATTACTCCAGATCTTATTATCTGTATTGATCATATGATGATAAGATTGATTGAGCAAAGATTGAAGTGAAGACGGTTTTTTAAGGTCGTCATCAGTCGACAAGATTTTTGATCAAGCCTTTGTCCATATTTGGAAAGGAAAGAAGGTAGGAGGGAGTGATAAAGAATGCTCTATTCTGTCACTCTGGCTTTTAATATACGGATCTCCTCGATTGGTCGATCGTTTGTAGTCGTCGAAGCCACGTTCATCTTTTGTACAACAGTCATGCCAGACTTGACCCTTCCAAATATAGTATGCTTTCCGTCCAACCATGGAGTTGGTGCGAATGTTATAAAGAATTGACTGCCATTAGTATGTGCTCCAGAGTTGGCCATCGAAAGTATTCCTGCTCCAGTATGTTTCAGTTCCTTTGTAATCTCGTCTTCGAACTTTGGACTAAAAAAAGGTCAGACAATGGGCAAGTAAGTATGTTTGCGTTATAAGAAAGATAGCTAAGTCAAACATCCAACCAACCTACCCATATATGCTTTCGCCTCCCTTTCCAGTTCCTGTTGGATCTCCTCCCTGTATCATAAAGTCCTGTTGTATGTATGATCAATCGATGAGTTAGTCTTGAGTCTTGTATATGTACATTGCAATGTATACATACCTTTATCAAACGATGAAAGATTGTATTGTTGTAGTAACCTTTCTTTGCCAACTCGTAAACATTCTTACAGGTTCTTGGAGCATGTTGCCAATACAACTCTATTGTAATTTCTCCCATGGTAGTCTCCAATACTACTGTTCTATTATTATTATTCGACATTGCTATATGGTTGTATATGTATTGTATATGTTGTATTATATGTATGATGAATGATTGAATAATGAAGTTGAAGTCAGATTCACACGAATCACTCACTTGTCAATCTTTGACACACTTTTTTTCAAGAATGCACGGCATAGGCCGTGCACTTATTCATTCATTCAATCATATCAACTTGTCTCTATCTCTCAATATCTCTGTATAATATATAATAACAATGACTTCATACTTTAGCAACCTCTCACAGCGTATTGCAACTGCTCTCAAATCAGCTGGCCCTGTAGCTGTTAAGAGTCAGATCCCTCCACCTAAATTCAATGTTAATGTATGACTCTCTCTCTCTCATACCCTCATTCATTCATTCATTCAATGCTTGAGTACCAAGTACAAGTACTAACTACAACGACAACGTACCTCTACTCTTTCATAATATATACAGCTAAAGACAACTGCAGAGGATCTTATACATACTTTTAAGCCAATAGAGATCACTTCAAACAAGGTTGGATGTGATGGAGGTATGTTGACGATGAGAGGAGCGGCGATCGTGTGGACATGATAGGACAGGTCAACTTACAATGGATGAACGGATCAACATAGGTAATGGACCACTGGGCCACCCAATGGTTTACATCAACTTGGACAATCACGAGCCTCAGGCATGTGGATACTGTGGCGTTCGTTTCGTCAAGAAGGACGGACATCATCACCACTAAACAAGGTGTAGTAACAGTAGACACTACACCTACATACCATACTATACATACATTCACATTACATTATATAATATAGACCACCAACAACAAACATGGAGTAAATGATTGAGCGATAGCGATAGCGCAGGCAGGAGATTGTTGCTGATGAAGCAACAAAACACACAGGATAGTTCGAACATCCCTCTGGTCGCGACCGATCAGAGGCAGGCGAATAAACAACTCAAACATAATACCAACTTGTTATTGATTACAACTCAAATGATATATATAGCACAGTGCTGATCAACATTTAATGACGACGACGAGACTAGTCATCACGCCAAGTGACATCAACCTCGTCTGTTCGGAAGCGTTGCGTGCACCATGTGTCGGACATTGGTGTGGTCGTTCCATTCTTGAAGATGAGATAGCCGGCCCAGGCAATCATCGCGCCGTTGTCAATGCAGTAGCGCTCATCGATGGCGAATGACTTGCCATTGCGCTGCTCGACCATCTCGGTGATCATACGTTGCAGTCGCTCATTGCAACCGACTCCGCCGACGGCCAGCACCTCGGTCTGGCCACAGTGAGCCATGGCACGCTCCGCCGTCTCGACAAGCATTGAGAACACTGTCTCCTGCAATGAGTAGCATAGATCCTCCATTGTATACACCTTTCCATTGTCTCCATGCTTGAATCCATTGTTCGCAATGCCCTCCACCGCTGACAATATACCAGAGAAGGACACATCCATGCCCTTTGTTACGTAAGGTAGTTCGATGAACTCTTTTCCTCTGTGTTGCGAGTGCAATGAATGGATGAAGGATGTTAGCACCGCCGCGATGTCCATTACATGTGCTATACTACTAATACCTACTTCTTTGCGAGTTGTTCAATGTTGTAGCCAGGTGATGGATCATTTGGAATGGAGATGACACGGGCGAACCTGTCTAAACAGTTGCCCACAGCAATGTCGATGGTCTCTCCAAAGATGCGATACTTCTTGAGTGAGTATGAGATGACTTGTGTGTTGCCACCACTGACGTAGAGCACCGTAGGGTCCTTGGCGCCAGTGATCAGTCGACCCATCTCGATATGTGCAATGCAGTGATTGACTGCGACGATAGGCTTGCCCCAGAGCTGTGAGAGCATTCGAACGACGACTGCCACTGAGCGCAGGGGTGGGCCCATGCCTGGACCCTTTGTATATGCCAAGCAGTCTATATCATTAGGTGTCAATTGTGATTCCTTGAGTGAGCGTTGTACCAATGCCAGTATGAATGAGCGATGATGCTTTGCTGTGTCCTTTGGAAGGAATCCCTCGCCCGGCGGAGTGATATATGTATGTCTAATGTTTGAAAGGATTGTTCCGTCATCCTTTACAATGCCAATACCAAGTTTATTGGCACTGCCTTCGAATCCCATTATAATAGTCATCTTCGTTCTTCTTGTTATGTGTATCTTTATCTGTTTGCGAATTCGCAAGTTTGAATGAATGAATGATGTTCACGAATGCCTTTTCGAACCCTACCCTTGCCCTTGCCCTGCCTACCCTTACCTTTGCCCACCCTATTGAAGTTCATGATACCATCCCTACGTAGGTGTCATCATTGTCACACGTTGGGAATCACTCTTCCCAAGGTAGACTATATTCACGAACAAAGAGTTTATTCAATCATACATTTATATGTTCAGGGAACAGATAATCATCATCAACAATCGTGTTTTGATTGGATAATGATGATTCGTTCGAACGGATGGATGTAGATAGAAACATTGAGAAGACTGTTTATATTGTATGCTGACTTGGTGATGAAAGAAAGCTTGGGGGGATAACTCGTGGATGATCATTTGTACATGGTTGATAGTTGGACATAATAATATTGGTTGATGGTTGGTTGGGGGTCAAGACTGTTTGATGGTCTGCGCTGTCTGTTGTTGTTGGTTGTAATTGTGTTGTATTGTTTGATGATTGATATACTACTGCTACTACTACTACTACTCTATTACTAGTTATGGTTTACTTGACCTTTGCAGCGTTCTTGCCCTTGTTGGCAGCTCCAGAGGCTGGAACTGGTGGCTTAGACACTGGAGCCAATTTTGAGATAAAGGGGATATCTGGCTTCTCATTGCAGGAGCTGTAGTAAACATAAAGGGTGATCAAACCAACCAGAATAGTGATTGGATGGAAGAGCAATGTGACCAACCACCATACTGTGCACAGAGGGATGGCTACAATGTAGTAAATCAAACTAAAGATAAATGATCCAAAACCCATTCTTGATTTGATTAATTGATTCTATTAATAGTTCTTAAAGTTGAAACTAAAGAGTTATAATGTTGAGTTAGTATTATGTGTATTTTATATATAACTAGTTATTATATTATTACCTTTAGGATGTATGTTATTTATTATTTGTGGTGAGTGTGACTCAAGATGATGATGAAGTGAAGTGAATGAGCGAAGGATTGTGAAGTTGTGTTTGTTGTGTTGATGTGGTGTTGTTTCTCTCTCACTCTCACTACTCTCTCTCTTTGTTTCATTCACACATTCACTTCCAATGGGATTGATTTGAAAAAATTAAAATTAATTGATAGCCCATCACTACAACCCTAAATAGGTAAGTGTTGAACTTCATCCTATTTCCAATTTGTAAACATTGTTGTTGTTGTTGTAGTAGTTGTTATTGTGTTTGCTTTACTCATTCATTCATTCATTTATCCATTCATCCATTATTTGTAAGTATTAATAATAATAATAATAGTCATAATATAATGAACTTTGTATTGTTGTTGTTGAAAACCTACATTGAGGGTTCTGGACTGTCGGATCAGTAGTATGTTAATAAAGGGTATCGAAGAATGCTAACAGTATCCAATATTAGGTGCCTTTGGCAAGTACAAAAATATCATGTAATAATCCAAGGTTAAGGATTGATTAATTAAAATTAAATTCCTCGAAACAATCAAATCGTTTCGATCAATCCACCAGTCAGATAATTGTTGAGCTCATCTAGATTCTGTTTCATTAAATAAGAGACAAATATACAATACAAATAATATGACCAGAAGAAGGAGTACAACCAAAACAAACATCAATGGAGAAAGTATGGACTGAGAAACAGTTGATGCAATTGGAACCAATAGATTTGAAGGAGATGTGTAAAGAGAGGAATACTGAGACAAAGTCAATGTTTAGAAGTACATTGGTAAAGTTGATCTTGAAGTATCAATCAGATCTGGCATTGGCTTCAAAGTTGGCAACACAAATGACACAATACCATCGTGGACTAGTCCATTACAACTTGCCCATAAGCATAATATCATCTATTCTCAAGTTGACCTGGGACTACCTTGTGATTGACGCCAACGAGATGATTGAACATTGTCGCTGGCGTACATCCTTGGCATTTGTATCAAAAGAATGTTTCTTTATCATCTCCAAACTGTTCACCAAAGTCAATCTATGCTACGACGAATACACCGATCCCCTCCTTATGCAACACCTTGCCAATCCATGTTGCCCACTCAATCACATAACAACACTTGAACTGAACGAGTATGATCTCCGACGACTCTCACTGGTCGTCCAACCAGACAATCAATTGAGTCAAGAAGTGCAAACGCTCATACTCCATGCAGCTCCGCGATTCGAATGGAAGAAGCCCAATGTACAGCATGTATTCAACAATGTCCGATCACTCACACTCCATGGTCGTATCATTCGCGAGGTATTCAATCAAGTAATGAACGCCAATACCTCTACAATCGACAAGCTCGACTTTACCAACCTCCGTGGCTACTACCGACTCTCCGAGATCAACTTTGTCCGGCCTCTAAAGGCATTGTACACACGCGACTATGTCACAGGCAGAAACATAATGTCATATTACAAGTTCGACTCGCCACCTCGTGTTGGATTTGGTGGCACGCCTCAATACCTGCGAGTCATGAGCAGTCTACAAAGCATCTTGCGTGGCAATGTCACCAACACAATGTGCATATTTGGCACTGGGGACTTTAGTGGAATGAGCGTAGGCCTCAACCAAGAGCCCCGCATCACTTGCATTAAGATCATTCCTCCAAACCTGAGCTCTCTGACCACCATCTTGGAGGATTTACAAAGGGCCGTCTATGTCCAGCGACTAGTACTCTTCACCAACACTCTGGACTTTATCGAAAACAGTACCAAGGGCAGTGACACACTTGCCTATCACACAGACTTTGCACTTCGATCCACAGTGATTGTACAAAGATCAGATGGTCCAAAGTACAAACACACCTTTGTTCGAGTGCCAGGTCTCAAGCTCTCAGTCGCGACAACATCCACTACAACAACCACAACTACCTCCTCGACCTCAACGTCAACCTAGTAATATTTAGCTTAATAATCAAACGTTTGCTTTATTATTATTTATCTTACATGAACAGGACCAACTCCTCAGAGGCAGTTGGATGGATGGCACATGTGTTATCCAGGTCTTCCTTCTTGGCGCTATATTTATGTTTGATTTGATGTATGTTAGTGATCCCATTGATAATATTCGTCATGATCCATGATTGTCCAACTTACCCCATCTTGACAGCGACGGCAAAGCCTTGAACCATCTCATCACTTCCAGCACCAAGGGTGTGAATTCCAACAACCTTCTCGTCAGCTCCAACGGTCACCAACTTCATATAAGTCTTTGGCTTGTAGTTATCGACGACAGACCAGTACATGTTGGTGAAGCTAGATGGATGTTCGTGAGGTATGAGTTAGTGGATACTCTAAAGTTGGCGATCACGTGATACATATTTGATCACGTGACATCACTTTGATCACGTGACTTTGTGGAAATTAACACTTACGATGAGTTGTAGACCTTGACATTGTCCTTGCCATGCTTTTCGATGGCCTCCTTCTCAGAGAGACCGACGGTACCAATGGGTGGATGACTGAAGATGACGGTTGGAACGTTGGTGTAGTCAAACTTGAGGCCGTCCTTGCCGTTGAACAGACGCTCGGCCAGACGACGACCGGCAGCAATGGCGACGGGTGTGAGCTGCAGCTTGCCAATGACATCTCCGACGGCGTAGACGCCTGGAGTGGTGGTTGACTGGAACTCATCGACGTGGATGTAGCCCTGGTTGTTGAGGGCGACGCCAGCAGCCTCGAGTCCGATCTCCTTGACGATGGGGTCACGTCCGATGGCCCAGATGACGACATCGGCGGGGGGCAACTCCTGGCTGTTGGTTTGGACGACGATACCGGCGTCAGTCTTCTTGAGCGAGGAGATGGTCGAGTTTCCGACGATGGTGACGCCGTCGGCGACCATCTGCTCCTGGAGTCTGTGGGCGAGCATGTCGTCAAAGGTGCGGAGGAAGTGCTCGTGGCGGATGACCAGAGAGGTCTTGGAGCCGAGAGCATTGAGGATTCCTGCGAGCTCGACAGCGATGTATCCAGCACCAATGACCACGACGCTCTTGGGGAGGGTCTCCAGCTCGAAGAAGCCGTCCGAGGTGATGCCCAGCTCTGAGCCTGGCACGTTGGGCACGGTGGGGCGACCGCCAGTGGCGATCAAGATGTGGTCGGCAGTGTAGGTTGTGCCCGACACGTCGATGGCCTTTGGTCCGACGAACTTGCCCCATCCATTGATCGAGGTGACGCTTGATCCCTTCAACATGTTCTCGTAGATGCCGTTCAGACGCAGAATGTATGCGTCACGGGCCTTCTTGATGACAGGCCATGAGTGGGAGACCTTGTCGGCGCCCTCAAATCCGTAGAATGGTGCAGCGTGCAATGCTTCCATGATGGAGGCAGTGTTCCACATAACCTTCTTTGGGACACAACCTACATTGACACACGTGCCACCCATGCGAGTCTGCTCAATAAGTCCCACCTTGACTCCATACTTTGCAGCGCGTCTTGCTGTAGCAATGCCTCCACTTCCACCTCCGAGTACCAAGAAGTTGAAGTGATTGTTTGATGATGTATCTGTTGACATTTTGTTATTGAATGAATGTGAAGAGTAGTGTAGTCTGGAAAACAAATAAATAGATGATGATGATGATAATTGAGTTGTAGTAATAATGAATGAATGATGATGTCGACTTTTGAATAAATGAAGTGTTGGTCTAAACATGTCCTTGACTAATGCATGAATGGAATGATCTTGCTTCTTTTGATTGGATTGTTTGGCAAGTTCTTTGGAGAATGGACTTCAAAAATGAATAAAATCAAATAAAATCATAAAAATGAATGGAATGTCCTTCCTTCAATCAATGACATGATCATCATTCTCGAGAGTAACACTTATTCCATCAATCAATCAATCAAACACATATTACACTATGTATTATTGATGATGATGATAATGTATTTATATATATATATACACACATCATGACTATGTACCAGAGACCAACCAATGGACATTGGTTTTGTCCAAACATGATCAACTCATTCAATCATTTCGATTTGTGATGTTGGTTGTTGTCTTTGGTTGTTGTTGTGTTGTCGGATTGACACGATGTTGTTGTCAAATGATACACCTTACCAACAACTTGTCAAACCTCTTTGGACCAAAGCATACCAACATTACAAAGAGGGGAAGAAATCAAATGAAATGGAGGTGAAGACAAAAAAAACGAGTCTCGAGACTTTGTGTGTGTCGCGATTTGTCGAACAAACCGAGTGAAAGTGCACTCACTCCTCACTCATTCATTTCAAATTGAAGTATTTGTTATTAAACAAATAATAATATTATATAAAAGTATATATATATTGTACAGAGCCCGAACGAACGAACGAAAGAACGAAAGAACGAAAGGACAGGTAAAACAACAATGAGTAGTTACACATCAGACGACGTAGATATATCTGCGCCAAACGATATATCTTTCGAAACAAACTTATTCTCTGTCAACTTCCATCCGACTGAGGACTTGGTAGTAGTGTCCGATGCAGAGGGAAGAGTTAAATTGTATGGTTTATTATGATTGAATGAGTGAACGAGTGAATGAGGTAATCACATTGATGATACTGACACTCTAAAACTCATCCATCCAACAACAACAACAACAACAGATATAGATATGGATTGGAGCAGAATGAGAACCTGCTCTCACTTAGGCCACATACTTCAGGTTGCAGAGAAGCTTGTTTCTCAACAGATGGCAAATGTATGTTTGATTGAGTGATCATTCAATCAATCAATCAGGCTACTCACTTATTCATTCATTCAATCTAGATATATTCACAGCATCGTCTGACCGCTCATTAAAGGTGATCGACGTTCATACTGGAGCCACAATGTACACAAGAGAGGAGGCTCATGAGTAACTATCACTATCCTGGCTTGGCAACGTGGACAACTCCATTCCTAACACACGCCACTCCACGCCACTCCATCCCAATCAATCAAACAAACAGTGACCCAATCAATAGTTTGATTAGTAAGGAGTTTATGGTATTCACAGGTGATGATGAGGGAAGAGTAAAGGTTTGGGACATGAGACAACAGAGTATCGTCTGCGAGTTCCAGGAACATGCCGACTACATCTCTGATATCATCACAATGGACGACAGACATGTTGTTGCCACCTCTGGCGATGGAGGTCTCTCCATCTACAACTTTGTCAGGCGTTCACTAGATGACATCTCTGAGAAGTCAGACAATGAGTTGCTCTCAGTAGTCGCACTTGAGGTATGATCGATCGATCAATCAATCAATCATCACGCTCGCGCATGCGCTAACACATTGTCCATCATCAACAACAACAGAAGGATAGCACTTTGGTATGTGGTACACAGGATGGAACTATACTGATATATGATTCACAGAACTTGGAGAAGCCAAAGAAGTTTGTTGGACATCCACAGTCGGTGGATTCGCTGGTCAAGGTCAGCGAGAATACATTCCTGTCTGGCTCAAGCGATGGAATTATTCGTTATGTTGGCACCAAGCCCAGGAAGCTGCTGGGCGTCATTGGCGAGCATTCCAACTTCCCCGTGGAGCGCATTGCCATCACCCGCGACAACAAGTATCTGGGCAGTATCTCGCACGACCTCTCACTCAAGTTCTGGAACGTCGTCAATCTGTATGAGGACGTCGATGACTCGGACGCTGAGGAGCAGGCTGAGGAGGAGGAGATGGAGGATTCGGATGAGATCGACGGCGAGGAGCAGGTCGACGAAGAGTTGAGCGATGACAGTGATGATATGATGGATGATAGTGATGACGATATCAACAATAATAACAATAACAATGATGATGATTCGGACGATGATGACGATGACACATCATCAGACGAGGACATTAAGAAGAAGAAGCAGTATAAGTCCAAAGCGGCCAAGAAGAAGGAGGCCAAGAAAGCATGGACCAACCTGCCAAATAAAGAGAGCAAGAAGACCACTCGTCGGAAGAACTTCTTTAGCGATCTCTAAAGAACTTACAACATCAATCAACCCATCATTGTCTGTTCCATTACCCTAACCCTCGCCCTCTTACTCTTTGTTTATGATTGGCCCATGGACCACGATATTTAGGTTTTTGCCTAAGATATTTGTTTTTTTTGATCAAGGTCGAGTCCAAGAATCACTCCCATCTTGGCACACTGATCATTGTTCTACAGAGCTAGTTAAGATGGTTGAGTGTATTAAGTACAACTAGCAGTGATCAATCAATCAATCAATCAATCAATCAATCAATCAATCAATCAATCAATCAATCAATCAATCAATCAACCAATCATACACACACTCAATCAATCACTATTATACACTCACATTGAGTGAGACCAAACGATCAATCGAACATGATTAGTATTAGTATCAATGGTGTTGAATACAATCCCTTTGGCGGACATAGTAGTGGGAGTAACAGTGGCAGTAACATCAACCCTTTGATGGACGTTGACTTTGAGGGCACTTGTTGTGTGACCTGGGGTCGTCTTTCAAAACGATCACAACAAAGTATACCAATTACTCTAGACACAGATGGCCTCCTCGCAGGTAAATACCCATTCAAAGTATCTTGTGGTGCAAGCCACTCAATCGTAATGACAAGTAAGTACACTCATGTCGGACAAGTTGCCACACCCACTCACTCAATCAATCAATCACATGACTCATTCACAGTCAAGGGTGACCTCTATAGTTGGGGAGCAAACACATGTGGACAGCTTGGTCATGGCGATCTTGATGAACATACAGCAATACAACCCATTCGAAAGTTCTCCATGTTGAAGGCATTCTGTGGAGATGTGCCCCAGCACATTGCCACGGGCAAGGACTACACACTAGTCCTCACAAGTATGTTCCGGAATCATCCCTGCACACACTCACATAGACTGACCCAAAGCTCATTCAATTCATAAAGGGGATGGAGTTGTATATAGTTGGGGACTTGGAGACCAGGGACAACTTGGAAACATGGTCGATGATGAACAGGCACTCTACTTGTCTAAGCTCAATGGTGGAGGACTGTTGTTGGACGTGCTTTTAAATACCCCAACAGATCCAGGTGCATGCTTCCCTTGGAATATGATCAGTCCATTCCCAAAGAGAATATCAAAGCTGGATGGAATGGTCATCACTCAGGTGGCATGTGGATCGGCCCATTCAATGGCTCTGACCAAGGATGGCCAACTATTCACATGGGGATCAAACTCGAATGGCCAACTCGGCCTTGGTATCGCAAACTCTGTAAACACACACTCTCCTACAAAGGTCAAGATCACATCGCCTCTTGCAATGGTCGCCGCGGGCTTCTGTCACTCGGTGGCTCTATCATCAAACAACACAACATTGTACTCATGGGGCAAGGGCTCGGACGGCCAGCTCGGCCTTGACTCGCGCACTGATGAATCAACGCCCAAGGAGTTGAAACCATTCCTCAAACAAGAAGACACAGTAGCCATGATATCATGTGGACATTATCACACTTGTGTGTTGACCTCTTTCAAGGAGGTCTATACGTGGGGACTGGCCGTATCCCTTGGTCATACTCAGTATGATTGTGAGGATCAGCTGGTTCCGCGTCTGGTCACCGGACTGCTTGGCCAGAACATCGAGAGCATATCATGTGGATTCTCACACACACTTGTTCAAACAAACAATGGCGAGTGCATGACGTTTGGTCAAGGAGAGTATGGACAGCTTGGCCTAGACAAAGAGACTGGCACTCTCTCACCCATAATCATACCATCACTACGACCATACTTTGTTGACTTTATCTCCAGTGGATGGTGGCACTCTGTCGCCATCATATCCAACCGAGGCACGATCAAGAAGAGTCACAGCAGTCTCAACTTTAGCTCGGGCATGACCAAAGTAGATCGATCATCCAACTCAATAATGCTCAGTGACTCAATGCTACATGTAAGTTTCATGTTACAACAACATTCAATCACTCATTAACTCACTCACACATCTGGATCATTTTAGTTGGAGAAGTTACTGATTGAGTATGATGTTCAACAATCATTGGAGATGATTCAATCGTTTGATGATGGTCTGAAGGAGTATGAGGCAATGCAAGGTGATCTGCTGGCACAACAGGATGACGACGATGATGACGACGACGAACCAGTCAACTTTAAGAGAAAGCCAGTGGTACATTCATTGGCCACATTGTACGATAGATTGTAAGTAACTTGAGCAATGTTCATTCAATCAATTCTAACAACAACAATATACATAGTATAAAGATATTTAAAGAGAAACCAACAAATATTGAGACATTGGACATTGACCAAGATGTCCTTGCCAAGATATGGCAGAACAAATTCCTACCAAAGTGGGAAAAGTGTATCAAGTCAAAGGAGTGGCGATCAATATGGAGGCGTGGAATACCACCTGATGTCCGTCCAATCATCTGGTAAGTGGGGCATCACCACAAACTCAATCTCAAACTCATACTCAAACTCATACTCAAACTCAAACTCAATTACCAAAATAGGAAACTGGCAATTGGTAACAAACTTGGTATCACACCAGCTTATTATGAGGAGAAGATAAAGATCGTGGAATTATTCCTAAAGACACAATCAGTGATGAATGTAAAGATGATGGACGACTTTGGAAGCGACAGCGAGACGTCTGATGAGGACGCCAACCCTCATATCCCCTGCTTCTCCGAGCTCAAGGCCACATTGTCCATGCTGCGAATCGACCTGCCGCGTACATTCCCCCAACTCAACCTGTTCAATCGCAAGGGACCCTTCCACACACAACTCACACATCTGCTGCTCGCATGGACACTGCATCGACCAAAGATCGGCTACGTCCAAGGCATGACCTACCTTGGCGGCCTGCTCTGCATGCACCTGGAGCCATACGACTGCTTCGTGGCCTTTGTCAACCTGGTCAACACCCACTTCTTCACGTCGCTCTTCATGATGGACGTGCAGCAGATTGTCAAACACGTCAAGATCTTTGACGTGCTGTTCAATCGCCATCTGCCCGAGTTGCACGCAGCCTTCCGCAAGATGGGCTTCTCATCGGAGCACTACCTGCTCGAGTGGTTCATGACCCTGTTCACCAAGCAGCTGCCGCTGCCAGTGGTGGCGCGCGTCTGGGACTGCTTCTTGCTGGAGGGCGAGTCATTCATCTACCGTACAGCCATTAGTGTGATCAAGTGCTGCGAGCGACTGATCGGCTCATCCAGCTTTGACGATGCCATCCAGCTGCTGCGTTCGATGCCGCAGGACATCAAGGAAGAGGCGCTGTTCTCAGCCATCACTTCGATGCACGTGCCCAAGTTGTTCAAGCGTATCGTCGAGAAGATGAATAAAGAGTTTTGGGCCAGTTCCGAGGCTGAGGCTGAGTTGTCAGAGGACAACGAGAAGTGGCCAACTGCTATGCCATCCCTGTAGGATGCGGCACAGGCAGGACCCTCGTGTAGAACTACCCAAATTGTACAATCCAAAGATGATGTTGTCGCTCTCTCTCAACATGGTTTATTTGTTGATGAGGAACTTGTACTCTTTCCCACTTTTGCCACCTTTGTAGTTCTTGTTGTTGATCGTTGCTGCCTGTACCATGTATAAGCGGATCGCGAAACCAAGAATGATGGCCAATCCGACTGCGGCGAATGCAATCGAGGCAATGAATGATGTTGTTACAGTGAATCCACGGAATACTAAGTAAGTTGTTGTATGGTTAGTTGGCTTGCTGCGCGCCAGACCAGGCCAGGCCAGGCTAGTGAGTGCCCAGCTAAGATAACATACGGATTTTAGAATGTCTGATGTATACTGCCTCGCCATCGTTGCGGGCTATCAGTTTGAATGTGTAGGTCTGCAGCGTGGTGAGGTTGTAGATCACGCATGTGTTCTCGAGAGTTTCTGTACAGTTGATAACGGGCGTGTCGTCGATGGAGAGTGAGTAGCGCGAGGCCGATGTGAGGCCTCCGCGCGTGGTATAGGACACTCGGATGTCGCTGGTGGTCGTCATTGAGCGGATAGTGTCGATGCTGAACACTGAGATCGACACCATCTCGTGAAGCGTCTGCTCAATGTTCATTGGTGGCGTGGAGAAGTTGTAGTTACTCGCCGACACACGAATCACTGCGCTCTGATTGAATGGCAGGTCGGTGACAGTGCACTTAAGTGTTGTCGAGCACTCGGGGTGTGCCACGCCATTGACCGTGATGTTGTAGACGGTGGGATATTGTGTTAGTCCACCGAATGATTGATAGGCGAATGAGACGGATGTCTCTGAGACATCAGTCACAGACAGAGATTGCATGGCCGGCAGCACAGGCATTATGATGGACTCTGTGAGCAAGATTGGACTGACTCCAAGGTAGTTGGCGCCGTTCACCGTCAACTCGAAGCGTGTTTCAATGCCAGAGGGGATGGTATAGATGGTGCAAACTCCGTCGGTGACGCGACTACATCCACGTTGATATGTGTTTCCGTCGAAGTACCAGACTTGGTACGTGAGGGCCATGCCATTCCAACCAGTGCCGCCAATGCCACTCAACTGGATGGTGTTGTAGTCGATGATGATTATCGATGAAACTGTGATCCTGTAGTCATTGATCACTGGGAATGCGTTGTATATGTTGTAGCTCGAGTATTGAGAGCAGACCAACGAGTAGTACTCTGGAAATCCACTGCACCTTGATGAGCTGGCGAATGTCAGTGCCAGTGAGTATCTATCCTGTCTCTCCGACCTGACATATTGCTGTTGTTGTTGTTGTGAAATGACTGTTTCATCCGGTAGGCATACACCCTCAACTACCGAGTACCTTGCATTCTGTTCAGGGTTTGGTATTATACATCCAGTGTCATTGTTGAAGTTGTTCGAACTGTTGTAGCCATTGAGAGATAAGTAAGTTAGAGAAGGTATAATGAATGATAGAGTAAGGACCAACATACTTTCCCCATGACCATGAGTATCTCTCATAGTATAGTGCATTCTTTTGAGGGATGACGGGGACGTCGGTGAGGATGAACCGGGAGTGAAGCCATGTTGTACAGCTATTTATAGAGAGAATGGTGTTGTTGCTGTTGTCGGGGTCATAGTAACTACACTGTCCATCGTAATAGTAATTGAACGATAGGTCTCCACTGCTGTTGAAGTAATTGAGTGTAAACATGAATGAGCCCTGTCCTTGTGTCGTGTGTGGATAGCAAACATCAATCATATATGAAGAAGCTCTCTGTACAACTCCATTGCAATAATAATCGTTTGTACCAAATGTTATCCAATGTACCCAATTAGCTGTACTATTTTGTAGTTGTTGCTGTTGCTCTTCTACTTGTTGTTCTTGTTCTTGTTGTTGTTGTTGTTGTACAGGGGTGATATATGATGTTGATTGAGTGTCACCCTTTGCCAACACTGCAAGTAGCAGTAGCAGCAGTACTAGCAAATGAGTTAGGCTGTGTGACATACTCTTATACAACTACTTGTTGGCTGAATTAATGAATGAAGTAGACAAGATGTCACCCTCGAACTTTGAAATGTTGTTCACGAAAACAGATAATGACCTGTTGTAGAAGGGGTGGGCTCAAGGACCTAGGACCCACTGACAGGGTCTTTGCCTCAGAGGTACTGAGAGGTGCCATGGCACGACATCTCATCAATCTGAATCTTCCACTTCTTTTTACAGACTTTGATGTTATTGTCCATCTACAACAAGGTTAAGAATCTGACATGCCAGCTGGCAACATTGACATCTTGTCCCCACACCAGTTATTTACCGGATTTACATCGTTCAATCACTTTACAGTGATCACTAGACTGTATACTAAATTGATTGATATAAGGTGTGTGAAGTCTCGTTGATGGTGTGTGGAGTGCTGACGAGGCGAACATCACTCCAGCCCCACACACACACAAAGACCATCCATCCATTAGCCACATCTTCAAGTAATAATGATGCCCCTCTGTTCTTTCATTTTCGTTGACAGACTAACAAGTAGTACTACAACTGTATATACAGATAAATGGAACAAAAGTCCAAGCTACTTGTTGCATTGCTCGCACTAAGCTTTGTCAACTGGGTAGCACTCAACTATTACTGCACTCTAAACGTGTCGTCAAAGGTATATACAGCCTTATCTCTGTCTATGTTGACGCATACTCCTCTAACATACCTCCTCTGACTAGTTGTTTGATGTACACATCTTTGGCTACGAACTGAACTATGCCAAACAGTTGATAACCAACTTGTCAGAGCAGGAGATTGAAACATATAGATCAATGTACACTGGACTCGACTTGACAATGCCAATATTGATGTTCTTGGATGCAACGATCGTGATATCAATGTTATATCCATATGGTTCAGTGTCTGGAGCACTCGCACATCTGTGTCCACTGCTATTTCTAATCTTTGAACTGTTGGAGAACCATGCCCTATACACAGTATTGACTCTGTACATCACGAACAAACCATACGACATCAACACCATTACTATCGAATCACTATTGACCAACGCTTCATTCTACACATCATCCAAGTTTCTAACTCTAAGTAAGTCAAGCCAATTATAACTCTTGTTATTGTTGTTGTGATGGATGTATGGGTTGTGAGGCGGTTGCGTGAGGCATGCGGAGACTCTACTCTACCCTGTCCTGGCCCTACGCTCCCCTGGGCCATACCCTTCATACATCCATCCCYTCAATTGATGTCCTCAGACAAACTAAAGGACAAGAATGGTTTGAAATGACTGGTACTAACACTCCACGTCTACGCTCTTGATTGATCCCGCTTTAGTACTCACTGGRATTGGTTGTTGTCTGTGGATACTTTGACGTTGGAAGAGTCATGGTATCTAAATTTAAACCATTTTAGCCTCATCCAAAGGACAAGAATACGCATTCATTAGAACATGAAGGATAGGCCTTATCCTACCACATGCCCCACAGACGTGATTGATGGCCACATCAATAACATGTGAGCCTATGTGTGTGTTTGATGATGCTTGTCAAGGGCGTACCCGGCAAAGCACACTTGTTGCCCTGAAACATTGATCAGTTTCCCGATCATGTGAAATCAATAGCATTACTGTAAAACGTGTTGTTGTCACAGCATGCTAGTTGATGTAAAGACTACCATCAAATTAAATGCTCTTTCGTGTGTCTAATACTAATACGATCACGGGTGGTGGTGATGTGATTAATCACATTGATACAACCTTTACATGTAACTTAAAAATAGATCTCGTCTCTTTATCCATCATCCATAGAGATGTATCACAATCCTCTTCGAATAGAGCGCGACAATGAATTAATGATGAAACGAATGTAAGAAGAATCAACCATTTTGATCAATGCCCCAACATATATAAATAACAAGTAACAATAATAATACATCATTCAATATCAATATCAGCCAAGAGAGAGTGCGAGAGCTAATCATCGAATATAGCCACACACCACCGTATCGCGTAGTCTTCTCTGTTTTAAAGTTCATTGATTGACATCACATCACACACACACTTATATATCTAAGTCACTGATCAACCATCAATCAGCCACACACACACTCACACACACTTACAACCAAACACCGTTTCACCCATCAAACACAAACCCCCCATTCACCAACAACATCCATCAGGTCAATCACTCACACACGTTGTTCAATCACCAACACAGGTTCATCAGCCAAGACACCATTTTAAACACTACCCTTTGGTCAGTCATTCTTCTCTCTCTCCTTTGACTCAAAATAGTGTGTGGACACATCATCTCGCGCACCATCTCCAACAACATCCACTTCCAGCCATCCATCTCAAAGGTCCACTCTCTCTTCCCTCTCCAAAGAATCAATCAATCCAAACAAACAATCAATCAATCAATCAATCAATCAATCAATCAATCAATCAATCATCATCAGATAATAATAATACTTTATATAATATAATACTTTAAAGAAGAAGAAGAAAGAAGAATGTTTAACATGCTTGGACTGGATCAGATTGTTAGGAACAAGGCATTGGCATTGTCATTCCGCAAGTTCTTGTACGAGAGATATAATAATGAGAACCTGTCCTTCTGGCTGGAAGCTGAGAACTACCGTCTGATCGAATCAGATGACAACAGGATCAAGCGATCCAAGGAGATATACAACAAGTACTTCAATACCGAGAGCAAATACGAGCTAAACATCGATCACTGCCAAAGAAAGGATCTGGAAAAGAACATGGCCAATCCCACCAACGAGCTATTCCTGCCAATCCAAAATGCCATCAGGCGTCTAATGGAGATGGATGCCATTCCATCATTCACAAAGTCCGATTCATACAAGAAGTGTTTAGGTATGATTGATCAATCCAATAATTATAATTATCACAAAATGACTAACATCAATCACATTCCAATCACTCATTAATGTGAACAGACAACAAATATGAGTTTGAGATTACAACATCAGAAAGAGATAGGAGTGTAACAATATGTGAGATGGAGGAGTTCTTGCAGACACATACTCCAACACCAACCGTCAAGTAAATGTAGGGTAACATTGGCGCGCCAAGCAAACACTTGTAGCAATAGGTGCCAACTCGCTCTCATACAGATGGACTGGACTGGACTGGACAACCAATCAATCATAGGGTGCAACTATTCATCCATTCCCGTCCAACCATTCCCGTCCATCAAACTGTCCGATGTATATTTTTTATCCCCATGTAGAGAGAAGTGATCAAGTCAATTCAAGACTGGTACGAGTTGTATATTGATTGGGACTGATGTGTAATAACTTAAGTCCTCATCAAAGCATATGTAATAAACAGACACACACAAGGTCAGAGAGACACTTCTCTCTCGAGAGACCATTAACTTAATGTAGACGACAAAGGGGACCAAGAGCAGAGGGGTCACAAGGGCCATGTTGATAATGGTAGTTGAGTTGTTAAATGTAATACATCAATGGGATTTGCCATCCATGTTTATATTTACAAAGGACTCTATATTCCTTTTTGGATTGACAGAGGCCAGGCCAGTCACTTCCACGACAAGCCCTAGCCCTTACCGCTCGATCAGTCGCTCAAGGTTTTGCTTCAGTGAACATATTGATTGCTCAATGTCGGTGAGTGAGTGAATGACTGTTTGGATGGACTTCTTCCTCTTCTTGGTCTCTTGCCCCAGCTGACTGTTGAACTCGTCGACAATGTCCTCCTTGATCTGATTGATCTTGGCCGCCACTTCTTTGTCAATGATGCCACGTAGGTCCTTCATAGCATGTTGTTTGAAGTGATTGGAGAACAGATCCTTCAGCGACTCTTTGAGTATTGACTTGATGTGATCAGAGTCATTGACAATGTCACGTAGTTGTGTTTGATCGATTATAACAGTGGAGCCATTGTGATGTTGGAATGCTGTCTTGTTCGATGTGGTCGTGGTGGATGTCTGGGCGTCATTAAAGTTGATGGGGATGGTAGGGGCGATGTAGTCGCCGTCCGAGTCGTCTGGAGAGGCATAGTAATTGGCGCGTTTCTTGTTTGAAGGCGATACAACTACTAGCGTAGGAGGGATGCCTGGCGACGAGTAGGGTGTCGATGGCGGCCGAAGGTTGTGCGAGGGTGGTGGTGTTGGCGGCGTTGGCGTTGTCTGCTGTGTCAAATAGTTGTTGTTGCTAAAGTAGATGTTGTTTATCGTTGTGTTGATCTGTTGCTGTTGACTACTTGTGATGCCACTGCTGCTCTTCTGACTGCCCTGGCTCGAAGATCCCCCGCCATTCTGTGTAGAGACGATCCTATCATCCTCGTCCTCTTCCTCCTCAAAGCTGTCGATCGTCATCTGTTGTTGAGGTGCTGAAACATCATCCAACAGCGGGATTGTAGTATCCATAGCGTTTGGCTGCAATGAGTCCATTGTACATTGATCCAACGTGGCAATATTGTCTGTGTTGGTGTTTGTATTTGAGTTTGTTGTGAGAGATGGCCTTGGCTTGATGGGCGTGAGGTCCAACAATGGGTCGGCCAACTTCTTCTTGGCCTTGGGCGAGAGAGGAGTGAATGATGATGATACTTGTATCCTGCTGCCAGGTGTCTTTGTCATTGTCGTCGTTGTAGTTGTTGTTGTTGTCGTCAGATTGAGTGTCTGTACAACAGGGACAGGTTCGACATTGGCTAATGACGGGATATCCGCCTGCTCCTTCTCCTTTCCATTCTCCTTTTCTTGTCGCGACTGTGCTAGATGTGCAGCCAATGAATCTTGCTTCCTCTTGCGTATCTTCTTCTTTTCCTCATCCTTTTGATAGCCATGCCATGACTCGCGCACATTGCTGTATCGGTCGTTGGTCAGCGACCACTTGTCATTCACATCCCTGCAGGCGATCTTCTCGCACACCTGTACAATGCGTTGCATGTTGTCACATGGCAGCGTGACCTTGGCGCGCAGCTCCTCAATGGTGATGGGACCGTGCAGAGCCAGGAGATGCAGCATCTCGGCCTCAACCATCTCATTGTCCATCTTTGCCGCGCCAGGTTCCTGTTTGATTGGCGGCTGCTTGTAGGGCGTGGGTGGATGGAAGTCCAGCTGCTTGCGCTTGTGAGACAGAGGTGTGATTGATTGAGTGGCCAGAGGAGAGAAGAGATTGCCGTCGTTGGCCGGTGCAGTGGTCGTGGACGATGTGCTTGAGCCTTGTGTCGAGTACTGTGACGTTGGAGAATGATTGTTCTTGCCAAGGAACTGCAGAGGCGATCGCTTTGTGGGCGTGACCATGGACGACGAGTCGTTGGACTCTGACGTGTCGTTGTCCACAATCTCCTCATCCCTTTGCTGTGAGAGCTTTTCCTGCTTGACCGCCGAGATCTTGCGTTTGGCCGCTGCCGTGCTCGGCTTGGCGGGCGCTCTTCTACGCTGTCTTGGCTTGGTCGGTGTAGAGTAGTCGTGATCCACCTCCTTCTTGACCTTCCTGACCTCGTGGTGCACTGGGAACTCATGTGACTTTGCGTTGATCCACTGCTCAGCACAATCAATTGCCTTTGTCATCTTCTTCATATCAGCTGCCTTCAACTTTTGTTGCATTAATTCTTTTGAGCAATATGCTTTGATATGATTATCCTTTACAAAGCCGCTGGATCATGTAATTGATTGATTCATGTGAGTGAGTGAGCGAACCGAACGAGTGATCAATTGAGCGAGTGAATGAGTGTCACTTACTAGTCGTTTGAACCAAAGAAATAGACGAGGAATTGGTCCTTCTTACAACCTCGAAGTACTGATTGAGCGACTTCGGATGGTCGTGCGGCACGTCCAGGCCAATAGCCCCAATGTCCGTACAATACAGAGTATACAGTGATCTCTGTAACGTTTGGTGGATATACAATCTGTGTTGATTGATGTAATTGTGATGATAATGATGATGTATTATTTTGTTGTTGTTCTTCTGTTGATGGTGATGTTGGTGATTCTGCACTACTCATATTTATTTCAAATGATCTAAAGTTGTAACATACTAGTATGTTATATATAAGTAATTAAGTATGTATGTAAAGTAATATAATATATATAAGTAGAGATAGAGATAGAGATATAAATAGTGTAAGCAACAAATTGAATGAATGTGCATGTGTTTGTTTGAAGTGGTGTGTGTTAGATCGCCTTGTTGCGAAGTCTTGAAGATTCAAATTAATCTCTGATTCCGTTTGGGGCTGTGGCGCCAAACAATGTGTGTAGTTTTTGGGAACATACAGTTGTATAACCTCAATTGTACCAAAGTGGATCTTATTTGTATAATAATAATATAATTATCCTTATTATTTGAATAATCCACATATTTACAAATAAGTATTATCTGTATCTCCTGATCACCCGCACTGAATATTAGTGACATGTGTTAAATTGTGTAAGATTAATGATTGGACGAACGTCCGAGTATTTTGTATCAAGGAATTCTTTTATTATATGAGCAAATTATTTAAATAAATATATATTTAATTAATATAAATAAACTATCAAATTTGACATTTTATTCAATCATCAATCATTCTTCCATCAATCAATAAATTAAACAATATTTTAAAAAATGACTTTAATCTCTGCCTTTAAGAACTTGGCTCCAACTCATCAACAATTGCTGCTAACTCCACCTCCAACTTTGGAATGCAGTCGTCCAACAAGAATGCCAATCTCTTAAATTCAGGACTCCTCGCACTCATTGCTGATTTCCAAGGAAGCATAGGTGAAACAATGATCTGTGCATCAGCTACTCTCAACTAACAAGGGATATAAACCATATTCCTCTCATGTCACCATTACAATAAATAATAAATAAATATTATTATTACACCATCAAATATTAGTTGGACATTTCCAAAAATTAATGGGCATATTCCAGACTTTGAGAATGAATGAATGAATGAAGTTTAATTAATATTAATGTTGTTGCCTACCTTGGTAGAGGGTGAGAGTTGATGATGTGAAGCGGAGTTATTGATACTGATACTGATACTACAAGATGTTGATGTTGTGATTCTCACGAAGATTCTTTTGGACGATGGTCTCGCATTGCTCTACGAATTGGTTGCTGTTCTTTGGTTGGTAGTATATCTCGTGTCCGAATTGCTTCTTGCAGAAGATCTCGCTCTGTTGATTCCTCAGGAACATCTGCGTGATGTTGGGATTCTCGTTGAACGTGTCGTGGATGTTGGAGCACGTGTGAATGAAGATGTCCTCGATCTCGGTCGACATGCCGCTGCTCACTGCCTGCTCCGTCAGCGTGTTGTGACTCAGGAAGTGATACTGGAAGGCTGATGGCGAGATTGTGGTGTTGGACGTGAGGCCCGTCTGATTGAACGTGTCCTTCTCGAGTGACTCGACAACCGAGGAGATTGGACGCGCCATGATCTTGTTGAGGTATCTGTTGGCTTGGTGACCCAACTCGTTAGTCAGCACTGCGACCGTGACCTGCGGCCAGAACACCAGTAGCAGCTCAACTGGGACAAAGTTGGCCGAAGGCTCTGGCTGCTTCTCCTTCACGTGCTCATGATCGTCTTGCTGTTGTTGCTGTTGCTGCTGCTGTTGCGCGGCCTGTGGTGGCGCGTCTGGGACCAGAGGTACGTTCAAATTGGTATAGTCCCTCTTGTAGGTGGCCAGCTTGTTATAGTGTGCCGGTGATATATATACAGTGAGCGTGTCGACGTCCCAGATGCCAGAGTATGGGTATGTTCTGTTGGAGTTGTTCTCTTCTCGCTCGCGATTGATCAAATCCAAGATGTGACGAGTCGTGTCCAACTCGATGTTTGTGTACAGTACATGATTCTTGATGAATAGCGCGCCGCCCAAGTGTTCAGGGAAGATGATATTATGTATCAAGTCTGATGCTTTGAAGAATGTCTTGTTCGATCCCTATGCGAGGAGGAGGAAGAGAGAGAGTGTGCATGTTGGTACAATGTTCGCGAATGATTGATTGAATGATGGAGTGATCACAACTTACAGAAGGCAGTGGAGTATAGGGGATGGGCATGAATGATCGCATTCTGTTCTGATAGAGCTCTGTTGAGAACTTGGGCATCATTCGATTGAGGATGCGCTCCATGCGTATCTTGTTCTCTTTGGACTTGACATCTTGGAAGCTGCGGAAGTGGAAGCAGAACATGTTGTAGAGATGATCGAGGTGTGCCTTGATCGTTGATGGCGGGATCAGGTTGGACGCGGTCAGGCCCATTGTATAGGGGCCGACGATCTTGTAGGCGATGGTATGTCGCTCCAACACCATGTAGTCGATCTGACTCTTGCTGTTGAAGAAATCGATCAGTGTGCCCATGAACGCCAGTAGCACACCACCGTACAGTGCCTTCCTCTCCTGATCCTTCTCTTCGGGATAGTAATATATCGTTGCTTCATCCTGTTGACTGGACTCATCCGAGTCGAACTCATCATAAATCGCAAACAGCACGCCCTGGTGTGGCAGGGTGAGTCTAGGCTCATCCTCCTCCTGTTCAATCTTTGCCTTTGATCTGTTGTTTGACATGATTGATGTATATGTATATAAGTATGTATGTATAAGATAGTGATACAACAATGTTGCAAATGATTGATTTCGGAAAGCAAGTTTCGTGGGAAACCTTTGATTCAAATCAAACCACAACCCTTACCCTTGCCCTCTCTTGCCCTCACCCTTACCCTCGCCCTCGAACACTAACACGAACATAGTCACGGACATTCATTATTGGGAACATCTGATGATGTATATATTGGTACCAACTACTATTGTTGCGACTGTGGCTGTTGCTGATGTTTGATTGGGGTTGATGGAGACGAACCCTCGTCACCACTGTCTACAGAGTGATCGCTGCTCAGAGGTGATCCAACAACTACATTGGTATCGGTTTCATCTTTTTCACTAACGTCTGTCATCAATGGAGAGAATGATCGGGGTGAGTATTGTGACTTGGTGAGCGCTGAACGACCGGTCATGTCAAAGATGGTGGTGGACGATGGCGGACGCATGGACTTCTTGAGGATGTTCTTCTCGACCTGGTCGCTGACTGATCTGCTGCGCCTGTGTCCAAACTCGAGCTTCTTCTTCTTGATCTCTGACAGACCGAGGAACGACGTGAGCGTACCGTTGTTCTTGTTCGGGCTGACGACCAGGGCCTCGAGTTCTAGCTTCTTCTTGGACTCGCGCAGCTCGTTGATGACGCCCTCAGAGTCGCGCAGTTGCTGCTTGAGCGTGCTGAGGTCGACGTTCACCGACTTGTCGCCGCCACGCGACGCCATCTTTTGGTACTCGATCAGCACCTCCTTGGACTTCTCCTCCATTTGTATGAGCGACTCGAGATGCTCGATCTGGTTGATGTTGGTCTTGTGGCGGTCCTGGATGGACAGCATCAGGCGCACGGCGTTGACGCCAAACATCTGCGTGTGGAAGAACTGCTCAAAGAACTTCTGATAGCTCTCGGGCAGGCACTCGGCCACCTGCTTGAACTGGTCCTCCAAAAAGTGGATGCTCTGCTTGTTGACCAACTCGATGGAGGAGGGCGCATCGATCGTGCCATTGTTGGTGGCATTGGCTGTCGTGCCCTTGGTATTGATGCATGCGATTACTCCACTGCTGATCTGTTCCGACAGCCAACTGTGATACTCATTGAACGTTGCTATGATGTTCTGAACGTGTCTATTTTTCAGATGATCATAAGGTATCTTGTTCTGCAACTTGAATGTCTCTTTCCTGTGATTGGTAAGTGTTTCCAAACTGTTTGAATGGCGAGTTAGTTGGTTAGTCTGGGTTGGTGGACCTATCGAGTCGGTCCTTGTACAGAAGGCTTCGAACTTACAGTTTCTTGGCGCCAGGCAACTGGACCGGATTGTCAGGATAGATCACTCGCTTGCTATCTATATCTACAATTAAATAATCCTTCTTTGTCTTTAGTATCTCTGGTGGCAACTCATTGATTCCAATAAAGAAGGGGACTAGGTGGATGGAGGGAAGGGAGGATGGGATGGTTAGCTTGGGGATGGCACCATTAGGTGGGGTAAGGGTCGCGTGCCTGAGAGGAGGACTTACATGGCGCATCGAGTGTCTCCAACAGACTATCTGGGAGTATGGGTATAAAACAACATTGCCAAACATATGGCTTCAACAACGCTATGAATGAGAATCTAATGATGGCGACGACATGGACAGGTTAGTAGTGGCGCCACATTGATGTGTCATAGATGAAGGTACATACATGAAGGCTGAGATGTTTCCTAATTCCTTGGAAACGACCAGGATAGATCGTTCTACCATGGCCCATGCGAATATATTTACAATGTCCTCCAGACTCATTGACTCGGACATGGTGAACAGTGACCAATCGGCAATCATGCGATCCTCGCCACCCTGGGGACAGTGGAAGTCGGTCTTGTAGTCCTGTCCAGGCACCTTGAACTGAATCTTGTCCTTGACGGTCTCCATGTTCACTTGATAATACATATTGATAATGTCCATTGTGGCAATGTTACAGCTTGGGTCCTTGGCCTGTGTCATTGAGAACAACATGAACATTCTCTCGCGCTCCAATATCGAGTGGAGCATCTGGAAGTGAAGATTGAAGAATGGGAATCGACTGAGGAAGCAGTATACTCTTGGCGCGATGAACTACATTGATTGAATGATCCAGTGATTGAATGTATGATTGGGTGATCGGAATGGTTCCAGTGATTGATTTAATGATGTAGTCAGTATGGACACTGCAAGATGTCGGCACGATGCATTGATACTTACATCGTATGTCTTCCTGAATGACTTTCTTCGTTGCTCAGTGGTGTCGGCCTCCTCGGTATCCTTGGCCGTCTTCTCAGGCGCGGGTATGAATGTGGGCAGTGTACATAACTCTTCCTCTTTGGTGATGCACACACCATAGTAGAGTGTGGATGGCGTGTTGAGCAGGAAGACGAATGAGTGCGCAGGGTTGAGTAGGTGCGAGAGGTTGCAAAAGGCCACAGAGTTGAGCGACGATGAGCTGTCGGAGCGCATTGAGCTTCGTGAGATGACTCCGTTGGGGAAGCAGAACTGGGCGATCATGTCGTTGGGCAGTGGCGTGTCGGGCGGGTAGCTATAGAGTATCTCGGGCTTGTGTCGCTGTCGTTCCTCATCGCGTGTGCATGTGAGATTGAGTGTGGATGGCAGACCAACGACCAGGAAGTGATCGAAGAGGTGGCCGACGCGACTGGGACGCACGCCGCCAACCAATGGTCCTGCTGTATCGTTATAGTCACGTGTCTCCTCGCGTATCGACTCCAATGTAGGGCTTTCCGAAGAGTATGAATGGTCGCTGTAATGGTTGTATGATTGTGATTGTGATAGTTGGACTGGTGTTCCCATCGTCGAGGGTGTTCCTATTGCCGGGGTAACTGTTAAAGGTGTTGACATTGTCGGTGTCAACATCGTTTCCGCCAAGTTTGATGTTGATGTTGTTGATGTTAAGGTGGATGTATGTGTTGTCGAGGTTGAGGTTGAGGTTGAGGTTGAAGTAGTAGTCGTCGATTCAACTACTGTCGTCTCCTTCATCAATGAGAACATTGATTGAACAAGTGTGTTGTTGTTGTTGGTACTATTGTTGTTGTTGTTGCTGTCTGATGTAACATCGAGGCTGGTGCTACTTGTCCTCAAGTCTGCCATTGAATGGAAGCCATTCATCGCTTCCTTCAGATTGGGAGTGGACCTGAACATGGCGAACTGCAAGTCATCAACATTCCTCCTACTCAACAGGCCACTATTCTCCAGACTGTGCGGATGTACATTTGAAGAAGAAGAAGAGGAGGTTGTAACATTTGGTTCAATCGTTTGTGTATGAGTAGTAGTATGATCAGTCGTCTGATCAGTTTGATCAGTCTCATCATCATCATCTTCAGTCATCTTTGTAGTCTCCAAGTCTACAGCAGTGATATCAGGCACATCACCACCGCTTCCAGTCGTCTTGTTGTTCTGATGTTCAAGCTTATCATCATTCACTGTACATCTATCTTTGACCTGATCAGACAATGAGTGAATCTGAGCGTCAACATCACTACTATCCTTGTCCATCATCGCCACAACTACTGATTATGCAATGAATGAGTGTGTTTGTGTTTGAGTATATTGCTAATCAGACTTGTATAGTATAGTAAAGTATATGTATATATATAAATAAAGGTTATATAAGTTACTCTGAATGATTGAGTGAATGATTAGTGAATGAAAGAAAGAATGAATGAATGAAGGAGAGACACCACCCAGGGTCAGCAGATTAGATGTTGTTGGAAGTGTGTGTTTGGAGAGTGTGTATTTGGTAACCTTTTGGATTCAAATTGGATGCGACCAACACTCAAACATCATCATAAAGACAGAAAGTAGCGTCGTCGTCGATTCAAATAAAATTGTTCAGTGTAACCAAGGGAGCTCGGCGAATTCCATTCAAACATATCTATCAGCCTTGTTGTTTGACTTGTCTTTGACTTATTAGTTCACAAGGCATAGTACCTCCTCTCAGCAACTACTACAACAATAACAATGTGGATCATAATCATTAACATTCTTCATCATCAACAAAACTAATTGCAATCCAATACATTCATCCTAATCAAGTTGTTAGAGCTATCCGAATGAATGGATGAATGAATGGATGAATACACATATACACACAACACACCTACCCTTAAATGATTGTTGACAACTGATATGGACTTGTCAGGCAGTCAATCAATCACACTGCCCCGATTAAGCCTTCTTCAAATACCTCTGTCAATCAATCACACAAACACTCACACACCACACACACATTAACGACTTGACTGACTGCCGAATTGATTGACTGTCCCACTTTGTGTAAACTTATGACCTCAATGAGAATCCATTACTTAACAATGTGAAGTGAGAGGTGCAGTCTCTTTCCATATCATTCCAATCAACTACACTACCTTCAACATTGTTAAAACAACAACAACAAAGAATAATAATACACAACAACATGTCCAATCTTCAATATACTTGCAAAGTTCAAGGATTTCCAACACATCCTATGCTTATCAACTCTCAGACCAAACAATATGAAGGTCCAGTACATCTCTCCTATGCCTACCTTGCTCCAGAGGACATGACCGAGCTCAGAAGGTTGGCCAAGACATTGGATGGTGAACTCTCAGAGGGTACAGTTCATTATGAACACAAACAGTATGTCTCCCTCCTCTCTTTATGAATACCCATACTAATATCATTATTAATAGGGCAATCCATCTCATTCATCCTGCCAATATACGTATACCAGAGTCATTTGCTGGTGCCAGTACCTCTACATTCACTCTTGAGAAGAGGAACAATCTGGTGTTTGTTGTCTATCAACATCCTGAGGCCAGCCCAGATATGATGGAGGAGCAACAACAGATGGATATTGATCCAAATGATGTTGGTGAGCTAGTTGAGATACCCTGGAAGGATCTCGACATCAACAATATCTGTAATACATTCCACAACATCAACAAGAACGTCAATCACAACAACAAAAACAACAATCGCTTTAGAAACAATAGGAGGAGCTTTACTCATTTCCATATTGTTCCAGACGATGACATTGTCTATGTTGTTATGACCATATACTTTGGCCGTCATTGCTCCAAGTCAATGGAGAGACAACTCAAATCTACTCTCCTCCACCGACCAGTGCCAGGCACAGCATTTATCTTTGCCAGGAACGGAGACCCCAAGAACATCATCACATGTTACAGACAACTTCTATTCCACCAAGAATAGATGGGTATCTCTTCCAACTCCTCCTCAAGTTTATTCCAAAAAGCAAATCCAATCAATCCAATCAATCAATCTCAGTATCTAAAAAAGGTAATATCTCTATCTCTATTTTTCCTTTTGGGGAATTATTTGTTATTCTCCCTCCATTGAATGTTGTTAGGTCTCTAAATTGATCCGCTCCATTGGGGAACATCACAATCATGTTGGCAAAGTCTGTTTTGTTCTTCTGATGCTGTAGCCAAGAATATTGATTACTCTTGATTAAGTTGTAGAATGTGTTTAGACGGTCTTCATTTGGAAACACCCAACATGTGTACCATCCAGGTAGGAGCCGATAGGCACCAGCCATATCGAATATATGATCAAACTGTTGGATTATATTGGAATATTGTGATCTAGGTGATTCTGATTGTTCATCAATTCTTGCCATTACACCATTGTGATTGATATCAATTACAACTATTATTTTCTTTAGTTCCAACAGCTTCATCATTCTGTAAAATATCAGTTCTTCCCCATGACATTCTGGAAGAGGGAACTTTAGTCTTTTAAAAGTATTAATAATCTGATTCTGATACCAATATTGATCAACTTTAAGTTTATGATCTAAATACATTATAGAATTATAATTATTTGTATGAACTTTATTTAAGAGAATCAGGGATTATGAGGTAGGATGATGAGTTATGAACAAATAATTTGTCTAATAAATTGATTAAAGTATTAATATTGTTGTGGACATTGTTTATTCTTTCATTACTACTTTTGGAATTAATTAATATATACCATAATGTTTTGTATAATGGAGGGTCAATCAGATTACCATTTTTAGTAATAATTTTAGATTGGTGTGATCAATAAAGGAGTAGATGATGACTTTAAATGATTGACTTATTTATTTATTATTCATTAAACATTATTGTTGTGATTGTGCTGACTCGATACTCTGGACGAGTGAATTGATAGAGCTGGATGCTATTTGTTGCGTGGAGAATGAGTTGACTTTGAATTCACGCTGGATCCAATTCTTGAGTTGAACTGTTAGGAGTGAGTCTACTCCATAGTCCTTAAGGGATACATTGTTGTCCAACTTGTCCATGGAGAGTAGATCGGTGACCTTTTTTGAGATCATGTCAAAGATGCCATTGGCACCGTCTTCGCTACAACTGAGCGATAGTCCCTTGGATGATTGTATGATATCCTCAACCTTGCTCAGGTACTCCATCACTATCCTCATGTGTGGATACATCTGGAACATTGGCTTGAAGTTGAGTGGTCCCAGCATCACCTGTGGCAGGGACATGCGGTTGTTGAGGAACATCTGCATGCCTCCAAGTATGTTGGACACGGACAGCAGGTCAAAGCCAATTGATCTGAGGAACTTGGACACGGCGGGGTTGTTGACGACCTCGCCACCACCATCGAGTGCGCCCCAGTTGACAGATATTGCGGCCAGGCCTTGGGCACGGCGATGGCGAGCAAGACCGTCCATCACAGCGTTGGACGACACGTACGATGATTGATTGGATGATCCGATGACGCCAAAGATCGAGGAGAACAGGATAAAGTTCTTCAAGTCCCATTTGAACTCGAGTGAGAGTGTGTGCAGGTTGTGAGCGCCGACTGCCTTGGGTTGATGGGTCATTGCCAGACTGTCCTTGCTGATGCTCTGTACCTCGGAGTAGTTGTACATGGCGGCAAAGTGGATGACTGAGCTGACCTTGGCCATCAATGGATGTGCGATGTAGAGTTGTTGAATTATTGATCGTGTTGCGGAAATGTCTGAGATGTCCACTGATCGGTAATGAATGTTGATTCCAGCGTTGGCTGCCAGGTTGCTGTTGATCATGTACTCCAACTCCCACTTTAGGCTTGATCGTGACAGTACAATCACATCACGTAACATCTTTGGCTTGTTGTCCAATATCCATCTCAATATAACGATTGCGATACCTGTCTGGCCAGTGATCAACAATGTCTCGCCAATGTTGTGCAGTCCTTGCATGCTGTCCATCATACGTGTGTAGTTCGAGGAGGTGGTGTTGGTGCTGGAGGTGGAGAAGTCGACCACGACCTTGCCCATTTGTCCATTGATTGGTTGGAATGCCAACTTGATGTCGCTGACAGGGAACACAGTGATGGGCAGCTGTGTGCTATCAATGGATAGTTGTTGTTGCTCAAACATGCGGGTCAGCTGGCCGAGGTACCTCTGGATGAGTTTGGGTTTGTTGATAGCCAACTGCTCGAGATTGAAGCTTGTGTAGCCATGTGGTTGCTGGAACTGCTTGCAACTAATGTTGTCATTGTCGACTGAGTTGCTGGTGGACAGATCAATGATGCGTCCACATTGACCCAAACAATCGAATGTTGACTTGAGTGATGATCCACTGCCACTGCCTGTGTTGATGACCAAGTTGACGCCACCGCGTGCAGATATCACATCAGAGTATGTTCCAGCAATATTATGTTGTTGCGATTTATCTTGATCACAAACAAATACATCGGTCAACATCGCCCCATATTGATGCTTGAGTGATTGAGCATGTTGTTGTGTGCTACATGTTATGTACACTTTGCCAGTGTGCTTGGACTGTTGGAGCAGGTTGAGAGTGGCTCGGCCAACACTTGCATTCACATCATCATTGGCGATGATCAGCACGCTGTCGTCACCATCAAGGTAGCCTTGGACATATGTTGCAATGTACGATGTGAGGTAGTCCACAGGGAATGATGCAGCTTGTGCGAATGTGAGGTTCCTGGGTTTAGCCACGATCCACTCTTCATTGACCACGACATGAGATGCCAGTGAGGCGAAGCCCAGACCAAGGACTTCATCACCAACCTTGAACCTTGAGCATGTTGATGAGGTTGATGTGATCACGCCCGAGAACTCAAAGCCAAAGGGTGGATCGTAGACATGTCCCGAGAGCATGAGGTCTTGGCTGACGTTGGGATCGGCGAACAAGCGGTCCTTGGAGCGGACACCAGAAGCCATCACCTTGACCTCGACCTGTCCATTGGCCACCTGCATCCTTGGTCTGAACTCCAACTCGAGTTGTTTGTTCAACTTGCTGTACAATGCTTGGTCGGCCTCACCACGGTCTGGAGCAGAGCAACTGGCGACCAACTTTGGAATGATCTTGCAGATGTATGGCACAACCAGGTTGTTGGTGTCCAATCTGAGCGAGTACTCGCGCTCATTGAGCTGGTCGAAGCGGGAGAGTTGGAGGAGGTAGTCCAGAGTGACGCGCTTTGCAAGGGCAAGCGAGGGCTGTTCAGCGGACTCGGTCAAGTCGACAAAGACTGATGAGAATGAATCTTGGAACTCGAGGAAGTATCTAAAGATGCCAACCAATGATGAGTTAAAGTAGTTGCTCGACTGATCTTGTGTGCCCATCGTAGTGAGCACGACGTTGGTGTTGGTCACTCTGTTGCGCAACAATATTTGATTGATTCGGACGTACTCCATTGTCCTCTTGAGGTAGTTGTCCGAGCCAAGTGGTTCCAATCCCGCCAGGAATATGATTGAGCATTTGGATGGTGCTTGGGAGTCTTCGCCACCACCTCCAATGAACTTGATCAATTGTTGTTCGGACAATGTTGCTGTGGCCTCATCGATGAAGTGGCATGACTTGAACACTTCGATCTTGTTTGAGCTGAGCAGGCCTTGCTCTGTGAAGTGGCACTCCAGCTCCTTGACCGCAGGGTTGTCCGAGCAAGCTATCACAAACACAATCCTGTCGACATCCTTGACCGCGGGCAACTGATCAATCCTTGGTCGTTGGGTAATCTTGAGGTTGGGCGTGATGGTAACGAGTTGTCCACTGGGCGTGAGGAGTGTGGACAGGTCTTGATCAACAAGTTGGTTGTTTGTGATGATCAGGTCGAAGCTGGCTGGGAGGTATCCTTGAGGGGTGAGGTCGACTTCATGGTTGATGGCAGTCCTGAACTTGATCTTGAATGTCTCACTCTCCTGGATCGTGGACAGGCCGAGGTCAAGAGGCTGACCATCAATCGTGGGGATTGAATACTCAATGCTGATTGATTGATTGAGTTTGATTGATTGGTGGGCAGTCTCCAACAACTCGATTTGTTGAGTCTGGTCTGTGAGATCCAGTATCTTGAATATACATGGTGATGATGAAGTCTTGGAAACTGAGGCCAATGTATCGCCCAGCAGCTGTGAGACGGAAGCTCCAGTGGTGCCAGTGACCATACGCGACAACTCCTTTGGCTGCCATTGTTGCTGGAACAAGTACTTTGATGGGTTCTTTGGAACAATATCCTTGGTGCGCTTGAGGTAGTGACATACCATGCGCTCACCTTGCATCAAGAGTGTGCCATCCTCTAGGAACACTTGACAATCACCAGTGCATGTGTTGCCAGAGTTGGTGAGCAGGCGCACAAACACGTAGATGTGCTCCGGTCTGGTCTTGGGCAGGTTGCAGTTGTACACCTTCATGCCCGAGACACCTTCGAATACCAGCTCGGTTGGGTTGATCAGCGCGATCAGACCCTGGGCACAGCTGTCCAAGATTGGTGTGTTGAAGAATGTGTCCACATCATACTCAGACACTGGTGGGTTGACCATGATGGTGGACAGGCAGCAGTCCTTGCCCATGGCCGCTGACTTCATACGGCTGAATGACTCGCCAAACTCGATGCCCGATGGACGGATCTTCTGGTAGACTTGCTCGTGTGTGAGTGTGGCCAAGTTGCATTTAGCGCGCAGGGCGGCCACGTTGACCTTGGGCACCTGGTGCGGTTGCATGGGCTGGTGGACAGAGATGCGGCCAAGTGCTGATCGTGTCCATTCCTCAGTGTTGTGATTCTCGCGGATAAGGAACTCGACACGGAACACGGACTTGTTGTCCAACTCTATGAAGTTGGTCTGCAGATGATTGAATGTGCCCTCTTTGAGGAAGAATGGGTACTTGAAGTCCAACGAGTGGATGTATACATCGCGGTCGCGGAATGCGCGCAGGATGTTGTCCACGTATCCAGTGCCTGGGAACAGGGACTGACCCTTGATCTTGTGTCCCTTGAGGAATGCGAATGGACGCTTGGCGACATCGATCAACGCGAGATATGATATGCCTCCTGCGTTGGATGATTGAATGCGATGACCTAAATGATTGTTGGTTGGGCCTTCCAGACGAGTCTTCTTGGATCTCAAAGGCTCGGTCCAATATTGATTGGCGTCCCACTGGTAGCCTGGTATGCACGAGGTGGTCTCTTGCCAGTTTGATGTTGCGGCCACTTTGAGTTGGCATGAGAAGTCGATGTCCACACCATGGAAGTATACGCTTGTGAGGGTTTTGTGGAGTGTCTCTACATCGCCATCCTTGCGATGAAGTGATGATACGACCAATGGGTTGAACTTGATGTTGTTGAATGCGCTTGGGACTGGGACTGCCTTCTTGATGTAGAATGCCAGAGTTGGATGTGGTGCAATCTCCAAGAAGACTGGTGACGTGCCCAACTTATTCTCGGCGATGTGAGCATAGATGTTTGTGATGGCCTTGTTGAAGTGTACTGGTTCGCGCAAGTTGTCAAAGATGTACTTGACATTGTAGTCCTGCTTGTTGGTCATGACCTCGCCAGTGACCGTCGAGAAGTAGACTGCACCATTCTCATCATTGTCCATGTAGTTGATTTCTTGGAGATCAGCAGTCTCCATCACTTTTTGACGAATGGACTCTTGCTTGGACGAGTGGAATGAGCAGGGGGTGGTGAGCATGATGGCAAACACACTCTGGGCCTTGAGCTCTTGTGTGATGGCCATGAGGTCTGCCTCATCTCCAGTGAGTACGATTGAGTCGGGCGAGTTGTAGCATGCAATCTCCAGTGTGGGGTAGCGCGCCGAGTAGTCCTTGTTGTAGGCCACCTCGCCAATGCCCACGGACAACATCCTGCCACTGCCAATTGTTGAGTTCTGGAGTGTGGCGCGATGATACACGATCATACATGCAGTCTCGAGGCTGATGAAGTTGGCGCATAGAGCTGCGGTGACCTCGCCAAAGCTGTGTCCAACTACAATCGATGGGCGAATGCCCCAGTGATTGTAGAGGGCGACCAGACCGACTTGGATAAGGAAGATCGATGGCTGCGCGAGGATGGGGTGATGGATGTCGGCAGCGCGGTCGTCCGGCAGCGTCCTGATCGTGTTGAGAATGGAGTAGTGGAAGTGCTTGGCCATCATGGAGTCACATTGATCAACTGCAGCCTTGAACACTGGACTGTTGTTGTACAACTCCAGTCCCATACCAGTCCATTGTGGTCCTTGACCACAGAATACAAACACAATAGGATGTGATTGTTTGCGACTGAATGATGCCAATGTTGAGGGTGTGGACGATGCGCTGAACTGCTGCATTGGTGTCGATTGATCACTAAGCTGCTCCCACGACTGGGCCACCAACACTCTTCTATTTGATGGGAAGTGTGACTTTGATTCGATCTGATGGCGGACGAATTGATCAAATGGTACCTTTGCCTGAAGGTCAACATCCAATCGCATTGACTCAATGTACTTGTCCACAGACACCTTTGAGTTTCCAGAGAATGGAATAAGGTATTGACGTGGGACTGATTCGATCACCTGAGTCTGAGTCTGGACCATCTTTGATTGATGAAGGGGGGAGTTAGTCGTGGGACACTCAATCAATCACTTAATCAATCAAACATACCTTTGTTGGAACATGCTCCTCGAGAATGAGATGGCAGTTGGAGCCACCGAGACCGAAGCAGTTGATGCCCATCTTGATGACGCGGTCCTTGGGTAAGGGCGTGGGCTGAGTGACCACGCGTACCTTCCACTCATCCATCTTGATGCTTGGGTTGGCTTGATTAAAGTTGATGCTGGGCATGAGCATACGATTCTTGAGCATTAGACTGACCTTGATCAGCGAGGCCACACCAGCAGCAGCCTCAAGATGTCCCATGTTGGACTTGATCGATCCAATGTTGAGTGGATCATCAGACTTGCGAGTCTCGCTAAACACCTTGGCCAGCGCGCCCACCTCGGTGGGGTCGCCAACAGGTGTGCCAGTGCCATGTGCCTCGACGTAGAAGATGTCAGAGGCTAATGAGGCGGCATCCTTCAAGGCAAACTTGACATTCTCGGCTTGAGCAGTACCCGATGGTGCAGTCAGTGATGACTTGTCGTTGAAGCCATCAACATTTGTGCTGCCACCCTTGATCACAGCATATATCCTATTGCCATCCTTCACTGCTGAGCTATACCTCTTCAAAAGGCACACACCAGCACCTTCAGCTCTAACATATCCATCAGCTGAGGCATCGAATGAATGACACTTTCCAGTCTTGCTCAGGGCACCTATTTATGTATTTGATTGAATATTTGATTGATTGATTTATGTTAGTGATTGAACTAGATTCGCGAATGTTCTAATGATTGAGTGGTCGTGCAACAAGTTGATTGATATTATGGTTCAAAAATTTTGATCTAGAGTGATTGGAATCATTCCAGTGAGTGATCGACTTACCAATGCTGCTGAGAAGGATTGTTGGCGAGCACTCTAGAAGATCGTTAACACCACCTACGATAGCCATTTCACTGGCTCCAGATCTGATTGCTTGACATCCAAGAAGGGCAGCATTGAGTGATGAAGAGCATGCAGTATCCAAAGTGAGTGAAGGTCCACGGAAGTCAAATGCATAAGACAGTCGATTGGACATGAATGTAAGAATGTTTCCAGCCAATGAGTACGGGTCCATATCAGTGATCTCTGAGTTTACAATCTGTTTGTAACCTTGTGTCATTGTACCGATGAACACGGCAGTGTTGCTGCCACGCACAGTCTCATACTTGAGCTGGGCATCCTCGATGGACTCCCAGACCACCGTCATAAGCAGACGAATCTGTGGATCTATCTGCTCAGTCTCCATCTTGGTGATTCCAAAGAAGGTTGGATCAAATGTCCGCCACTCCTCGTCGGGCAAGAATCCTCCTGCACAGTTGGTGATCAACTCCTGGTCGTAGTATGACTTAGCAAGACGTGTTGGTTGTAGTTGACTAAGGCAATCCTCACCATTCTTCAATTTTGACCAAAGTTGATCAGCATTCTTTATGCAGGCGTCGGCACCTCCAGGAAAACGCATTCCAACTCCAATGATGGCAATATCATTCTCATTAATATTATTATTATTGTTGTCCATTTTGGAATAAATTATTTAATTAGTTGATTGGATGAGGGAGTGATTTAGTGAATGAGAATGATCGATAAAATGTATAACTTAGAAGAAGTATGTACAATATAATTGATTAAATATTTGATTGAATGGTTAAGTGATGATTGAAAGGATGAATAAATAGTATTCGTTTGGTGCAATTGGGGAAGGATGTTGGTGAAAAAGGGAGGGATGGAGGGATAGAAGTAGGAATGTTAAGTCAAAGACTAGACTTGGTATTTCCAAAAATGTAAATGAAAGTTATGTATATTATTGGTTGAAGTAGTTAGAACACTTGTTCATGGTTTGTTTCAATAAATGAATGATCAGTGACTGTCCGTGGGTGATGATGAACCTTCACTTCTCATCCCGGTCTGCCCTAACCCTGCCAACTTCAACGAATGTCATTAACCAGATGTGCCAATATAAACAATCAGACCTCTATCCATAAGGCTTCAACTTTGTTGTAGTTGCCTGCCTGTGAATGAATGAATGATAAGTTGTGTTACCACGAGTTCCCAAGAACATTCCTGATCTGCCCCCAAACTAAACACATGTACAAATTGTGTAAGAAGGGGCTAACACTGTTTGACCCATTGATGGGGGCTCTAACTCGTCCGAATTATATATCCATATGCTCTACCTCACTCATTATTGATCAGCATAAGCATCGGATTCCCACTTTCCCCCGTTTTTCCATCATGATACACACACTTCTTCAAACAAAAAGGTGGGTGTGATCGAAGTGGTGTTGTGCGTGGTGTTTGTTTGATTGATCGTTTGGTCATCGAATCGGCGGATAAAAATAGTTTTGGTTGGATGGTGTATTGAACATCTGACCAGTCATACTGGTCAGGGTACTGAGTAAATTATCACTAACATCACATACTTCTAAAGATGTCCAAATACCTTGTACAATGTCATTCATTCATTCATTCATTCATGCAAGTTTATTAAGTACTACTGCTTGCTTGATGTTTGTTGGTTAGTTTGGGGCAAAGGTGATGGGAAGTCGATTCCATCGCCCAGAACTATGAACTGGTGTTCCAGAGGTAATAGTAAGATCGAGAATGAATGTTGCCCCATTCACCTGACTTGCTTGGCAACTCGAGTGGCCCTAATGTTGTCTAAAATTAGTCAGTCCTTGATATAAGGTATGAATGTCTTACGAACTTTGACGAATGATCAACCTAATCAATCATCATTGACTTGCACAATGATGCGTCGTTGGGGCCTTGCGAACGATCAATCAAATGATCTAACGATCAAACGATCAAACGATGATTCAAAGGTATCGACTGATGATCACTTTCTTTGTAGAGTTTGTGTCCCTCATTATTCTGTATCCAGGGAAGTGGAGTGAAAGATCGTCCAGTGCATGAATGTCGTCGTACTGATAGTAATAGCAGAGTAGGAAGGTCAGCTGAGGTATCTGCTTGAGGTAGCTGGCCAACTCTGCTACATTCTTGTTGGTGATCATGTAGTCAATGGACAGGAACTCGACACGGTTGTCTGGATTGTCAACGAGTGCCTGTAGCAACTTTAGATACTTGGACGAGTCGTCGCTGGTGATGTATTTGGAGTCGAGTCGCGAGAGTACCCAGAGCTTGCGCAGTGTTCTCGAGGTGCTGACCAACTTGATCAAAGCACCAATGACGGCCTCATAGTCATACATGATCGATAGCAACTCAATGCGAGGCAGGTTGCTGAATGACAACTCATACTTGTGTTGACGGTGACGTTTGAAGGGTACCTTGAGCGAGAGGAATGTGAGATGGGGCGCGTTGAGAGACAGGGGTTGGGGCTGACAGGCGTTGTCCATAGCCGCCAGACTGTCCAGCTCCAAATGCATCTTGCGCAGTGGCAATCTGCTGAGTGTGTGCGCCATCGTGTCGTCCAGAATCATGTATCCACCATAGACCTCGTTCAATTGAAGTGTTGTCTTTGATATGTAGGCTGCCAGTGCGGTTGTTGAAAAGGTTTGTGTTCGCAGAGCCGTGAGCGACTTGAACCTGTCCAGCTTGTTGATTGATTCCTCGGCGACGGCGCTGGTGGAGGAGGGCGGCGTGCTAACGTGCGAGTTGATGTAGCCCGACGACGACTGGGAATAGTCAAAGAGCTCGATGATCCAGTTGCAGCCAAAATCCAACGAGACGAGCGATGCGGGCAGCTGGTCGAGGAAGGCGATGTTGCGATGGTTGCCTGGGATGATGATGTGAGTGAGCTGAGTGAACTTGGTCATGTCGAGGTTCTTGAGCTCGGCATTCATCGTGAGCTTGCGGAGCAAGGGTGGCAGGGTAGTCGGGTCGACAGCCAAGGGCTTTTGAGGTGCCTTTGTAAGGGCATAGTTCCCAAAGTAGGCGCTCGGGTATTTAAAGTTGAAGCGGAGGTCCAGCTCCTCAAGCTGCGGGAACAACTTGGACGTGACGAACAACAGACCATCCTCAGCCGACGAGCATGTGAGCGCCAATGACCTGATGTGACGGAAGGCATCGATATCAATCAACATATCTCGGCTATTGAGACCGCACGAGGCACTGTTGAACTGTTTGATCAGACAGTATGGATGGGTGAGGTGAGCCAGCAGAGTCTGGTCCACTGTGTTTGGAGTGACTTTGTCCAAGTTGTATGCGGACACATTGTGCATAATGGTCCTAACGCGTCTGAACCAACTCCAATTGACCAGTGAGAATCTTAACCATTTCAATCCACTATTATCATGATATGTATATCTCAATTGTTTATAAGTACATAATATATCAATCAATAACATTTGTACATTATAAGGTAACAATGACAAATTGTTGTTGCTATTGTTGTTATTGTTTATATCTTGTGTATTGTCATCTTCATTATTTAATATGAATGGTAAATCATCCATATCTATCTCTATATCTATCTCTATCTATATCTCTATCTATATCCTTGAGTCATATCACAACATTCAATAACTTTTCAATTATCTTTCAAACTTAACAAAGACATCAAAATGTATCCAAAGTGTTGTTGAGATCAAATCTTTGAAAATCATTCAAATTCCAATTTGTTTTGATCAATCTAAAAATAGATAGTTATATCAATCATTTATCAATTAACAATCAATCAGAGGTCAATAACAAACAATATTCAGATAGTAGTAGGCTTCAATTCTTTTGAATTGAAAGAATCAGACCTTGGACAAATTAATATTAATAATAATAATAATAAAGATAAAATTGTAGTTTGACCATTTTCTAGATTGTGAGGCAAGATTATCCAGATCCAAAATCTGTTCTCAGAGTGCACTTATTGTTTCATTATTAATATTATTAAACATAAAATAATAATATTATTAAAATTATTTATTAATCAAATGGTATTTAAAGTTAACAATGATAAATTGAAAGAGTTGTTGATCAACACCAACAATGTTCGTAATGTTGCAATAGTTGATAACTTTGGTGAGAGAAAGGATATCTTGTTTGGACACTTGGCCAATTACAGTATCACAAGTGACTCAGAGACTGCAACTATAGTTGGTCAGCAAGGTTCATCCACTGGCGAGCTCTCCAGCATCCCGCTTCATTACAAAGAGAATGATTCCACTGTTCAGCTACCAGAGTCGACCAAGGGCAAAGAATTCTTGATCAATGCCATCAATGCCCAATCTCATCTCGACCTCTCTAGCGGGTCGGCCCGCGCCCTCTCGATAAGTGATGGTGCCCTGTTCGTTGTCGATCCAATTGGAGAGGTGAGTGCCACCACCTCCAAAGCACTTCGCCAGGCCATCGACAATGGAATCGTTCCAACATTGTTCATCAACAAAATAGATCGATTGATCTATCAAATGATGATGGATGGAGAGAATACCTACCTCGAACTATCAAACATATTGTCAAAGTACAACAATATCATTGGATCATCATCATCGTTGTCCTCACCCTCACTGGACCCATTGGCTTTAAATGTCGCATTTGGCAACGTGGAACAAGGATGGGGTTTCACTTTGGACATATGGGCCAAGAAGACCATCGGTACCTCCACTGAGGGTATTTCTGGTGTTCCCAAGTTGTGGGGCGACAACTACTTTGACATTCATGCCAAGGAATGGTCTACTAAGCTCACTTCAGGTTCGGTTCGTGGCTTCACTTATTTGCTCTTCACTTCCTTGAAAGTGCTCTTAGAGGATCCAGCCAATCCAAAGGTTGAGAGTAGATTGAAGATCAACTTAACTGAGAGCGAGAAGGCACTCCCCTCCAACCAACTGGCCCCACTTGTCATGAGGAAGTTATTCAATCTTGAGCAATGTGTTCTTGGAATGGTTGTTCAGAAGGTCCCATCACCAGTGACCTCCCAAGGAATCCGTACTAACAAGTTGTACGGAGGCAATGGAACGGTTGATAAGGTGGACCTCCAAGTCATACAACAATGCAACTCAAATGGACCTATGTTCTTCCAAGTGAGCAAGGTCGTCCGATCGACAACTGGTACCGTGTACAGCTATGGTCGTGTGTTCTCTGGTTTTGTCCTGCCAGGCCAGAAGGTGAGAGTGTTGCCACCACAATACGACCCAGTCACCAACTCTGGTGGTGTCCACACAAACAATATCAAAGCTTGTAGTGTTGAATGGCCTTGGAGAGATCACCATCGAGTCCTGTCCCGCTGGTAACCTCGTCGCTCTGGTTGGCATTGATACTGGAGTTTCTAAGACCAGCACCCTGACCAACTCTGATAAGGCAAGAACAATTTCGACAATCAAGTACTCAATGGCACCTTTGGTATCAATGACCATCACTGTAAAGTCAGCATCTCTGACCAAGTTCAATGAAAAATACAAGGCCAATGGCAATAGCGATGTCATTTCTACAACAGTCATCCGTGATGGGGAGGCCTTGATCGGTGGTCCAACTAAACAGACCCTTGACCAATACTTAGCTGACCTTCTACGAGTTAGTGTCGAGACCACATCGTCTACACCAATGACATGCTACTGTGAGACGGTATCCGATCAGTCAATGACTTCCATTGCCACGTCGTCCAACAAGAAGAATAGTATGACCTTTAAGTCAGAACCAATAGTCAATGAGCTGGCCCCCTACATCGAGTCTGAGCAATTGGCTGTTAACATAGTCGATAGACCCAAGAGATTCCAAGATTCTGAATGGGAGGCCGATCATATCAAGGCAATTTGTTCATTTGGACCTAATGGATATGGCACCAACATCTTGGTCAACTTGGCTAAAAACTATTTGGTTATGGACTCGATCATTCAATCCTTCCAATCTGTCACCAGCCAGGGATCACTATGTGATGAGCCAATGAGAGGAGTCAGGTTCAACCTCACCGAGGCCAAGATCAGCTCGGATGTAGCCCTTTGTGGAGACGGTCAGATCATCCCTGCTGCAAAGCGTGCACTCCTTGGAGCTCATTTGGCTGGGTCCGTTTGTCCAAAGGAGCCATTCTACAATATTGAAGTCACGGTTCCTCATTCAATTTCCGATTCAATCATGCATATAACAGTCCAGCATCAAGGTAGTCTTGAAGAGGAGCTTGATCACTACACCAACAAAGACCTGACTGTAATCCGTGTCCAGATACCTGTTGCTCACTCATTCGGATTCATTCCAAAGATTCAGGCAGACACCAATGACAAAGCCCAGGTGCAAGTTGTCTTTGGTAATTGGGTAGTTATCGATAATAACCCATTCTTTGAGGGCAGTCCTTCCAACAAGATCGTCAAGGCCATCAGGACCAGGAAGGGACTTTCCCCAACTCTACCAACACTTGATTCCTTCGAATTCCAGTAATCATTCATTCATTTATTCAATCGAAATAAAGTACTATGTCTATGATTGATCGATCAAACAACTAATTGATTGAATGGGTAATCTTATCTCCAACCAAAAGTGATTGGATTGTGTTATTTGTTTGTTGAGCGCCACGCCGCCACGCCACACCATATTGACTCGCCAACTCGCGTTCTTTTAGATCAAGTTGCGTGAGTAGAGAGGCTTGATGCTGTCTTTGAAGTAGGTGAGTTGCTCGCTGAAATGCTTCCTCAGGTATCGCTTGTCGAATGGGCTTTGAAGATGAGGCGCGATCGAGTTGTAGATGGGATGCAGGACTATGACATCCAGTGCAGAGTAGTCGATCATAAGTTTGGAGAGTGGACGCTGTCGCCACACCTCTGTATTGCCCTCCTTGAAGATATCGCGCACTTGATACTTGATGTCGACGGCGCGCTGAGATGCGTGCTTGGGGATGTACATGTGCGTCAGCTCCTGCAGGCCGTATCGGCGAATGGGCACATTGCCCTCGCGCTTCTTCTGCAGCAGGGCGTGCGCGACCTGCAAGTCAAACACGTGATTGAGCGACACTTGATGTCGATGGTAGAGTATCTCGCTGTCTCGGCGACAGTCGTGCACGACCTTGAGGAATGTGTTGGACTCGAGTATGTCCTTGAGCCCGGCGGCAAACACGCGCTGGCCCAGTGTCAGCACGTCAAACAGGAAGACGGTGCCATTCATCAGTGCCACCTGGACGAGTGCGACCTCGCCCTGCTTGCCCATCTCCACGCCCTCCAGATCGAACGATATGACGTGCTCCTTCCTAATTATACTGAATGTTCGCTCCAACTGCTGTTCAGAGTCAATCCAGAACACACCATCGAATGAACAATGCTCCTTGTCCAACATAACAACATGAGTATTAGCCGGATTACTCCTGTCCCTTATATCCTCTTTAAAGTGTGCAGTAGTATTAGGTGTACCCAACTTTCCATCCTTTATATCTGTCAATGCTTTCTTTAAGTTCTGTTTGTTGATCGTTCGGTCGCGAATGAATGAGTGAGTCAATGTTTGAATGAACATGAGCGAGCGAGTCTATGGAAGGTCACTTACCTTGCCAGGTAATGTTGATAATCGTTTGTATACAAGACTATTACGTTGAGCTGATCTTGAGATTGAAGGTGTATCAGTGTCGTCAGAGTATGATGAAGTTGATGATGAGTAACTCATTGATTGATGATGATGATCCAATGTTAGTGTCGACAATCTACTACATCTACTATTACTATATATATGTTGTTGTTGTGATGATATACATCTTGTTATTGAACGTATCATATTATATATGTTATATGTATATGTATATGTTATATGTATAAGATGTGACATCAACTTGTTGTCATGAATGAATCTGTTTAGTCGTCTTTTGGTCAACATATTCGAGACAAAGCCCACATTTTCATTGATTTTGCGAAACAGATAAAGAGATAAAGTGATACAGATACAACAACAACAACAATGGCAATGTACACTGGTATAGAACATAGAACAAAGATGATCAAACTATTTAGATCATTATTAAGAGTATGGACTGATGTTGTTGTTGGGAATCATGCGATGAATTGACACTCACTCAATCACTCAATCATTCAACCTCATCATTAGGAACGATTAAAGCTACCAACAGAGAATAGAAGACAGTTTGTATTACATAAGACAAGAACAGAGTTTAGAGAGTCAAGAGAACTGACTGATCCAAAGAAGATAAGGAGTTTAGTTATGTATGTTTGATTGAATGAATGAGGATGATTGAATGAATGATTGACAATAGGATGACAGAGTTGGAAATACACATTTAGATACAGTTATGATACAGGCAAAGCATTTGAGTACAATACTCGAATATGAACCAACACCTATAGAGATTAGATTACAAGAGAAGGAGGCTGGTGGTAACGCCACTGCTTCAACACTATCACCAGAGGATCAAAAGACATTGACAATCAACAAACAACACATTGAACTCGAACGAAAGAGAGAACAGGAGCGACAACTAAGGCAAGCAAATGATAACAACGAAGACGATATTAAATAGAGAGGCATGCCGGCCCATCTACACGAGTAGTGGAGCGCATGTTGTATGATTGAAGATGAATGAATGAATGTACATGTTATTGTATTCACAGTTTGATGAAGGTCAGATCTTTGGATCACTCTTTGGAACATCCTGGAAGTGGACAATTCTGGCTAAGCTGACTAAGTAGTCCAATGACTTCATCGGTTGACGAGAGATAGAAGGAGTCATTACACGTCTTCTTACCCACTGATACGGTGCACATGGTGCCATTGACCACTGGCAACTCACTCTGATGGATGTGCGTGTCGCCAATCATCAGCACAAAGTCCAGACCCTTGGGCACGAGGTCCAAGACTGCGCGACGAATGGATGTCGCCGGATTGATGTTGTTGGATCGCACGCCCAGCGTCTTCTCGCCAACGATCACGTCCAGCGGCAGATTGTCCAGATGGAGGTGCAGCTCACGCGCCTGGATCGAACCAAAGGCAGGGTCGGCATTGCGATAGTGCCAGGTGAACAGCATCTCTTTCTCCTCAAAGAAGGAGCCGGGAGTGCGGATCGTGAAGTACTTGAACAGTGGACGGATGCTCTCCTTCCAGTTGGGGTCCATTGGAGGGCACATCTGCTCCCATTCATTCGAGTCGCACTTCTTGGTGAAGCAGCCAAACTCTGCCGACAGTCCAATGTTGATGCCGCTGAACCACTCTCCCAGTGTCTTCTTGTCCCTGCCGCTCATCAAGTATATCTCGTTGCCCTTGTCCGCGGCCAGCTTCTTTAGCATGGTGAGCAGCTCCTCAGATGGCTTGCACGATCGTGGATGGTTGGAGAAAGGGATGAGTGCGCCGTCGTACGTCAACACGAGAAGTCTCCTGGTGCTGGCTTTGTATGCCGCGACCACCTTGTCAACATTGAGCTCGGGTGTCGCGCTGAGCCTGTCGGCTTTGGAACTGGCCTTGAACAACTCGCTAACGAATCCATTGCCCCAGTGACTGGCAGTGTGTTTAACAATGAAGTTAAACAACATACTATGTTTCTCTGCGCGCTCCTTGTCCGACATCAACAACGCCTCATTGATCGAGTCGGCCACATCCTCAGTGTTCCAAGGATTAACTATTAATGCTCCACTTAGTGATTGTGCGGCCTATGTTTGATTGTTTGATTGTTAGTTCGGGTCATGACTGATAATGAGATAATGCGATGAGATACATACTCCTGTGAACTCACTTAGGATGAGTGCACCTTTCTTCTCTGTTTGACATGAGACGTATTCTTGGGCGACCAGGTTCATTCCATCTCTGATCGATGTGATGAGACATGCATCCGAGACACTGTACAACGCCGTCAACTCGGACATGTCTACAGATTGGAACAAGTAATGAATGGGCTGTTGTCCCAGTGAGCCATAAAGTCCATTGATCCTACCGACCAACTCCTCTACGTTTTGTTTCAACTTTTGGTACTCCTCAACGTCCTGTCTAGATGGAACGGCAACCTAATGATTGATTGGTCGGGTTAGTGATTGAGTGAATGAGTGTGAGCGAGCGGGGATGGGACATACCTGGATGAGGACCAACTTCCCTTTCCATTGTGGATACTTTTGGAATAACTTCTCCATGGCTTCTAACTTTTGTGGAAGACCCTTGATGTAGTCTAATCTGTCAATTCCAATGATGATCTTTTGTCCTTTAAAGTTCTGCTTGAGCTCTTCAATCCTATTCTTGACCTTCTCAGTCTGTAGCAACTCAAAGAACTTGTCTGGATCGATGCCCACGGGGAACACACCAACTGGTACGAACTGTCCGTTGAGGTAAACACCGTTGGGCGCGGTCTCCAGGCCCACCATCCTCGTGCACGCCTTGAAGAAGTGTCGGGCATAGTCGTAGGTGTGGAATCCAATGAGGTTGGAGTGCAACACACCCATCAGGATCTCCTTGCGACAGGGCAACACACGGAAGATCTCACTCGAGGGGAATGGAATGTGCAGGAAGAAGCCAATCTTGGCCTCGGGTTGTTTCTTCTTGATATACTCGGGCATCAGCATGAGATGGTAGTCATGCACCCAGAGTAAGTCGTCGGGCGTGTAGATTGAGAGCACGACATCGGCAAACTGTTGATTGGCCTCGACGTAGGCGTCCCAGATGCTCTCTTCATAGTCCAGGTTGCCAGGTAGGTAGTGGAACAGTGGCCATAGCACTCCATTACTGAATCCATTGTAATGATCGTTGGCAACCTTCTCGCTGAGGAACACTGGGATGCAGCTGTGCTTCTCATAGAGCAACTTCTTGACAAACTCGCGGTCTGCCTCTTCGATCTCGGAGCCAATCCATCCGACCCATATGTAATTAGTTGATTTGAGGCCTGAGAGTGCGGCGACCAGACCGCCACTGCTCATCTTGCTCGTCCAAGTGCCATCGGCTTCCTTCTTCAACGACACTGGCAATCTATTTGATATTACTACCAATCTACCATCAAAGTTTGACATTGACTCAAGGCCAGGTGACATTCCATCATTCGATGATCTTATATTATTATAATGTTGTTGTGGTGATCTTGATGTAGATGTCGATGTCGAAGTAGTAGTAGTTGTTGATGATGATGAAGTCGACATATCTCTTTATATTTCTCTATCTTTATTTCTCTATATTTCTATCTCTATCTCTAATAATAATATATGTTAGTTGTCTTGCAAACAAGAAGTGGATGTTAGTCACACTAATGTTCTGTTTACTTCATCCATCCATCCATACTCTTGAATGGGTGTGTGTGTTTGTTGGATGGATGAATGAATGAATGTGTGTGTTGAACACTGGATGTAAAAGGGTGTGAACATACACTTTCATTGGACATAACATAACAAAGATGTGTGGTTATTATATTACCATAAATGGAGTGAATGAGCCTTGACATCTGTCTCATGTCATTATGAGTTGAGACAAATACAAACATTTCAAATCACTATTTTGAGATAATCATTCTTGTTATATTTATATATCTACATGTAAGTACTTTAATTCATTATTTGTTATAGTACTAAATAGAGTTCACATTCATCTTATAGCGCTGGTGTCTCCATTGGAGTATCCTGTACCTGTGACTTGATCTTGTCTACCAACTTTTGATGAACCTGGTTAGTATCAACTCTTTCCAAGATCGTTAAAATATTGATCATGGTGCCTGGAAATCATGCAGTTGATAAGACTACTCTGGCCTAAATGATAGGGAGGACACCTCCAAAGCAATGCTTTGGGATTTGATATCAATCTATTGAAGAGAGTTTGTGCCAACTCTAATTCGGATTACCAGTTCCTCAGCCTCCTTTGGCTCCCTATAAAGACATTTCAAAACTACAGGTTGACATTAAGTCATTATTTGTTTTGAGTTCCAAGATCAAAAGAAGGTCTCTTTGAATAAAAATGGATAAAAACGGATAAAATTTTGATCAGCTGAAGTTGAGAGTGATCTTTAATTGGCTTCATTGTAAATTGATCACACACAATCATCATTAATACATACACCAAGATATGACTTCATCGATGATCACAGACTATACACCATTCTTGTCCGCAAGGGCATTGAACAGGAAGCCTTCACCAATCAGAGAGTTGATGAAGATCATGTCTCCCGATATGGTATGGACCACGACATGAATGTTCAGTCGATCGATCGGTTGACTGAAAGAATGGCTAACTGACTGAGGGTGTTGGATGATGTATAGATATCACTTGGAGGAGGACTACCCAATCCCGCTACATTCCCATTCAAGAACATTAGCTTTGAGTTAAAGACTGGCGAGTCATTGTCAATCACTGGTACAGACTTACAGGTTGCCCTTCAATACTCTCAGTCCTACGGTATCGAATCATTCACAAAGTGGCTGAAGGAGTTCCAACAAAACACTCATAACTTGGTCGATCGTAAGCATCATCCAATCCATCATGTCATCTGAACTGGAATCATTCCATTCAATCACTCATTCAATCAACCCGCACATAGCCACAACTCCAGGCCGCCAATGGACTGTTGAGGTTACGAATGGAAGCCAAGAGGGCCTGACTGAGGCCATTGATACATTGCTTGGTGAGGGCGATTCAGTGATTGTTGAATCACCGACATACAGTGGCACGCTATCCATATTCAACCCAATTGGTGTTACCCTGGCTGGCGTACCAGTCGACGCCCACGGAATCGTACCCGAGCAGTTGGAGGACTTGTTGGCCAACTGGGACACAAGATACGCTGGCAAGCCCAAGCCCAAAGTATTGTACACCATCCCCACTGGACAGAACCCATCTGGATGCACGATGACAGTGGAGAGGAAGCGATCTGTCTATGCGATTTGTTCAAAGTACAACCTGATCATCTTTGAGGACGACCCATACTACTTCCTCCAGTTCCTCGAGGCCGGSCGCAACAGACCTCGGCCAGACCTTCCCTCTCAATGGATGTGGATCGTCGAGTCCTGCGCTTCGACTCTCTCAGCAAGGTGCTCTCATCAGGACTGCGCATTGGCTTTGTCACGGGCCCAGCCGCCCTCGTCGAGAAGACACAGATCATGCATCAGGCCACATCGTTGCACGCAAGTGGCGTCAGTCAGATGATCGCGTACACCCTGCTCAAGGCATGGGGCAAGGAGGGCTTCAACAAGCATGTTGCTTACATCCAAGAGTTCTATCGCGCCAAACGCGACACGTTCTGCGAGTGTCTGGACAGGTATCTTGGCGACATGATCGAGTACAACAAGCCTGTCGCCGGCATGTTTGTTTGGATCAAGGTCAAGGGCGTCAACGACACATTCTCACTCATCAGCACCAAGGCCATCGAGAAGAAGGTCATCCTGACGCCTGGCATTGCCTTCAGTCCAGACACTTCAGTGCCCTCGACCTACGTGCGAGCATCCTTCTCCACAGCCACCACCGAGCAGATGGACGAGGCATGCAAGAGATTCGGCGAGTTGTTAAAGGAGAATGTACATTCATCAGCTGTGTCCAAGTAATAATACATCATCATCAGATCGATCATATACATTATTCAAGCTGTCTTTATCATCAATTAACATCGCTCAAATACCTTGAACAATTTCTCCAAGGAAGTGACCATGATGATGGTGCCATCATTGGAGAATGACTTGGGCGGCACCAATCGTTTGAGTGCTGGGAAGATCAAATGTTGTATGACCCATTCCCTTCCATTGCGTTTCTGTCCATTGTGTGTTGTACTCGTGTTGTTGTTGTTGTTGTTATCGACAGGTAGTGATGCTTCAATCTTGTAAAACACAGACAACTCTTTGGCTATTGAATCGAAACATTCCTTTTCAAACTCCCAGTCCACCTCTGTAGCCAGATGCAACATAAAGACGGGCAGGTTATCCATGCAAGGCACATAGTTATCCAATATCTGAGGGATACCCGCCAGGTGACCATCAATAATATCAATGGAGAAGTACTCGTGTAACATCGATGCCTTTGATATCAATAGTTTGGTCAAGTACTATGTGATTGATTGATTGGGTTAGGATATGACAAGCACCAGGTCATGCTCATGCATAATACATACATCAGCTATCTTCTCTTTGGAACCATCTTCAGGTTGCCATCCAGAGCAAGGCGAGTCTAGGGAGGTAAGTATCATTGTGTTGATTGATAGGGGTGTGACAAACTTGATGGTGTCAAATGCTGCAAAGCCACGCAGGATACTCTGATAGATCAACTCTTTGCTAAGTATCTCAACGTTGATGAGGTAGAGCTTGGTCTTGTGTTGTGCCAGTGAGAATGTATGATCGAGACAGCCAACAAACACACAGTCTGAGAAGAACTCTTGCAATCCACTATGTAAGTTGTTGTCCACAGTCTTTAGAAGGTCCTTGATACTGGTCAACTCAGTAGGCTTGTATCTCTTTGTCCTATTTGGATTGACTACTGATGTTGTCTCGGTGTCCAGTTTGTGTTTCTTTGTGTTGTTGTTGGCGCCGTCTGAGGTGTTGTCGTCGTTGGAAGATGTGGTTGTAGACGTGGATGTAGTTGTTGTTGTTGTAGTTGGTTGTTGAGGGGATGGAGGAGCCATGCCTGAGCTCTCTATTTCATCAATCATGTCTGAGGTCATGGCAGAGTCGTTTGCATTGAGTGGACCACCGCCACCGTCTTTTCCCTTGTTGTTCGACTTTTTTGTGAAGATGAGTTGATTTGGTCTAAAGTCAGAGTCATTGTCTTCATCAGCAATGAATGCAGAGATGGGTTGAGTCTTTGAATCTGATCGAATCAGCTGTGATGGCAATATAGCGGGTGCCTTGTTGGATTTGCTTGTAGCTGAAGTTGATTGTGTTGTCGATGTTGCTCCTTTGTTCGTGTTGTTGTTGTTGGACGGAGCGTCATTGCTAGTGCTGTCAAAGTCTGGCAATGTGACTTGTGTTGAGAATGATCTTGAGTTGATAGATTGAACAAGGTCTTGGTCCACGATCTTCTGGATCATCTCAATGATGGCCTCTTCATTGAGGAACTGCACCATGTTCTTGGTTGGACTACAATTGACATCGACATTCTTTGGATTGAGTTGCAGTCGAACAAAAGCAAATGGATGTGTACCCTTTGGCAAGTACTTCTCGTATATCTTCTGTATACCAGTCTTCAAATTCTTTGATTCAACCAAACGATCTATTCATATTCATTCAAAGTTAGTTAGTCATTCATGTGAACTGTGATAATACATGTACATACTATTGATAAAGAGAATGAATGTCATCTTCTTGCCAGAGTAGTTGGTGGAGGAGAAGAATCCTTTCATGTCAAACTCTAGTTTGTCATTGGACACGGATAGCTCTTTGAGTTCGCGTCCAACCTCGCTGCCATAGAGGTGGGCGATGGCCTCCTTCTCGGTCAGGTTGCCAGGTGTGTGCACGTCCGGTGTCGGATCACCAAACTTCTTCAATATGAATGTTATCGTACTGTTGTTGATGGCGTACTTCCTAATCAGATCGACTATACGATTGTGTTCCTCCAATGTGTTTTTGATAACAAGTTTCCTCGAAGGGTTGTTGTAGAACAGGTCCTCCACTGTGATCTGAGTGCCATTGACACCGGCACACGGCTTGGGCTCAGCCGATTGTCTGGCGTCGGGTGAGTGCAGCTTGCCATTGTGATAGTGTGCACGATAGGCACAAGCCGAATCATATGTCTTTGTCAATATCTTGAGATGTGCACAATGACTGATTGATGAGAGTGCCTCGCCTCTGAATCCAAATGTCGTAATCTTTCTCAAGTCTTCAAACGATGTCAACTTGCTCGTTGTGAACCTCTCGCAAACAATATCCATATCCTCGAGCTAACAATGTGAGTGAGTGAGTTTCAGTGTGTAGGTATTAGACAAGTGTTGATTGATCGACACTTGACCTAAGGATAGAGCAGTCACATACCTTGATACCACAACCATTATCTTGTATCTGTAATAACTTTAGACCTCCATCTTTCAGTGTGACAGTGATGATCGTTGAATGAGCGTCCAATGAGTTCTCAATTAGCTCCTTGAGAGCATTGCTAGGTCGTAATACAACCTCGCCTGCATTGATTCTATTGATAACATCAACAGATAGTTTATGTATCTTCTTTGGTTGGTGTTGTAGTGATGTATTACTATCAGATGTGTTTGAGGTTGAGGTCGAAGTTGTGATTGAAGTAGATGATGATGAACTCGAAGTAGATAGTGTAGGTGAGTTATAATTATTGTTATTGTTCATGATCACATATATTATTATTATCTGTTGTTGATGAATTGATTAATGAACCAAAAGTAAAGTCCAAAGTGAACTACTCAACAATGTTGAAGTCATGTCATTCTTAGAAATGATATCTCATTCTTTCTTGCCAAATGAGGCAATTTGAAATGATGTGTCAAACCGGGACACATATCTCTTTTGTAACAACTACACACATTCTGAATCATTCATAAACATACAAACACAAAGAGATTGGAGATGGATAACTTAGATTACCATATCGAGAGTTTCTCAATATCTCTCGACACCAACATCATTCACAAGTGTGACATACAGCTACAAGTACACAGCCTGCCTGTCAATGGTAATTCATCACCGCCTAGACTCACGTAAGTGATAGAGATAGAGATAGAGATAGAGATAGAGATAAAGATAAAGATAGAGATAGAGATAGAGATAATGATAGAGATACTAACCAAACAATACATACATACTTTATAGGGCAACACTTACCGATGGGGTGCACTTTATACCTGCAGCATTTGAGACATCTATAAACAAAGATCAACTGCTACAGAAACGGAATACTATTAGATTGACAAAGTTTAGGTTCACAAAAAAGGCATTCCTTATAGTATTGGAAGTGAGGCTGGAAGCCCCTGCATCACCTCCTCCTCCTCAACAACAACAACAATCAATCACTATTCATCCCATTGTCAAACTGATCTCAACGAATGAATGGTCCAATGATGACAACCGTCCATCAACGACACTTGTGAGCAAGCATTGCAACTGTGCCGAAATTGGACCACCACTACACAACATTGTATCACATTTGAGAGTGCACCTTGCTCATAAACAGGTCAACCCTCAACTCTTCAAGACGTTAGTAGACTTGGCGCTGAACTCGCCTTTCCCCAATGAACTGTGGACCTACTTCAAAGATCAACTGTTGCCACTGGTAACAAGGCTACTTGCCAATCCAAGTAGAGAGTATTCTCCTGATGTGTATGAACATATTGGCAGGCTACTGTACGCACGTGTACCATTCGCCTACGCCTTGGCCTTCCTCGATACTGCCATCCACACTAGACACTGGTCACTCTTTGTCCTTATCAATCCCGAATTTCTCAACACTCTGCTCACACCTCTGCGAGCAAATCAACAACACGAACAAGTAGAGCTTATGTTCGAACTATACTTTCAACTCATGATGAACTACAAGGAAATTCTCAGCTGCCAAGACAATATCACCGCTGCCTTTGGTGAGGAACGGTTTAATCAAGAGATGAACCGATGGTTGTTTGATGACCCATCATCAAGCACTGCCAACAGGATGGAATACTTCTCATCAGTGGTAAATAGGGGTTCACTGCCACCACATCTTGTCTCCAAGTCCAACAGACAGGCTGTCTTTGAGTAAGCATACTTGAACCTCTTTGATTCGTTAGACCCAACTCCAGTACTCTGACCCTACTCAACACAAACAACAGATCCCTAGTCACATTCAAGCTAAGCACAAACGAATACTCTCGCTATTCAAATGTTATCAGTAAAGTACTTTCACTCTTGGGTGACGACATCATCAACAATGGCGACAACCAGGATATGATGATCAGTCAGTTTACAGGTCGAAAGGACATGGACGATGTATATACGACATTATTCCCTTATGTGCGCTCATTCGACTCCTGTCTCAAATCATGCCTCGACCACTTGGACTCATTCGTATTGCGCAACACACTTATCAAGTTGGAGTGTAAATCGTTCCTAAAGGTAATATATCCACCAATTGGATTAAGATCATACCACAACTGAGTACTAATCACATCCATAATCAAATAGTTCTTTATAGAATATGAACAACAAATCACAAAATGGCTAATTCAACCAAGACACACAATGTCCAGAAACTGCTCCCTTGTTCTACTCGACAGTATCAATGGAGGTTTCCAACGAACGCCTGATGCATACCTTGATGAATCTCCTATTCAAGAAATAATCAAGCGACTGTCCCTGTCCATTCAACAGATCAACATTTTTAACTATCATTGGAGTCGTTTATGGGTGTCCGACGACGAGGACTCTACGCTCATCATTCGTGGCGCTGTTGGACTGTTTCAGCTGTCACACTGCTCAGCACTACCATTATTTGGGCTAGCAATGAACATTCTTCTACAACTACAAGGTGAGCATGCTCCCGATATAACTGACGAGATACTGCAACAGTTCCCGACAGAGGTCAAGCAGTACATTGACAACAATTGGAGACAGTTTCCTGTGGGCAACATACATCTGCTCATACAAATCAATGCGCTGGGCTATCTCGGCGATGCGGCCATCGACGATATCCTTGGGAAGCTCAAAGAGGAACCAAAGGAATTCATACAGCAATTCATCGACTCGTCCATCAACCCCACCCAAATATGGTTTCGATACATTGACAACAACATCAATAATCATATCCATGACAATGAGTTTCGCAAAATGAAGTTCATCGAGAGCTTGCTAAAGCCCAATCCAGCTACCACGTTCCATTTCCTCAAATATAACTACTCCTTTCAGTTGATGGACGCCATCCACTCAGCCCCTAGCAACTACAAGGAGGTAAAGCACAGCTTGTTGGAGAAGTTCGACACGCAACACCCAGAGTACATCAAGCATCGACAAATATTCAAACAGTTCAAGAACAACTCGATACTCAAAGAGAACCTGTTTGCTAAATCTAAAGAAACAATCATCAGTGAAGACACTCCAATGGCACCACTCCCCATGCTCTCTCATCTGCTCATGGCATACATCGTTGAATTCATTGTGCTCGCATATCCACATGATGTTCCATCGTTGGTGCATCTCTCCACTGTCTCTAAACTACTCCACAAGGCTGTCAGCATGGCATTATCAAACAATGTCCTCCCAACATTGCCCATTCTATCAATGATCAACATTGGATCGGAGTTCTGTCTCCTTCGCACCCCGCCCCTGCACCTACATTTCAAAGACTTGGTCCATATTCCCCTTGCGCATCTGCCCATATGCTTGGAACGACTCCAGTCCATAACAATACCACTGTGCTCTAGTTATCCAATGATTTTGGTACCATTTGTCCATGTTCCAAACATCAGACACATAACATTTGTCGATGCACCTACAAACTCTCGAATAGATCACATCGACCCCGATACCTATGGTCCAAACACCATTAGATCCTACGAACATAATTTCCCAATGGAACAATTATTCGAACACCTCTACGATCATTACATCAAAGACAATCCACTCATTCAAAAGATTGACATCCACTCAACCATGCCCAAAAACCCATTCCTGCTCCTGCCTGCCAACCATGCAATAGAGAGATCATTCGTCCTGGACATGACCAAAAATGAGAGCTCTTTCAGTGTATACGGGATGACTTCAGATGATCTGCAACACATCACATCATTGATCTTTGGTTTCGATCAGCATTCAGATTCGTACCAATTCCCCACAGTCACAAGTAGAATGGGCAACTTAAGAGAACTTCAACTCAGTTATTATGAATACTATGATAATTCCAATTACTTTGGGGAATCATCTAGACTCATCTACGAAGACCTCAAACATTTGCACACGTTGAACATCACCCTGCCAGACCTCAAAGATGTGTCAGAAGTACTACCAGATGTAACCACTCCTCTAAGATCACTTTACATTAGGCTGTTCGACATTAGATCAATGGCCACGATGGATGCCAACGGCACGCTCCAGACGCATCTGGATCATCTTGTGGCCCACCTTAGTCAAACGATATTCAACAGTCTGACTCTTATTTCATTTGTCCTGGAACCACTACAAACCCATGACCCCTACCTTGGTCCGAACCCCAATAGCCCAAACCCCAATAGCCCAATAACCTTGTTTCTAAATCAACAAATGCTAATCAAAGCTCTTCAACCTCTTGGTTTCCATCAGATGGCGGCCTCCATAAACATATTCAAACGATGGACCTGTCCAACTACACCAGTCGACTCACCTGTGTCTTCCCCATAATGCATGGATGCGGTCAATCAATCCAAGTATTAAATTATTATTATTATTATTATTATTATTATTATTATTATTACTATTACTTGTGTCTACATCCAATCGTCATCAACTTGTACATTGAGGGTTGTGTCTGTCTTGGAGTATGACTTGATGAATGTGTCCTGAACCAGTTTGGTCGAATCAGCATATGTGTGATGTGATGAAAGGTGGGATGATGGGACGATGGTGCCGCCAGGCAATATGATTGATTGTTTGAATGTTTGATTGGTTGATGTTAATATCTTAAAATGTTTCAAAGAGTGGCTGTCTCTCCTCCTTTGACTTCTTCTTCTCCTTAGCAACTGGTTGGTGGTGATGGTGTCAGTAAGTGAAGTGTTCATGTTGACAGCCTTGCAAGGCAAAGAGGGTACTTACTGGTGACCTTCTTCAATTCGTTGGTGGCAGCCTCCTGCTCTAGACGCTCCAAACGCTCAATCTCATTCTTCTCAGCCATCAGGTCAAGAGCGAAACAAAGACCAATGATCATGGAGCACACGATCGTCAACAGAACAACCAGCACCACTCCATCACTCTGTGATCGAAGCACTGATGTGATGATGTTGTACTTGAAGATGTCGTTGTAAAAGTCTGATCCAGACGATTGGCCACCAAAGACCATCATTGTGTTGAACAGAGTCGATGTGCAAGTCTGTCCATAAAGTCCGTGATCTGGGCCATATCCAGTAGGGCTGACAGTCAACCAAGTGTTGTAGGCTAAATGGATGATGATCGTGTCAGTCAATACTTCTAACTTGTGATTGAATTGATTGATTGATCAGGATTGAACTCAACTTACTAAAGTCATACTTCCAAGTCTGTTGAGTGGCACCGTTACCAAAGTTACCGCCAAAGACAAGCATTTGATTGAGTGGAGTGATGACCGCAGCGTGTCCTGAACGTGCGGCGGGGTGACCAGAGGTGGTGTTGAGGGTATGGTTGACCCAGTTGCCGTGGACGACGTCAAAGAACTGTAGCTGATCGGTGGTCTTGTTGTTGGTGTCGACTATACCGCCAAAGACCACCATCTGGTTGGCCATGTTGAGGACGGCTGAGTGGCCATAGACGCCAAGTCCTACGATGTTGTTGTTGCCAGGCTGCAGCGTGGACCATGTGTTGGACTCAAACTCAAACTTGACAATGTCGCTGAGTACGCCAGTCGTGCCCATGCCTCCAAAGAACAGGAACTCATTAGTGATTGGGTACATGATACCAGAGTGTCCATATCTTGGTGCTGGTGGTGTGCCAGATACGTTGAGCTGGATCCAAATGTCATCGACTAGAGTGTGGCGGAGAGAGAGAGTTGTGTGTCAGTCACGTGCCCACCCGAGTGATCACTTGGGGTGAATGTCGTCGGCAGCCTTACCCATGTCATATTTATAGATGTCCTGGAAGATTGTAGTATCATTGCGTCCACCAAAGACGTACATCATGTTGGTGGGCGTGGTGATGGCGACGTGGCCCGAGCGAGGCGACGGCATGAACTGGTTCGATGGCTTGGGTGTTGTGTCATTGATTGAGATCCAAGCATCGTTGACCACATCGTAGGTCTTTAGTGAGTTGGTGTAGTTCTTGGCGTTGTTGCCACCAAACACAACCAATGTGTTATTAACAGGGTTGAGCACTGATGAGTGACCTGCTACAGGTGCTGGTGCAGCCTTTGCATTCGACAATATAATCAATATCCATGAATCTGTCAAGAAGTTCACTATTATATATAATATTTATATATATGTTTGTTTGTTTGTTTGTTCATTGATGTGTCAGTGTGTCAGTGTTCATTCATTCATTCAATCATTCAATCAATCAATCATGACCTCGCAAGTCTACGTACGGACACCCATTCCTCCACCTATCAGTGCCAATGAGAACACTAACAGTGACAAAATTCGAGTCTGTCTTGCCATCCTGTATGCTTTTATAAAAATGTTAATATATATATATATATAAATATAGATAAATGTAAAGTGATAAATAGATAATATCAAAAGGGTTGTCCTGTTTGAGTGTAGTTTCGGTGCACACTGGCTCTGACAGTGACCTGTGACCATCCAAATCCTTCCCTCAATTTTTTTGAAGTTTGGTGGTCTTTCTTTGATTGAATTCCAAACACCCCAGGTCAAGTTTATGAAGTTTCATTCCAACCAACTTTTGTTCAAACAGATAACAACAATGTATACAAATAAAGTATACTATATATATGAACATATATCTTCATCAACTTCAAACAATGTAATGTTTGTTGTATCAGAGTTATATATTTGTTGGTGTTTGAATGAAACAAACAATCGATCAAACAACCATTCAATCAATCAATCATTCAAACAATCAAATAGACAGGCCAGACCAGACACCGATTGATACGATATAGTATCTATCTATTGAACGATGATGCCATTACATAACCTACACAGAAATGACAGTCGATCAGATCAATCAATCAATAACAGGGATCTGTACAAAAACCAATGGTTACAATGTCATCACTAAGTCTTACTTCACTCCAAATACCAGTCAAAAGATTGAACAGTAGTAGGTAATGTTCCCATCCAACCTTTATCGGCAATCAATCACTAGTTTGTGCAATGCCTTGCCTTGCCCAATACCTATCAATCCCCATCAATGCCATCACATTAAAGCTCACCTTAAGAGTGAGTTTATTATTATTAATATTGTTGACCATGGTTCCTCTTCTCCACGAGTTGATCAATGTATGATGTGAACAGGCAACAAACAATGTTCACGTGAACATTACAAAAAGTAAGTAAGCAAACACTTGTTTTACGAAAGATATTGTTTTGCTTTGTTGGTCCCTGCCAGCCACATGTAACCCATGCATGCCGTGATACTAACTTAAGATGGTTTGCAGATACGTCATAGCCCTGCCCAGACTGGGTTGACTGATTGATGGCCATCAACACCCGATGAATTTGATCATATCCCCACCCCTTCCCTACTGATCCCGAAGATTATTTTACATTTGAGGGGCGGGTCTGGATCAGGACCACCCCAAAGCTCAATATACCCTGTCTGTCTCTATCTTTATTCGCCATCACTTAGATGAAACCCCAAAAGCTTAACATTATTGGAGATATCTTCAACTCAATACCTGGTCAACCCTTGGTTGGAGCTCCACTCCACTCGTTCCTATTTTATGTTTGTGTTGTCTATTGTCAACCTTATGTTTACAACTTGGGTGAGTCCAAGAAGAGTGAGTGATGGTCAGACCTTGGTTGATTGAGTGAAGGGGTGATGTGATGATCGATCAGTTTACACTACCAAGCCAACTCACTCCCAAGCCAATCAATCATTAAATCATTCTATCAGTCCAACATTCCAAAGAACAGATAATAATACTTACCAATTTATTATATTTTTTATTATTTATTTATTCAAATATGATTGTTCAATCCATGTTCATAACACTCTTTGTTGGATTATGCATGGTCAACTCCTTTTGCCAATCACAAACTTTGGCAGGTACAGAGATATTAAATACAAATAATCATACTTATCGTATCTACAGCACACCTTACTCTGTCCACCAAGCTTTAACGTTCTGTGCATCAACCTCATTGCCCAATGGACAAGCAGGGTATGTCATTGTATCATCTCAATCTCACTTCGTACTCATACTCATATTCACATACTTCATTGATCTTTTAGATACCTTGCAACAGTGACATCTGTACAAGAGATGGACTTGTTGTTGGTTGCTCAACAAAGGTATATCAATGGATTGAATTTCTGGATATCAGGTGATGACACTAATCAACATGGTATCTATCTCTACAACTCTGGTCCTGAGAAAGGTACTCTAATGTATAACACATTCACAGGAGAGGTATGTATCATATAATTGATTGATTGATTGATTGATCACACACTGGAATCATTCCACCCCACCACTCACACACTTACTCGATAAATCAATCAAATGTAGAGTCCTTATTATTCATACTTCAACTATATGGAACCAAGTGATTATCCATTCTTGGTTGAGGAGTATGTTGGGTTTGATCAAGTGGAGAGTTGTTGGAATAATATGGAGGGTAATAAGTTGTATCCATTCGTTTGCGAGTATGGTGGCATGGAGTTGCCATACATCGAACCAGTTCGTACAATTGGTGATGACAATATAATGATCACAAACATACTTAATATGAACTTGTCATCAACTTCATCATCCGCAATGATTACCGTCAACTTTAAGAATGTAGACGGTCGATCATTCACCGCCTCCAACATCCGAGTTATATCAAAGACTTCGCTACAAGTATCCATCCCCGCTGGCACGGGACAATACAATGTATTGGTGTCCAATGGTGCTGTAACACTCAAGACTACCTTCCAATATCAATCACCTCATATTGCCGTTGTCTATCTTAGCTTGAACTCTGGCAGCCAGATGACCATCACTGGCAAGAACTTTGGAACTTCATCAAAGCTGGTGTTGGCCATTGACCTTGGACTCAACCCAGCACAATGTATCAATCCAAATGTCATCGAAGATGGACTAATCACATGTCAACTCTCTGGCACCATCAACAACTATCTCTCCCCAATCAACATCACTGTGGACAAGAACTTCCACACCGCAATCAAACCTGCTTTCAGTAAGTCAATCACATCACTCATTCAATCGATCAATTACTTTGACTAACAAAGATGCCCAATCACAGACACTAATGGCAGGTTCTTCTCCTGTTTCTCCCAGTTTGGCAACTTTACTGGCTCTTTAAAGTACACGCACAGTCTTAAGATTGAAGGCTTGACACCCTTCCAGGGCTACATCGACTCACAGAGTACCCTGGACTTGTATAAACTACTATGTCGATCGTTCCCAAATGATCCACAACCATTCTTCTGGACATCTGTAAACTATAATAGTACGACCAACTACTTTCAGGTGATGGACGGTCCGAAGGCCTATCAAAAGGTCAATCTCTACCCTGCCGCCCTGCCTCCAACCAGCTCACTACCCTATCAATTCAACCTGAGTTCTGTAGCATACTACCCATCACCAGTATCAGACTATGTTGGAGCATTGTCCGAGTTCTACATTGATAGTAAGCATGCTGGGATAGGTTGTTTCAATCTTGCTCACACCCAACTGACCAATCAATCAATCACTTACAGAGCCTAGCTTCGCCCTTGACGTCACAGAGTTCCCAACTTCAGGTGGACCAATGGTGATGACAATCAATAGAGGTGGAACATACTTGTCCAATTATACACTCACTTATCAATCGGTGAACATGTCTAACTTCAAGATTGACTTGTATTCACCAAAGTTGAAACTTTTCGTGGCGCCTGGTTTTGGAGGACCCTTCCCAGTAGTGCTGACGACTAGTCTTGACATCAAACGTTCATCTATACAGTACATCAAGTTCACTCCACCTACGATCATAGACATAAAGTCAATGCACCCTGATGGTGGCCGTTTCACAATCACTGGAGCCAACCTGTACACCGACCCAACACTCCTGGACGTGGGCATTGGTCATGACAAGTGCACAGACATCACCTTCATCACACCACATCTCAAGATTGCCTGTACCTTGGCGAAGCCATCCGGCGGCCTCAACACGACACTATCAGTTCAGCTATCATTAAATGGAACCAAGGCACCTGCATTCAACTTCAAGTACCTCTCAATGGAGATGACCGAGATTACACCTGGATACGAGAACATCTCAACAACACTGACAATCTCTGGCAGGTACTTCTCAGATAACAATGTGTCAGTTACCATAGGTAGCAACACAACTGCAGCTGTGTCAAGAGCACCATGCTACAACCCTCGAGTCTTATCATCATCCATCCTGACATGTCAGTTTGATGGAATGTTGGCCAAGTCAGACAACAAGTCGATGTTTGTTAATCTTACAATGGCTGGCTTCACAGTGATCAAACAGTTGTTCTACTATGCCAACGACGCAAACTGTCCGAGAGTGGCACCAAGTGGTGCGTTGTGCAATGACCATGGTCGATGTATACAGGGCACATGCTTCTGTGAGAGTGGCTGGACATTGGCCGCCTGCACCAAGCCCACTGACAACACCAACACCAACCCATCTGGCAACAATGGCACTGTGATCAACCCATCACGTGTGGACTTTGTGTCAGGCATTAGGTATCTACGCGAACTCAATCCCATGGGTCAGACTGTGCGCACTTTGGATATGGCCAACATCTTTTGGACTGCCGACAATGGCTCGGGAGTCATCACAGGAGTGTTTAACAAAGATCCAGTCATTGTTGCAATGACCATGTATCAGTTCAAGGACGCGGGAATATACCAGTTTGCAGGCCAGCTCATACCAATCCCCGCCAACTCAATCAAGATTGTACTATCTCTTTACAATTGGTCGTTCAACAGCACCCTTCACACGCTCCAGGTGATAATGGAGACAAAGACAAACCGAACTACCCTGGGCCCATGCAGCGAGACTCTTACGACCACTGGGGAGCTGGCCACCAACTCATATCATGTTGTGGCAGGCAACTCTATCCTTCAGGTCAAGTTTGCCAGCCATCTCTTTGTGGATGAGCGTGTTGTCCAATCGGACTTTATCGAACTATCAGGCGACGATGTGCTCATCCTCGCGCAGCCCCCCACCAACGACACATTCTCCCTTTGGACAGCTCTGAACCTACCCTACTTCCAACAATGTACAATCGATCCCAGCATGGTGGGCTTGGTTGGTGTCGAGTCCGAGGTGTGCCCATCAAGCGGCTTCCCCAAATGGAAGATCATCGTCATTGCTGTGACATGTGGCGCTGTGTTGCTGGCGGCAGCAGTTGGAGCGGGATGGCTGATCAAGCAGAAGTTAGTATGGAGCCAACAAGAGAGGAAGATCATGAAGACCCAGATGAAGATGAAGGCAACCGACGCACAGCTCTAAAAATAAAGAAGTATGATACAACATGGAATGTAATGAATGATTGGACTAACTGATCGGTATGTACGATGAGTTGGTGCGCTGTGAACCAAACTGGAGGGGTGGCTCCTTCTGTAGCAGCATGTTCTTGATGCTCTGTGAGTGGCCAACGTAGGTGGACTCGTTGTCTGATGATACAGGGTACAGCGCATTGCTGTTGTGCGTTTGTAGGAATGAGTAGTAGAAGGCGGTCTGTAGCTCGTGCTTGGTGACCTCGGGTGCATTGGCGCGTCTCTGTCCATTGCGTGTGGTCGACCACTTGACCGTACCCTTGGCGGGTGTGGGCTTGAGTGAGCTGTTGATAAAGTTGAGTTGCTCGCTGTTCTTGATATAGTCAGCGTAAAAGTTGTGGCTGTAAATGTCCTGCGATGAGTATTGCGACGCGTGGATGTTGACAGTTTTGTCGGCCGGGCAGCAATAGTTGTTGAACACGTCCTGCTCGGACTTCTTCGTACCCAGCTCAATGCCAAACTTCTTGAATGGCTGGTAGTTGCCGAGATGACCCTTGTCCTCGCCCTCACTGATCTTTGTGTCCATCTTCTCATTCGCTCCGTTCATATCGCCAGTCTTCTTCTTTGTACCACCATTCGCAACTGACTTGCCCTTTGTAATTGAGACCACCCATCTCTTGATGTCATAGCGACTATGATTGAGTGAGTTAGTGAGTGATGGATGTAGCATGCTCGCCAGAGTACTTACATTATCTCATTGTTGGCTGATGATGATGATTGAGAGTTGTTGTTGTTGTTACTGCCGTTGGCGCCATTGGCTTGAACATTCTTCTTGATGAGCTTGGGCGACTCCAAGTAGTTGGCGATAGCCGATGTGAGATTCCTGAATCGGATCGGATCGTTGAAACGATAGTCAAAGTGCTTGTCGATCCATGTGAATGTGTCGGGCTTGTAGAAGTTGTCCTCAAACTCGACGGCTCGCTGACGCATCAACTGTATCATCGAGTGCTTCTCGGCATAGTTGCACATTAGCGACGTCTTCTTGAAGTCCTTGAGCGGCTCCTCCCACCAGCGCGTGTTGGACAGCAGGTGGTGCTGTAGACGCTTCGTCTTGTTGTGCAGATAATGGTCGGTCTCAAGGTTCCACAACGCAATGTCCTCAATGTGTCGCGACGGCACGTAGTAGCCAAGGAATAGATTGATAGAGTGCTGCTTGTCCACATCAATGAATGAGTTGGAGATGTATCTCTTGATGGTGGTGACGAGGTCACGTGACTGCGATGACAGCGAGTTCTTGGTGTAGGTCTTGATCGTGTTGGCCAGCTCCGAGCCTCCGTACTGCAGCGCGATCTGGTTGCCACACGCTTCGTACATCTCGATGAGGATCTCGACGATACCCGTGTTGAACTCGAGGTGTGGTTGATCGATTACACCCATTGCGTACAACTGGTGCGCTAGAGCGCACTTGCCAATGCAGAACTGCGCCGTGTTGGTGCGGTCCAGCGAGTCGATGCAGTTGGTGCGTGCGATACCGGTCTGCTCGGTGCCGCTCACGCCGTACTTCAGGTTGACCTTGCAGTCGGCCTGGCAGGCCTCGCGTATCGACGTCGAATACAGCTTCTTGGACGAGTGGAAGATGCCAGTCTTTTGGATGGTCTGCAGAGCGAATGAGTCGAGCCAGCCCATGTGATCCTCATTCTTGGCCTTGGCCGCCTTGTGGAAGTCCCAAGCCTGGTAGATGAGCTGGTGCTCGGGCGGCAGCTGCTCGTTCAGCTGCTCGACGCACGTGGTGAACTCGCCCAGCAGGATGGACTCACGTGGCTTCTTCTCGTTGGATTTGACGAGGTTGAGGATGACCACGGGCGAGCCATACTTGCGGAAGAGGTGTTGGAAGTGCACGATGGTCGAGCCGTAGAATGGCTCCATGCGCTGCATCTGAATGGGTGGTTTGGGTGTGACGATATTGTTGTCCTGCTCCCAGTACAAAGGGATTGATCCACGCACCTGAACATAAGAAGAGAACTGCGACTGTCTTGTGTTGCCAGACAGTGGCTCTTGTACAATCTGCTCCGTCTCCACTTCATTGGCCACATGTCCATTCTCATTAATGCCACGCTTGAGGAATCTTGCTCCAGCATAATGTCTACTTCTTCGCGCGATCAATATCAAGTCTACAGCCTTTCCAAATATATCGATCTCTGATTGATTGATTGGGCGAGTGAATGAGTGTTAGAGTTATGATGATCACTCGATCACTCAATCAAACATACTCTCTTGAAGTATGAATCCATGTATGATTGGAAGTATCCAGTTCCAGGTGATGGACTGCGAGACGAGCTTTTCAAGAAGGAACTGATTCCATGCAAACTGCTCGTTGTAGTAGAGCTTGGGTTGGTTGGTCTTCTCATCGATTTGAATAGTCTTGGGCGCAGGGTTGTGGAAGTAACGTGTCATGTTGTACTGGAGTGTGCGTGTGATGTCGTACGTGTAGCTGAAGAAGAAGTCCTTGGTGAGGTCCAGGCCCAGGAACAGTCCCTTGTAGCGGGTCTCGTCGACAAAGTCCGGACTGTTGGCCTTGGGCACAGTGGTGGGGATGTAGACATAGGTCGTGTCGTCGATGCCATATATGATGTGCGTGCCAATCAGGCCGACCTTGCGACGCTTTGTGATCAAGATGATGTAGTAGCCGTGAAGGAATCGGATGAATCCAAGAAGACCGTATGACGAGCATACCCTGCTCAATCCCTCCTTATTAGCATTCTCTATCATTGTCAACAGCTCCTGCAGTTGTACCTTATTATACTCTGTCGGGTCCTCACTAATCACCACCCTGTCCTCATAAGTCCTATCAATCTTTAACAATCTAAACCTGTTCTTTGTTCTGTTTGATCCAACAAGATAGAAGCGCTGTGAATGTGTATGAAGAGGTCAGTATCATACCTCAATCAATCAATCAATCAATCAAACATACACTCTTTGTCTCGTATAGTACAAACTTCTGCATTGAGAAGGCTGTGATGGGCATGATGTAGTCAGAGTTGACACTGCTGATGTTGTTGTTGATTGTAGGTTGGTGATCAGATGATGGCAAGTTGTTCCAGAATATAGACTCCTTCAGAGGTATCCTCTCTGCATCTGTATTAGATGTTGATGATGACGATTCATTGTGTTGTGGCTGAGTCTGACCTTGAGCATGACCTTGAGTCTGAGTCTGAGTCTGAGTCTGTTTGTTCACATCATCAATATTCTGAGTAGTTGTAGTATTAGTTGTTGTTGTAGTAGTTGTAGTAGTATTGGGAGATATATTTGTATTCTCCATGTGTATGTATATATATATTATCTGTATCAATTACAACAAWTAAATGGATGATTGCAAGATATTTTTGGTTAAAGCCATCAAGAGTGTGGAAGTTCCATTTCATTGTTGATGACAACGCAATTGAGATGACAAGAGAGAGATAGAGAGAGAGATAGGAGAGTGAGAGAGAGTCCAACCCTCGACCGAATAAGACAAGCTCACTCACTCATCTAATCTCATCTCATCGCATACAACAACAGGAAATACAATAACAATACACACATATGAAGACAACAGTGTTCATTCATTCATTTGTTATAATTACATCATTATTATTCATTTCAATATTAGATATATCTCAATCATGTGTAGTAGATAGTTATATTGCACCAAAAGACTATGATAAAGAAGGTTTTGTAATAGGTATTGACTTGGGCAGTGCCTACTCAACAATGCAGGTCTACACGAGTCAATCGAATCTCTATTACCTTGGTGAACCCTTGACGATTCCATCTTATGTAGCATTCAAAGATAATCGGATAATAGTTGGTAATGAAGAAGCAATGAACCAGGCCATCCTCGACCCTGAGAACACAATTACCATTGAGCAAATCAGGCAATTGATCGGAAGAAGGTAAGTACAACATCGGCATGCTCTGTCAAGAGTATTCTAACTAACACCAACAAACACACACTCAGGTTCTCCGATCAACATGTTCAGGACAGTTTGAAGTCATTACCATTCAGGGTGGTCGACAAAGATGACAAGCCGTATATTGTCGTCAAGTTCAATGGTGAAGACAATGCATACTCGCCATTGGAGATCGCTGCAATGATCATCATTCTAATGAGAAAGAGCGCTGAGTCAATCTTTGGTTTTCAAGTCACACATGCGATAATCACCTGTCCTTTAAACTTCAACGATCAGCAGCGAGAGGCAATCAAAGACATTGGTGCATTGGCAGGGCTAAAGGTCGTACGTGTCCTTGATGAGCCAGTATCAGCCTATCTTGGAATGGATATAGAGAAGAGCGATGGTGACAAGAACATCTTGGTGTTTGATTTCGGAATAGACATGTTGGAAGTCACTATCTTGAATGCCAACTACAATGGTGACATAAAGGTGTTGGCCAACACAAATGGAGATACTGGATTGAGTGGCAGAATCATTGATCAAAATGTAGCCAAGTACTTCCTCTCATCATTCAAGAACAAGACCAAAAAGGATGCACACTTGGACAAGGTATCAATCCAGAAACTGAGTCGTGCCATTGATCACAAAAGAATCTTTGGCTTCAAACTAAGTGAAGTTGAGATCAAAGTAGAGGACTTCTTTGAAGATCATGACCTAGTTGACACACTGACAAGTGACAAGTTTGAGGACCTCAACAAAGATATCTTTGATCATTTACTCGATCCAGTCAATCGAGCTCTGGAGAGCAGTGGCTTGAACAAGAGAGATATCAACGAGTACATCTTGGTTGGATATCACTGTCGCATAACCAAGGTTCCTAAAATGTTGTCAGACTTCTTTGATGGCAAAGAATCATTTAACAATTGGCACTATATGGCATCACCACAACGAGCCGTCTCAGCTGGCGCCGCCTTAAACGGGGTGGGCTTCCTTGTGGAACCGAAATTGGCGCCCTACTGTCTTTATTGTTGGTATAGAGACTACACGCCAACGATGGGTATTGAGACGACGGGTGGCGTCATGGTACCCTTTATTACCAGAAATCAAATGGTGATCCCAGCGAGGAAAACACATGTGTTCACTACATCGCGCGACAACCAAGACACGATGCACTTCAAGATATTCGAAGGCGAGAGACCGTTTGCCAAGGACAACAATCTGATGAACGAGTTCGAGTTCACTGGTATACCTCTGGCACCGCGTGGAACTCCACGCATCGAGGTCAAGTTTGAGATTGATGTCAATGGTATCTTCCAAGTATATGCAAAGGATTTGTCAACTGGAAGCATGAAGTCGATCACTATCAATTCAGACTCGGATGCACGTTCATTCTATGACAACATGGAGGAGGCGATGAGTCTCAAGGACAATGACACTGCCCTTGTTGAGAGAGTTCAATCACGTATTAGTTTGGAGAACTTCATCAATCAGATCAAGTCCATAATCAATGACAAGGTGGCCAGCAAGATCACGGCAGACAACAGGTCTTCCATCGAGTCGTCCATTAATGATGTGTTGAAGTGGATTGAATCCAACAACAATTATGAGATGTTGTTGAAGACTAGTGATGATACAGTCAGCAAGCTACCCAATGACTTTGGAGAACCATTGGTGTTGTTTGATGAGTATGATACCCAGTACAAAGCACTGGAGAAGGTAGTCCGTCCAATCATTACCAAGTTATTAGAGGAGACATCTACAAACCTTGGCGATAACAACAAACAGAGGTCATTCCAACCTCATGACGAACTCTAAGACATGATCGTGCTCATGTATTGATGAATAAAGAGTATCACTACTTTACTATAGTTCATCGTGTGTACCACTCTGGATCACCAATGGCTGTTGTGCATTGGTATTGTCGGGTAACTCTTTGATTAATCTGGCACCACTAATGGCAGCGCCAACTGATAGTACATAATGAGGGTCGATGTCTCTTAATGTCTGCTTGCCATCAAAGAAGTCTGTCAACAGTTGGTTGACATTATGAAGGTGGCCGTATTGGCAAACCATGACGATATTGCTAATGTCTACCTTGTTCAATCCACTGATCTCCAACACTTGCTTGACTGTCTCCAGTGGGTCCTCGCCTTCAATGATGTCCGCTCCACTCTGTACATCAGTGTTGGACAATACTTTGAAGACACCTCTATTGTCCACATTCAAGATAGTGACCTCCACCTTGTCCGCTCCAAAGTCGAACACCAAGATATTCCTGTCGCCTACACCTCTGTTGAGATCGTAAGAGAGACAAGCGGCAATTGGTTCATCGATGACTTGTATCACATTAAGTCCTGCCAATGCTCCAGCATCTCTGATCGACTGTCGTTGAACCCCATTGAAGCTAACTGGGCATGTTATCACTGCATGTTTGATCGGAACACCAAAGAAGTAGCCTTCAACCTTCTCCCTCATTCTGTTCAAGAAAATACCAAAGATATCCTCTGGCGAGTATGATTTGTCCTCGCCATTGAGCTTGGCGACAATGTATGGCTTGTCATATATGTCAACTACCCTGAATGTCAACGTCTTCACTCTATCCTGTACATGTTGATCTGAATACCTAGGAGTGAGTGAGTGAGTGAGGTGGACTGGTCAGATATGAGCCTCATTCACAACATACCTTCTTCCAATGAGCGATCTAATATCGTTCATGGATATAGTGTTCTGGGGATTGCTGATGGCCTGGTCCTTTGCAGCTTCTCCAACAAGTATCTCTCCATTTGAGAACGCGACGTAGGATGGTGTTACATAGTTGTTCTTATCACTTTCATTATGGACTGTCTCGTAGTAACCATTCCTGTATACACTGACTGATGAGTATGAACTACCAATATCAATACCAATGACATAGTCCAATGTATTATCAACTCCAATCTCACAATCTCCAATATCCAATGATGATGATGTTATATCTACTTGTTGATATTGTTGATGTTGTTGATGTTGTTGTTGTTGTTGTTGGTGTTGTTGGTGTTGTGAGTTAATTATTGATGGAGAGTAGGAGAGTGATGAACAAACAATGAATAGCAATGCAAGTAGATGTAGTTGTAGCAGTGCTTGTGTCTTCATGTTTGTAATGTAGTTAACAAGTGACAGAGTATGATGAGTTAGTGAGTGAATGACTAATTCGAAGAATGTGTCTACATGTTTGTTTGTTTATCAGTTCGCATATTGAAGAATGAATACAACTAAGGAGGGGCATCAGATATAACCATCAATATCAAAACTCACACATTAATGGTCTGTGGTCCAAATGTGGGGGTGGAGGGGAACTATTCCAATCAGCTGACGAATATTTCGTTTTTGATCACTCATTTATTCATTGATTCATACAAACAAACCGACAACAACTACATGTCTGACCAACATATATACTTTGAGCAACTTCTAAGGAAGTGCCTTGAAGGGTCTCAGTTGGAGGCTGAGCAAACATTGGCAGAGATAGCATCACCTACCTTACAATACACTCTTCTTCAAAACAAGATATCAGTGATCAACTTGTTACCATTGATCGCCGATGTTGCAGCACATGTACTACCACGAATACTCCATCGACAAGACACATCAATCATGCAACTTGACAATGACAACATCTTGAATAATCACCTGATCAATAATGTTATAATCATAGCATTCAGAGCCGTTAAGTTCTCTTTTGGAGTCGAGGAAACAATGGCTACATTTGGATACCTCTCTGTGGACATGTGGTCTGAACGGCCTGGCGTCAAACTAACACGATACGACATAGTGACATCATTGCTTACAATATGTATCCATTTCCCAATGATAGAGATCATGCAACAACTACTTGAACCAATCTTTGTCAAGTCACTCCAACATGAGATTGCCCAATCATCATCATCATCACCACAACTTTGGTATAGGCTTGAAAGCCTGTATCATGAGTGCATCAAGACATATTTGCCAAGTCTACATATTGCCCGACGTCCAGAACTCAGAGTAGCATTAGGCAAACAACGTACAGATGAGGCACTCATTCAATGGCTCCTCTCAGAACAGTCCATCCACGGCACTATTGGCGAGCCATTCATGACATGGATGTCAAAGTTACACTACCTGGTCATCATCCCAGATATCTCTTTGATCACCTATCACAGGCAATATATCTTTGAGTAATTCCACTCAATCACTCAATCAATCAATCAATCATACTCAACTGGCAACCCTCAAAGCCTCCTCACCAAGGCCACATACTACGACAAATTAGAATGTGCTGTACTCAATGTTGACTTGGTGACTGGTTTGTTAATAGTTCTCGACTTGGTACTAGAAGACAGTGATGTCAATAATGAAATCAATCAGAAACGTATGATTGAATTGGTATTGGACACACAACAAAATGGAAGATATCCTTTGTTGCTGTTCCTTCAACACTTACGATCAATTGATCAATGTCTACCACTTCTGCTCAACACTACCCCTGGCGTGTCAATGCCAACCTACGACGACAAGAACAAGTTGATCAAACACATGGGCCAGGCCTTCCAGATGGTATGCATCGATCGATTCAATCAATCAATCAATCAATCAATCACTCACTCACCTACTCACTCAATCAATCAAACAAAAATGAAGTACTACAAGAAGTATGAGTCATACTTTATTGAATGTGTAAACGATATTCAGTCATTGGTGCTACTTGATGGTATCACTCATTGCTTCAAGAATAATGAGAATGCCTTGGATACTCTTGGACCACTTCTGTGTCATATTGGACAGTTGGACATTGGTGTACACTCAATTTTGTATCTAATGACAAGCCCTGCTACCGAACTCTTGGCCGATCCTCATCGATCATATGGAATGATAATCGAAGGTTTGATTGGTATTTATGGCCTAGACACCACTCATCACAACTACTTTGAAGCTGCCATGATACTCATGGTGGCCAACACACTCGGACCTCAGGTCCTTGGATTGGAACAACGCTACCCATCAGAGATCAAACGATTCTTCAACGATTACTTTAGCTTCATCATTGACATGGTGCTTGATGGCAACATTCAATTCATATTCACGTGTTGGAGGGAGGGATTGATCGATGTTCCCAGGCACATTGGCATGCTACTTCGCCATGTGATCCCAGTTACATTAACCATTGAACCGGGATTGAACACATTCATCTCGGGCTGTCCTGACCCCACCGGGACATGGATCATCTATATCGACATCATGATGGAACTGAGGTGTCTCTGGCCATCACCAACTTCATTCACACATGATCTACTCAAGAAACTTGGAAGATTCAAAGCGAACCACCGCCTGGCCATTCATATAGTCGATGCATACTTCAATGCCACGGACAGACTCAGATTGAATGTTCACGAACATTGTAAATTTGAGAAGTCCCTTTATAGTGGACTCAAGCCTTTAAACAGGAGTCCATTCACATCATCGTCCAAACAATCAATCAGTCAATCACTTCCTCGGCTTCCACTGCTCACACTCAAACAAATTGTCACACTACTTGTGCTCGATGACACTATGACCCCAAGATGGAAAGTGATGTTGGCTGGTGTTTCCAAGCTATTCCATCAAACTGTGGCCAAGGTAATGTCGAGTCACCCTATCCCATCAATACACATCTCGTCAATGATCAATCATATTGGCTCACAGTTCTGCTTGTTTCTCGATACCCCGCTACACCTCACACTGAGCGAGCTGAGCATGATCCCACACGAGCACCTCAATCACTGTATCAATCGAATCGAGTCGATCATACTACCATACATCAAGACAAACACTGGATTGTGGAGCATAAGTGTATTGGGACCAAATCTCAACATGTCTCTCTGATCAACCAAACAATCTACAATGACATGATGAATTCCATCGACAAGAGACATCTTGGCTCTCTCGTCAATACCTCGTTCCTACCCTTTGACCAATGCCCACCTTCGTGGCCATTAGAACACATCATGCAACAATGGCCAAGAATCCAGACCATCTACTACTCGACTCGATACCCATTCAAAGTGTTCCCCAGTACAATGACGACGGGTATCGCCGTCACCACACATTTAGAGTACGTCGAAGGTACAATGTTGGCCAAAGACAAAACGGATGTAGATCACATAACTTCGATGTTGATGTATCGGTCAATGGTGGACTTGTCAATGTACGCCAACCTATCCAGGCTAGAGATAATCCTACAAGACCTCAACAAAACGCATATCGACCTCTACCTTCATCAATACTACGCATGTCAACAACAGATTTATGCTGCACATAGGCTCCACACCTTGGTGTTGACAATCAACAAGGAAGTAGAACAAGTGACTCGACTACTACCCAATGTTCAAACATCAATACGATCATTACAACTGAAATACGACAATATCTACACGATGGTTGAGATGGACCTCGACGGCAAGATAGTGACACATCTAAATAGATTACGTCAACACTTGGACAGACCTATATTCAAATGTATCACTCATCTCTCAATCCAGATTGTAGTCAATGATGTGATTGGACTACCTATGAACCGAGCAACACTTCATCAACACCTAATTGCACCGCTCAACTTTGAACCGGTAGTCAACAGCAGCACAGACTATGTTCGGATGTCTTAAAGGGCTTGGCCTCGGCCTCTGCCTAGGCCATGCTAAGCTTGATTGCGGGTATGGAACAAACAAGCTGTCACCCAATACTCTAAGCATCCCCGCTGATGAGATTTAATAAATCTTTGATCGTGTGCTAGTCAAAAGGCGTGTCGAAGGAAGTGGAAGTGAGTTTGCGGGGGGTTGGCGAGACACTGGTCGAGGGGGCTTTTGAAGGCCCTGCCCCTCTTTCAATGTTTTACAGTGACAGGTCTCAATTTGAAAAAAAAATGAATAATTTCTTTATCTTACATCTTTGAATGAATAGTGCTAAACATAGAGAGAATAACAGTTAGTTAGTTATGTTGCTAAATCAAACAAGTGCCATCTCATGAATGAAAGGATGTCACTAAAGGGTGTTGTTGTTGACATTAACATCACTTGACAACCAAAGATAGAATGCCACGAGGTTTAGAGAGCTCTCTCTATGAAGATTTTGAGCGATAGTTCGTGGACTAATACCACAGACAAAGCTGGATCAGGGAAAAAGGATCCGCAAATGGCCCTTCCCCCTCCCCCCACCATATCAGGAATAACTTTTGATCACAAAATTGGAGGGTGGGGGCTTTCAGTCATGAGCGAACATGGAGATGTACCTTTACTCATCAACTCTTCGCTGAAACAATACTCGAGGAGGCCAGTGTGACACTATCTTTCTCGATATTTGTCGAACGACAAATGCGCCCTGTTGACCCCCCCAATGAGACAAGTCTTTCCAACCGGTCAGCAATGGGTGGATTTGCCTAATCAGGGCAAAATCATCAGCAGGGAGGCTTGCCCAACATTGAGGCCATGCCCCCAAATCCCTCATTAGATCAACTTTGTTCGTAACACTCCAGAGTGAGCTGACTCGACCTGTTAATGAGGCCAATTCATTATTATTGATTGTGATTATTATAGTTTATATCATTAATAAATATATATTTATATTATTTAAAACTAACAACAACAATGTTGATGCTATAGAAAGACCTTTCAACTCAACCCACTCGATCACACACACTTCAAACTCCCACCATCAACTCAACTCAACTGATCAACTCAACTCAACTCATTCGTAAAAAACCCAATCACTCATTCCTCTCATTCTCTCTCTCTTTGTTTGAACAAAGAGGATGAACCCAGATAAGGATAGTGATAGACCATCATCATCACCATCATCATCGGCCAATAACTCCTCAAACAACTTCTATCCAGTACCAAATTCTTATCAACTTCAACAACATCAACTTCAAAGACAACAGCAAACAACATCAGCAACATCAGCAACATCATATACAAATTTCACCTACGTGGTCGCCTTCGTCAAAGTCAGCGCCACATTTATCTCCACGAACTCAAGAAATACCCTTCACATCTACACCTTCACCTTTATCTTCAAACCCAACATCATCAGTCCAATTACATCAATCTCAAAAGTCAAGTAAAATGATTGCCTCATATACATATCAATACCGAAGCTACCAGAACTATCCTGAATACACTCATCATCAATCACCTTCACCATCATCATCACTTTCACAATTACAATCATCAAATATACAAAATGTTCCACCTGGATTGGAAAGCACATATCAATCACTCAATAGAATATTCAATAACACCGATACTCGCAACAACTTCCAGAACAACAACAACAACAAAAACAACAACACACAGAACATCCAGAACAGACAACGAAGCCCTTCGCCAACAAATTGGCTATCACCACCATCTCCGATGGTGCGGTCAAACTCCTCATCGCCAGTGATGAAGAGGAAGCAACAACATGATGATGAGTCAAACCCCTTCTCCTCGCCCCTCGGAACACCTTCCCATAGCGGTCCTTTCTCGACTGACCGAAGCTCAGAATATGGCAGTGACAACAATCCAGACTCGAACATTGCCCATCCTAACCCGAGCCCCAACTCCAACATGTTGCCAGATGTAGGTGTCCATGATGAAGACCACGACCATCTACCATCACAGAGTTGCCGTCTACCGGGCTGTATGCTGTGTACTAGGGAGCGACCGACAATATTAATGAAGGTGCCTATATGGTCATCGATCATGAAGGTTGTATTCTACACATTACACAGGTTGTCACCTGAACGCCAGTACTTTAATTTAAAGAAGGATGTCTACACATTCATGGAGTGCCACTGGGGCCAACTGTATCTTAACAAGAAGATCTCCTCTGGTAACTGGCGCAAACAAGTACAGGACATGCTTAGTCACAACAAGGACCTATTCACCTCGGGCTACCAAGCACTCAATCAAAATGGCTTCTGGTCTTTGAAGCAATTAGATGATCCCTGGAGGATAGGAGAGGAAGCATTGGCGGCAGACAACAACAATAATAATAATAGTAATAGTAATACTACATCACCAAAGAGATTGAGAAGGACTTACAAGAAGAAGAGGAAGGATGATGACCAGACGCCCAACATCATCACATCACCTTCACAAGCCAAGGGAAGACCAGCCAACGCCCCTACTACCTCTACCTCCACCTCATCACCCAGATCCTCCACAACTACTACCACTACTACAACCACTACTACAACGACAACCTCTACCAACAAACAAACCGATGATACACTAGAGTTCTATAGACGACTGCTAGCAGAGTACGATGACGAATAAATGAATGTATGAATGAGCTACGACGCAGTGGATGCGTCGCCACTCCACTCCAATCCAAACCATAATGATTCATTCGATCAAGTGCCGGCTTCCTAGGCTTACCCTTGCCCTTCACTTTACTTCTTCTTTATAACTACATTGTCCGACTTGGAGTCGACACTGGTCGTGGACGCCGTGTCTGAGATATCGTTGGCGTGCTCGCCAGCGTCCTCCTTGCTCTTGCGCCCACCTCCGATGCCCTTGAACTTGTTGAATATCTTCTTGGAGAGAGATGTTGACGGTGAAGTTGTCGGTGGCTTGGATGCTTGATTGTTTGACATGGTCAGTCCCTGAGATGTGGATCGTAGAGCTGCGTTTGTCCTCTCTGACTTACCCTTCTCGTCGTTGTTCAGTTGGTTGGCTGAGACTACGTTGGCAGCAACTGCATCTTTGGTGGATGTAGATTGTTCGGCTGCAGACGTCGGTTGCTCAGCAGGCTGCTCCTTGGTATTATTATGTACAGTGTCGACGACGGACATCGTGTCCGCGGGGGGCGAGCTAAGCTCATTGTCGTCGTCGACTTCATCATCTGATGTATTGTCATTGGTCTGTAGCTGCTGCTCCAGCTGCTCGTTGAATGCTGCGTCTGTGTTCTTGCCAGCACCGAGTTTGTTCTTCATGAGTCGCAGCGTGTTCCTGCCGCGGCCAAGCAAGGACGGCCGCCTCTTTGACTTGGGTCTGTTGAGCTTTGGATCGCTGTTGTTGTCACCTGTCGCTGGGTTGTTGGCCGAATCATTCTTTTGTGCGGCATCGAGCTTGGTTGTAGTGGTGGTGGTCATCCCACTTGAGCTCGTGTTGCTGTTGAACGATGAGTTGAGCTGATGGGGCAGGTCGGGATTGCCCTCAGCTCCGCTAAAGCTGGCCCTGCCCACGCTGTCGCGCTCGCTCTCACTCCAATTCAAGTCGATCTCGTTGTCCACTAGGTATTTCTCCTCATCGTACTCATTGTACTCGTAGCGTGGTGGCTGTGTTGGTGAGCTTCCGGATGGGAACTCGCTACTCAGTGGCGCCGTGGCCTCATACTTCTGCACGTCACCTGCCTCTATCGTGTCGAACGTCAGGCCGAGCTCCAGCTCCTCGCCACGTAGTATCTGCTCTACTTCCTTTGACTTGTTCATGATTGCGAGGTCCAGTGGAGTTCGTCCAAGGTTGTCAACACACTTTGACTTGATCGTCTCGTAGCCTCGCTTCATCAACAGAGATGCACAACGAGGTCGGTTGAAGAAGGCGGCATAGTGCATGGGCGACCAGCCACGTGAGTCGGTGGATGTGATATATGCGCCGTTCTGTAATAGCAGCTCGGGGATGATGACGTCGTCCGCCTTCCAAATCACCTGATGTAGGGCGGCGCGACCATACTGGTCGACGTGGTTGATGTCTGCACCCTGTCCAATGAGTTTGAGATATCGTGTGGCGTCGCGGATGCCGCTGTCTGAAGACGTCAGCTCGTAGAATGTCTTGTTGAGCTCCTCCTGCGTCAGCGCCGACTTGATCAGGAACTCCTTGGTCTTGTACTTGGCGCGGATATACGCCTCCTTGGTCATGCGATCTGACTTGTCCGTGGGCTTGGTCTGGCCCGACAGCTGGTGCTCGTAAAGTATGTTGAACTTGTTGTTGCCAACCTCGCGCATGTAATGGATGCTCTCTGGCGACCACTTGTCCAGCGTCAGCGAGCGCACCTTTGATATGTGGGTGCCCAGACTGCGATGGACGCCGCTGCACACCTTGCAGATGATGACGCCCAGGTTGATGGATGCCCAGTCGGGGTCGACGCTTGAGCAGTCGGCGCAGACATTGTTGCCGTTGGCCTTGAGTATGATGCGCATCACCTGCTGATTGACCTCATCACCTGATGTTGGCATACCTGTGGCCGACAAACGGCCTGTGCTGCTTGAGCCAGCTATTGAGGGCCGGCCACCACCAAGCGCACCACCAGACAGCGACTGGCTGTTGAGCGAGTTGGAGATAGCCTCCTGGATTGCGGCCACCCATCTGTCACGCTCCTCATCGCTCTCAGCCTGCAGCACGATTGGTTGCTTCTTTCTTGGATGCAATATTTCGAATCGATAGTCCTGCTGCTCCTGCTTCTCCTGCTTCGAAGAGCCCTGTTGTGTTGGTGGCGCCGTCGTCGGCAGTTGCTGTAGCTGTTGTGGCAGTCGAACTGAGCACAACAATATATTCAATGCATTCTCTGGATGGAATTCCTTTTGATTGAATGTGATTGATTGAATGAGTGAATGATCGATTGATTGGAATGATTCCAGGATTGATCAACTTACCTTCTTTCCTTTGTAACAATATAACATTCCATCCTTCAGGACGTACCAGCACTTGTTCCAGCCACCCATGACTTGTTTGCTCTTCTTGAGAAGATGACCCTCGACCACCTTGGGCGGCGAGATCTCCTCGAGGTGGCGCTCCAACTCCTCGATACGTGGCTTGAGATTGGAGAAGAGCTTGGCGCCACGGTTGAAGAACAGGTACTGTGAGTTGACAAACAGTAGCAGTGACCTGAGATACTTGGTCTCGTTCTTGAATGAAAGGTCGTTGAGCTTGGCCTCCAGATCTTGGTTCTGCTGCTGGAGCACCTCTCTCTGCTTCTCCAACTCCTGTTCGTAGCCAGACAGCTTTGACTCGTCAATGCCCTGTTTGGACTTTTTGATCGCAGTTGATATCTTGCCAAGTGTACCCTCATACTCCTCCTTGAGCTTGCCCATCTTCTTGTGTGATTCTACCACCTCGGCAAAGTCATAATCTACAAAGTTGGCCAATGGTGTAGAGAATACATCCTGTATCTCATTGAGCTATAATATCGCGACTTAGTTAGTTCGTTGTCCGCACAGATACCCAAGGCCTTGACTTGCCCTTGATCACTTACCATTTGATCGTGTACACTGTTGACAGCGCGTAGTGTATTGCCAAAGTACACCAAGTTCTCTCCAATGTTCTTCTCTCTTGGCTGTGCAAACTCGACCATCTGATCAGATTGTTTAAGTAACTCTTCGGAAAATAGATGGCAGTTCTGGCAATATGCTGTTTGAATGGATGGATGATATTAAGTGTCAGTCCATGCTCGATGACCCGTCACCATCCATCAAGGACGTGGAGACTTACCCTTCATGGCATCTGTCCAATGTTTGGATATCTTGAGAACACGCTTCATCGTCTTCTTGTTCTGTAGGGCAAACTCCATCTCAACGTCGTGACTCATGTCGGCCGTGAAGTTGGTCTGGAGCGCCAGGTTGGGTAATGTGATTGGTATCATTGGCGTCGTCTGTGAAACTGGATGTGATGATGCGTTTGAAGTCGATGTCGATCGAGACTGTATCGGTGAACTACCAGGTTGTTGTTGTTGTTGAGGTACTATTGTAACAGTTGAAGGTGTAGGATGGAATACTATTGAAGAATGAGTCACTGGAGCACTTGTTGAATATAATGATGAGTCTCCACCTGCTACTCCACCTCCAATAGACTCTGTAGATGTGCTGGCAATACTGAGATTGCTCATTATTCAAAGACTGTAGATAATGCACTCACTAAAGTTTATTAGTGAGTGCAAGGTTAAAGGTTATAGATATGAAGATATAATTATAAATATAATAATACTAATGAATGAATGATAGATAAATTGATTGTTTGTTTGATTGCGCGTAAACTACTGGACTGAAGAATGAAGGATGAACAACTAGAGTGATATGATATGATATGATGATACTTGGGGAGATATGTGATTGAATGAATGAATGAGATAATGAGAGAGGGAGATGATGTCAATGATAAAAGAGAAGTGAGAGTGAGTGTTAGGGTTAAGGGTTAAGGGTTAAGGGTTGAGGGTGAGGGTGTAGGCTGGTAGAGGGTCGATGTAGGTAGCAGTATCGATAGAGTGTGTGTTGGTGTGTGAGTTAGTAACAAGGCGGGTGATCTGGCAGAGATAGATAACAGTGAGAGACAGTGAGTGAATGTGTTGTGTATTATTGTTTGATTATTTGATTGATTGATTATTATATGTTTGTATGTATTAATATGTCTGTCTGTCTTTATGTCAGTCAATGATTCAATTAGAAAATTAATTAAACCAAATCCAGTCAGACAGGGACATGAACAAACAAACAACCAAACTTTGTTTTTGAAACATCAAACCAACCTCCAGCCAAACACAACCAATCAAACAATCAATCGATCGCTCAAAAGGTTTGAACACAACAGTGTTTTGCTGAATGATAATGAATGAATGAGTAGAGAGTGATAGAGTAGTGTAGAGTAGAGGAGAGAGTGAGTGAGAGGCTGATTGGATGCATTTATTTGATAAACTAAAAGGACACTGATCCAATGGGTGGTGGATTATAGTATAGTGCACTTGGACTTGCCGGATTTGTTCGACTTGTCCCTGTCTGGGAATATAACAGCCTTGATGGCTTCGTCGAATACCTGTTTAAGTCCTGTTGATGTTGAATATGGTCGTGCATGATGTGATGTTAGTTAGATGACATGTTGAACATACTCCTGGTTGATTGATTGATTGATCGAATACTAACCTTTCTGGGTGAGGGCAGAGCACTCTAAATAACAATAAGCCTTGATGTCCTTTGCCATCTGCTCTCCTTGCTGTGGAGAGAGAGGTGTTTGATTCTTCTCCTTGAGCTTCTCCAAGGCCTCCCTGTCGTCCCTCAGATCGCACTTGGTGCCAACGAGAATGATCGTGCTGTTGGGACAGTGATGCGTGACCTCTGGATACCACTTTGACTTTACATTGGTGAACGACGTCTGACTGATGATGGCGAAACAAATCAGGAACACGTCTGTCTGTGGGTAACTGAGTGGACGAAGACGGTCGTAATCCTCTTGACCTGCTGTATCCCAAAGACCAAGGCTAACTGTCTTATTATCTACCATTACATTGGCTGTTTCGTTCGATGATGATATGATGTTATGATGTTAGTCTTTGTAATCATCGTCGACTCTCTCTCATCAGTCGCACGCACGTCCAATCGATGCGCTGCACCCACCAGAGTAATTATCAAACACGGTTGGGACGTATTCGGTTGGGAATGAGTTTGATGTATATGAGATGAGAAGGCATGTCTTGCCAACTGCACCATCACCTACAACTACCAACTTGATTGATTGCATCCTATACTGTTATGATTGATTGATTGATTGAAGGTTAGAACACTCTGTCTGCCTCTGATATTGATAAGATGATGAAACACTGACTTGTTTACAAATATGTCTCTAGACTTATGATGACGAATGTGATTGGATGGATGGTGATGTTATATGTGTTGTTGTTGGTTGAAGGAATGCTGACTACTGATACAATGGATTGTTTTGTTTGTCGCGCCTAAGTTGAGAGATTGATTGAGTGTGATGAAGTGAGTGAGTGAGTTGAGTTGAGTTGAGTTTTAAAAGTAAGTGTACAAGGAATGATATATATGTATATATATTTATAAATATAATATAATATAAGAATATGAATATGAATATGATGAAGGGATGGGGATGAGGTGCAGGCTTGAGTATTCTTGTGAATGAATGTCGAGAGAGAGGGAGGTGCGAAGTGTTGTGTTGGAGAGAGAGAGGGGAGAAATGTTGTGAAAAAAAAAACAAATCAAAGTAATTATTTGAACAGTTTGTGATTCAAACAAACAATACACTCACATACCCACGAGTCGGGTCTAGTGTGTGGGTGAATCTACCAAACTGTCTATGTGTTTGTCATCGTGATCGATTGAATGTAACATCATAATAGATGGATGGATGTGATGAAAGAATGAATGTAGTTACAATGACCAAAAGAGAGATAGAGAGAGAGAGAGAGAGAAAGGTTGAATTTAGAATGATGTATCACATACCTAATGTATTGAATGTTCGTTTGATTGACTTTGATTGACTTTGATTGATTGATTGAATGACTTTGATTGATTTATGACGTTGATGTGCTTTGACTAGAGATAGTTGTTATATATATATATTTATATCTTACAGGGTATGAATGATCACAAACTAAATTGTTGACTTATAATAAACTCGTTGCTCACTTCTGAACATGATCAATCGCGTTTATCTATCATCACTCATTCACACACACATACACACAGGTATCACTTCACCCAAACTTGCTTAACAAAAAAGAGATCAAAGAATTGTTTTTTGGCTAACAATCAGGATGGAAGTGTGGGGGTGATTTGTGGCTCTCAAATTAGAACTGATTGATGATTGCCGATGTGATCTGCCCAAAGATAAATCGAATTGAGACGAAACGTTGTCTAAATGGACCAAACAAACAAATTGGAATAAAGTCGGAGTGAATGAATAAATTAATGAATGAATGAATGAATTTAGGGGATTACAAAGGGTTTGGAACCATAACTATTATTATTAATTAATATTATTATTCGTCCAAAAGGTTGATGACTGACATCTTGGTACTAGAGGGAATACTGTTGGTGGAAGTGGACACGGACATTGGAGAGGAGGATGGTGATCGAGATGGATATGAGCGCTCCATTGATCGTCTGGTGATTCCATTCGACATGTCTTCAGCACTGCCATTATGTTTGTTGTTGTTGTCGCGACTATACTTGTGGTCATCCTCAAGAGATACCTCTTTGACATCATTCAATATAGAGTATATCGATGGTAAATTGTTTGAGTTGTTGTTAGAGTTGTTGTAGTTATGTTGTTGTGGTAAAGGGTAGTCTGGTGATGCTCTTGAAATTGTTTGCAGTGTCTTCTTGTCATGGACATGGGCATTTGAGAGGACTCCATCCGATGGAGGTGAAGTGGTCAACAAGGATGCTTCATATAATGAACTCAGTCTGGACTCGTTGGGAACGATCAATCGTTCAGCATTGATGCTTGGACTGTTGATGCTATACCTGTTACTATTGTTGTTGTTGGCATTACTATTACTTCCACTTTGGTTGGCATTGTTGGCGAAAAGATGATGATAAAGGGAGTCTGTTTGCAATGACCTCTCATTGATTGGTGAAAGGGATCTCTCTGGCGAGTATGTTGGTCTGTTTGTTATGTTTGGCAGGGAGACTCTGCGCATTGATAGTCTGCTGCCTCCGCCGCCACCCTCATTTGCTGCAGGATGGCGCGAATGACTGGCGAAAGGTAGATCATAGGATGAAGAGTGAGGATGATGATGATTGTTGTTGTTTCCGTTGTTGTGATCATCATTGAATTCGCTATTGTTACAAATGCTCTCCAGAAGAGAGAGCTTGGGATATGGATGAAACTTCTTGGGCACGGCCATGTCGTCGCCCAGACTCTGCTTCCTCCTGCCTGGAACGAATTGGTATGGTGAGAGATCATCACTACGCATTTGATCAATGTCCGATAACATTCCAGGTGAGTGGATTGGTTGGAAAGTTGATGGTGATGACGGGGACTTGAATGCAGTTGGGTAACCTGTTGTTGGACTTGGTGTTGAAGACAAAGAATGTTTCCTGGCTGATGTAGTTGATGAAGATGTATTCTTTGTAGTTGTTGGTACTTGGTGATTTTGTTGTTGAGCTTGTTGTTGTTGTTGATGTAGTTGGGGAGATCCATTTGGAATTGGAATGGATCCAGATGATGATGTTTGAGAGGAAGGAGGAGGTGCTTTGTTTCCTCCTGGAGATGACGCTGCTGGCTTCTTTGTGTCCAGCTTCCAATGAGTGACAAAGTTCTTGTAGGATGACTTTTGAACCATCATTATTCCAGGTTCAGAGTTACGTCTTCTTCTTCCCAAGTTATTACTATTATAATCGTTTGGAGTCTGTGCCGGTTTAAATTTCCAATGTTGTTGTTGTTGTTGTTGAATCTGTTTGTTATTATTATTACTAGTACTTGAACTTTGTCCACCTCCACCATTAGAGATATGATTCACTGTAGGAATTGGACCAACTGCCAATGGGCTTTGGATGTCCATTGAAACTGATGTACCATTCATTCTCTCTCTTGAACAATGTTATGTTTATATGTTATGTTATGTTTTAATAATAAAATCACCTTTCTTTCTGAATAATTATCACTTTGTAATCAATTATTATTGATTGATTGATTGATTGATCGATCGATTGTTTTGAAGAATAAAGATACTATGTAAGTATTTGAATGAATGAGAGAATGAATGAATGAATGAATGATAGAGAAAGAGAATAGACAAGAAGACTTGAGAGAGTAGAGTGATAATAATAATAATAAAGTTAGAGGTGAGTGTGAGAGTGAGTGAGAGGGCAGTTGCATTGGGTTGGGTTTCAAGTTGTTTCCCCCCTCACTCTCTTTGCCTATCCTATCCTTTAATAATACACACCCTCCCACCACTTTGTACAAATATAGCCTCTTTTTGTAGGACCCAGGGGAACTAATGTTACATTCACATCCCCTTCAACACTTTGTTTGGGGGTTTGTTCCCCCATCGAATAAATAATAATTGAGTGTTGTGAGAGAGAGACAGTCATGACTGTGGTTTGGAGTTGTGTTTGTTTGCAATGAATCTCTCAAAGGTCCTTTCTTTTTTTGCCAAATAAGGCAACCAATGATTTTTATTATTATTCGTTATTTTTCAATTCTCCATTTGGGGATCTCTCTCTTTACATTCACGGTGATCTGAATTCAATCGGACTATTTATTATTTGTAGTATTTATTAGATGATGAGATAACAATATCGAACGTTCATTTCATAATTAGTTCAAAGTTGATTGATTGATTGATAAAGTGATCGACTCGAAAACAAGTCTCATTTGATTGACGTTCTTTGCAACAAGTATCTTGTCTCAAACCACCATTTTCCACTAATCTTGATTATTTGATTTGACTTCACTTCACATCTCTTCACTTCATTTCATTCATTCATTTACAAACTCACTCAACTCAACAACATAGATAATTGAGTTATTCATCATCACATTCACAATACAATATGACAACAAGAAGAAGGACAAAGTTAGAGAGACTACAAGAAGAGTCTGAAGCATTGAAAGCTTCACTAATACCAAACCGAAGTAGAAGATTATCATCAAAGAATCTGAATGATGATGATGACAATGATGATAATGATCACGAAGAAGAAGTAGAGGAAGATGATGTGGAGGATAATGAGGAAGAGGTTGATAACACACAGAAACAGAAGAAGAGGAAGCAACAACAACTGAAAGGATCAGAGAAGCAGACACAAGATAAACAAGAGAACAAGGACAATGGCGCAACGATCATAACAAGTAGTAGGGGAAGAGTGATCAAGAGATTGGCAGCACAGACTAATGATAGTGATGAGAATGATTCAGATGTTATTCCATCAATCTCTGATGACTCTGATTATGATCCTGAGGAGAACAAGAAGAGAAAGAAAAAGAAGAAGACATTGTCACAGCATTCATCATCGACTACATCATCATCGCCATCACAATCAATGTCAAGACAATCGAAATCACCATCACAAGGAGCATCAAGGGCTGCAAGATCACCCGCAAGAAAGACATTGACCAATGGCGATCACAAGAATTCCTCATCATCATCATCATCACAGAGCAAGCGACCAAACACTCCATCTCGATCAACACCATCGTCATCATCGTCATCAAAGAGGAAACAAAGACAAAAGGACAGTGATGACGACGAAGATGATGATCAAGAAGACGAGGACGAAGCGATCATTGGAGAGTTACCCAATCCAAAGTTCGCCAGATTGGACTTGGATTCAATCCTCACACTCAAATATATGTCATCCAAATCAAAGAAGTTCACTGTCAAGTCGACAGAGTCAAAGGAGGACACCAAGCGCAAGAAACAGTTGATTCACGATGAGGAGAAGGCCAAGGGCGAGGCAATGCTGCGAGAGCTTCGAGACGAGTTTGATCCAAAGGATATGGAGGAGATTGAGCGACAACAAAAGGAGGGAGTCGGTCCAAGGAAGAAGACGCCCGTTCAATCAGTCACCACGACGCCAAAGTCAATCCTAAAGACATCGACCACAACAACGCCACAGACAAACAACAATGACACAACTACCACACCTTCGACCGTGTCAACAGTTACATCCGCCACTGATAAACGTGCACGACATGTCGAGTTCTCCGTGGAACTGGACGAGCAGTTGGTGTCAGAGATGAAATACGTCTCGAATAGACCATCAACAGGCGGTTCAGTGACACGTACGCCTTCCTCCCAAGAATCAATCAAGAAGAAACAACAACAAGAACAGGAGAGGGACCAAGAAGATGAACCACTACTAGAGCAGTCACAAGTAGTCATGGATATTATTGAACCAGACAACAAGGATGCCAATAATGATGTACATAAGAGCAATGGCAATCAAGATGTGGCTGTGGACGAGAAAGAGCATGATCAGGATCTGGTGGATATAGTGGAGAGCACAGGACAACAACAGAATAGCAATGTCATCGATGACAACAACAACAGCAACAACAACAACAAAGACGACAATGACAATGACAAAGGAGTAGATGGAGTGGACCATGTTGTTCAAAGTGGCGATGGCGAGAAGATAGAGCCAATACCCGACTCGTATGATGAGTCCAAAGAGTTCCAGAATAGCCAGCCAACACAATCAGACGATATGCCAAGTACGCAGACCTGTCAACGAGATTATGACGAGTATACCAAAGGTAAGTTGTTGTATTACAAGTTGTTGTTGTTGTTCAAAGTGATCCATGAGGAGGAAGGAGGAAACAGACTAATCTAATCTTCCATTTCACAATCCAATGTCCATTGCCACCTCATCATCGATGATCCATTGTTATCGTTGTCGTTGTCGTTGTCCTTTCCGTTGCCAAATGACCAGCTGTTGAAGGTATATATACTCCAATGCCATTCGACCAGTTCAAAGAGGATATGAGGAAGCGCCAAACATCTGGATCGATCCAGGATGGAACCAAGGAATAAACTACTTTGCACTTGTGCCACTTGTCGTGGAGCAACCAATATGAATGAATGAATGATTGAATGATTGAGGACCATGCCATGTCATCAACGCCTGAAGCTAAAGTCTCTGTTGAACCTGTTGTTGCCAGAGTTGATCAGTGGCGTCTCCTCTTCCAGGTAGGCCTGGTACTTGACTTTGTAGAATGTGAAGCCGAGTAGCACCATCGAGATGACGGTCAGCGAGCAGACAACGGCAAACAGTGCGATAGCATAGGGCGACGACGGCGGACTCGTCCAGATGATGTTGTTGTCCGTGTCGATGAAGCAGCTGACGTTCTGGCGCTGCGTGATCGCCTGTAGATATCGGATGGTGCACTGTAGCGAGTGCACCCACGGGCCCTGCACCGAGTGTTTGCGATCGCCATTCAGCGACACATTATAAACACCCTGATAGCAAACAGTTGGCTGCGGGTTCATTATAGGGAATGAGTTATAAAAGTCACTGTCATACACCGGTGACAGCAGACCCTCATTCAATCTTGAACAATCCGTAGTATTAATCTTTGTTATTCTCGTTGTATTATACACATTACATGTCATCTCTTTGAATGTCATTGCTTTGAATATCTTGGTATCGATGTCGATGTCAGTATCATGTGAACATGTTCGGTCCGCATGTCCCAAACTTACTTGCGCTCCACCGGCTATTGATAGCAAGGTGATTGTGAAGAGTGTAAAGACTACGGTCATGACGGCAGAGTTGACAAGTAGTGACTTTAGCACTTTTAGTCTCATCTCTGGTTCTAATGATGTGGTTGATGATGATGATGATGGTACAGTTGATGTCCTCCTGGATGAGTTACGTGATGATCCACTACCTCTCTCCATGTCACGTTTTGACATTGATCTTGAAGAATCAGGTGATGTAGGTGCCAATATTGATTGAAGGCTACCACCTCCATCTGTTAAATGTCTATCACTCATTGTTATCTAGATATATCTCTATATTCTATCTATCTATAAATAAACAATCATATAAGATTGAATGATTGAATGAATGTTTGATGAATGAAGGAAAGTCAGGACCAACATTGCTCGTGAACCACCTTTGCAAAAAAAAAACAAAAACATGGATTCTCCACAACAAGCCTCAGCTCCAACTCTCAAGAATACAAGCTTTGAATAGTCTCTAAATGAAAGATTAGAGATAATTAATATGATGTTGACATTATATGTTGTGTGATGATCTACAAATATGTCTTTAGTTGTTGGGTCCTTACAACTATGACCTCCAACGAGAGTCATGCCTTGTAAGATGTCCGGATTGGGACAACGAAGACGACAAACACACACTGCACCACACCACAATCAACTGCAACCATTTTGTGTGTGTGTATAAATGAATGAATGAATGAACACAAGTTGGTGATGAAGGTGTGTGTTTGAATTCGATGAGTTGTTGATGAAGTGTTAGTTTGAAACAACTTGTTCATCATCTTCTTGTTTATTAGTTTCCCAAATACAAACAAATATATTATTATCATTAGTTTAATATATATTATATAGATACATAATTTATTTGTTGTTGTAGTATTATTATACATATATAGTATAGTGTGACAATATATCACATCAATCACATCACATCATTCAATCACATCAATCAATCAAAATATGGAGCAACAAAGGAATGACTCATTCGCCTACCAAGATGTATGTTTATATCAAACAATGTACAACTATATAACATGTACATATACTGATATATCATCATGATCAACATAACATAATCAGCTGAACGCAGATAGATCAGGACCACCAGAGATCAGACCAGAGGAGATCACTTTTGAGGAATTGATCGGAACAGGTTCATTCGGAAAGGTGTTCAAGGGTAGATGTCGTCAGAAGGCTGTGGCAGTCAAGCTACTGCATAAACAGAACTATGACTCAGCAACCCTGGCCGCCTTTAGAAAGGAGGTTCACTTGATGAGCAAGATCTACCATCCAAACATCTGTTTGTTCATGGGCGCATGCACCATCCCAGGCAAATGTGTGATCGTCACCGAGCTTGTACCCAAGGGTAACCTCGAGACCCTCTTGCACGACGAGAAGATCCAACTGCCACTCTATCTAAGAATGAAGAGTATGTAGTAGTTTGATTGATTGGCAAGTGTGATCACTCACTCATTCATTCATTCAATCAATCAATTATAGTGGCCAAGGACGCAGCATTGGGAATCAACTGGCTACATGAATCGAACCCAGTGTTCGTGCACAGAGATGTCAAGTCATCCAACTTGTTGGTCGATGAGAATATGAAGGTTAAGAGTAAGTGACGATCGAACGACCATCACTCCTTCACTCAATCAATCACTCACTCATTCACACCCAATCAATCAATCAATCAACTATATAGTCTGTGACTTTGGTCTGTCAGCATTGAAACAGAAGCATAAGATGCTAAAGGATCAATCGAGTGCAAAGGGCACTCCATTGTACATGGCACCAGAGGTGATGATGTTCAAGGAGTTCAATGAATCGAGCGACGTTTACTCATTTGGCATTGTGCTCTGGGAGATATTGACGCGCAAGGAGCCATTCTCACATCACAGAGAGCTGGAGAAGTTTAGAGAGGCCGTGTGCTCCAAGCACGAGCGTCCACCCATCCCCGCCGACTGTCTCGACTCGCTGCGAAAGCTGATCGAGAAGTGCTGGGACAAGGAGCCTCTCAGACGTCCATCTTTCAAGGAGATCATTGCCACGCTGGACCACATCATTGTCGACGCTGCCATCTCTGACATCAATGGACGTGACTTTTGGAAGCGCAGCTTCCTCACCGAGCAAGAGGTTCCATGGGACACCTTTGTCGATGCTCTCTGTGAGTGGTCCAAGCATCCAAACAGGACTCAATGTGACAAGGCATCAATCGAGTATCAAAACATCAAGTGTCTCAAGGCCATTCTATGTTTGTATCACGTGGAACTATTCCAATCATCAATCAATCATACTAACTCTCACTCGACCACTCAATCAATCAGCTGATTCACCAAAGGCTGAAGGAACAGGAGTTGACAACATAGTACATATTGAGAAGTTTGGAAAGATACTGGAGTTCTTTGGACCAATGAATGCACCAAACGAGGGCAAGACATTGTTGGAGTTGATCAGAGAGGTGATGGCCCAGAAGTGGTTCCACGGCTACTTTGAGACAGTGGACGCCGCCACCAGACTGGGCGGCCAGCCAGTCGGCTCTTTCCTCATCCGTTTCAGCTCGACCAACGCCGGCTGCTTCACCATATCACAGGTGATCAACGAGGCAGGCACCATCAAGCATCAGCGTGTGTCGCGCATTGGCACCAAGTACAACTACCAGAACGTCAATTACAACTCTCTGATCGATGTGGTCGCCAAGAATGGCGGTGGCAACAATGGCGATGTCAAGCTGGATGCCAGTCTGGGCGTTCCCAACTTCAAGTTCATGGCGCTCTTCTGTCACGTCCCATCGTCTAGTGACACCTATTAAGGTGCGTGTGGTTGGTACCATTTATCCAGGTTCGTTTGTTTGATTGTTTCGCCAGGCCAGCCAGTATACCCGTGGTTCCCTGTTCCCAAACAAACCGGTTGTGTCCATGATTGATCCAGGGTGGCCTGGCTGGCTGGCTGGATGGACCTGGAACATGCATGGCACCACGATCATCTCCCAACACCATCACAAACACACCAACATCATCATATCCACTCTACCACTACCACTACTACAACTCCTACAACCAACCAACCAACTACCACTACAACTACATTGACATGCCCACTACCATCAAGCCTCCTTTGTAAACGCCGACGAATCCTCTGAGGAAGGTTAAGCATAAAGGAATAAAATTTTTATTCTCCACTACCACTTCACTAAACTAAAACTAAATCAAGATATCTTATGTTGCCAGACCTGGAAGTTGTTGAGCGAACAAGTGTCTTGATGGGTGGGTCAAAAGGGGCCAATGGCAGAGCATGTGATCGATTGATCCCCTTTGTCCAAGGATGGGTCGGCGCGTCCCCAATCACAGGGAACCCGTTCGCTCCCTCCGTGTCATCATGTGGTGATGGGCGTGTTTTTTGATGAGTTCCCAACGGGGCGCCCCATCAATTCGTCCCCCACACGTCCGCCGCGTCCGTGGTTTCATGTGGGGCTGGTAATGTAGATGAGTGTGAATGATCATCTATGAGGTGAATGTTTGATCAATTTGTGAAGTAGACGTCAATGCATGTATGTGCCCTACCCACACTCACCTACATAGGGGAAGATGTTGGGGCATTCAATTTAAGAGTCAAACTCCCAGCCCCCATTAAATGGGCTCAACCTCACCTTCATGGGAATTGAATCACCCAATGGACCAGCTCTTCCCATCAGTAATTATGTGTGTGTTCACACATACAGGTCCCTGCTCTACCATCCATCAAACAATCCATCACTCTTACTTTCCACTTCCCGAATATCTCTATCATTTGAACATCTTTACTATCTCTCTCTCTTGTTATTCGTGTATTGTTCAGACTTCCCATCCATTCACCAAACAATCCCAATCAATCAATCAATCAACCAAACTATTACTTTGTGTCATTCAATCAATCAGTCATTCAGTCAGGTGACATCCCAATCTCCTACATCCTACATAAACAACCAAGTCGTGGCATCATCTTCATTTCCCAAAGCAAGAGCATAAGCCTCAGCCTTCACTCAGCCTCAGCCTCAGCCCCAGCGTGTAGTTATAACAATCAACTCATCTCAACTCAACTTCAATCACTCACTCAATCACTCAACTCAAACAAACAAATAATCAATGTATATCGGTGTAAACGATCATTCTTCCACGCCCCTTGTTGGACCAGCCTACAGTAGACAATCCCATTTCGAGCTCGCTGCCACCACAGCAGTTTCAAATATTAATAATAATAATATTAATAATAATATTAATAATAATAATAATAATAATAATGGTGTTGTAGCCTCAACTGCAACTGCTTCCAACAAGGTGAACTGTGCCGATGATTGGAGAGACAGCCTGATGAAGTCATCGATATCCCATCTTTTGACTACTCCACTCTCCACCGCCACCTCTGCTGCCGCCGCCGGCTCCGCTGACGCCACATACCAACTGCCATTCATCCATGCCCCTGCCGCCACCACCAACATCAACATCTCTCGTCCACTTTCCAAGAGTACCCCCAGCTTCCATCACCATCATCAGCACCAGCAGTCGCCAGTCAGCTCGCCAAAGTCCGTCAGCTCATCGCCCAAGTCCGATGAGAGCAGTGAGCCAGATGCAGAGTTTGACATTGATTTGTTGAGATCGATGGCGGACAACCCTTGTTGTCCAACCTGTGATGACCAGGCCACACGCAAGCATGACAAGCGGAGATGGTGGTGTAAGAAATGCAACAAGTCCTTCACGCCATGTCGTCTTCCACGATGGTCTGCCAAGACCCAACCCGTCTCCAACTCCCTTCCACAATGTGGACGATGTCTCCACTATGCCACCCGCAGACATGACCGTCGGAGATTCTGGTGTGGATTCTGCAAGAAGCCATTCACACGTAAGTCCATGGAACTATTCCAATCACTCACACAAATATACTAATCAATCAATTATAAATAATCCAGAACAATTCACTCTTGGAGTCAACTCACATATTATTTATGTCATGGAGAATAAGTTGAACCCAATGGATGGTGGCGCCAATGATGATGCCTCTGGGTGGTACTCCTGGCAATCAATGTCCATGTCCAATCAATCATTCATCGATGACAACAACAACATCCACGCATCAGGTAGCCGAATGCCTGAAATGCAATCACCACCCAAATCCAGAGATATAAGCATGATCAATTCATTATTGAACCCAATCCAACAACAACAACAATCAACAACATGTACTTCCACATCATCCTCCACCTCCACCTCACCTTCCACCTCACCAACATTAACATCCAACAACAACTACAACAACGCCATCTTCAACGGTAAAAGGTTCGAGATGGAGTCAAGCCGAATGCCACCAATGCCAAACAAGTTCCCAAAGTGTGACGACCAACTCAGACGATCAACTCCACTATCCTTCTCAATGGATAGTCACCACCAGCAGCTGAGACACAACAACAGCAACAACACTGGCAATCAACAGCAGCCTGACTCCATTTTCGGCACATTGGCCAACCTTTATGAGATCATTGAGAATGACGAGAGGATGTCAATGTCGAACAGGGGACAGGCAAACAAGGTGCATTGAAATGGTTGGTTGACTATTTGCACTGCATTGATTGCTTGCTTGCTCAAACTCGAGCTAATACCCGACCGACACTCAAGCATCACTGTATTGTATAAAGTATATATTTATATAAAGTATATCCGACCATGTCATATGTATTATCTATCTTTGTTGTTGTTGACTTCAACAACATCCATTCATTCATTGTTTGTTTTCAAAGTGAGCGAGTGAGTGAGTTGACTTGGTCATTCTCTCGCGAATGAATTCCGTGAAGGGGGGTTCACGACGAAACTTGAAGAATGAATGAATGAATGAATGACTTGGCTTGGGCAAAGAGATAAAGACAAAAGGAATGGAGATGTATGTTCAGATTAAATGGTAAGAAATCAGCCATGGTTACAGTCTGAAGCAGAACTGAAATTTTTCATCATAATACATCTATGGTCCAACCCACAAGGATCATTCGGCCTAAACAGAGAATTATTTCATTCGTTCGTTTCTTTGTCTTCATAACCTTTATGGGAGAATTCAATCAAATTCTTTAAAACTTTTTATTAATAATTCTTATCCTTCCATTCTGACAAATAATAATATTAACTTACTAATCTATCATTATAAACTAAACTTGTTTAATCGATTGATCTATCAGACACACATTCACTCAAACTATCACTTTGAGAATGACCACGAAGTTGGCGATGATTGTTTGGAAGAGTCCAAGCAAAACTCTTCAATTTTTGTCATTTGTTATTATCCCCCCTCATCTCATTTCAAATCACTCAACAAACACAACATGGGTGGGTCTCAAGTCAAACAACCTTATTCACTCCTCAAGCTTAGGCATCGACAGATATTAATATATTTATATATATATATTTATAACCTATACATATACATATAATTGATTGTTAACGAGTACAAATACTTTATTAGTATCAAACTTGTTGACGTATCATAAATATATAGATTAATCGAAAATTGCGAACGATTACTTAAGAATGGATGAGCCACTGTTCGGAGAACAGAAGAAGCAGGCCCAGATCGGGCAATATATCGTCGGTCTGACAGTCACTATATTCACTCTCGTATGTCCATACATCCATCCAACCATCACACATACTCGATCAATCATACTGACTCGGTCACTCATTCACTCGCTCATTCAATCAATCATATATTAGTTCTCACTGGCAGTTGGTATATTCTTTGGTATTAAGCACCCGAGAGACTTTACATTGGTTGGAACTCTTGCATTGGTGTTCATGAGCACTGCTTTGCTGGTGCGTTGGTGGAAGGACAGAGATGATGCCATTCATCCAAAGTTTAAGTGGCTTGTATTCTTGCTCATCCTCTCTACTCTTGCATGTGGTGTCACTGTCAACGTCTTTGTCTGGGAGAAGATCATCCCACAACCAGTCTGGTATGTTATGATTGGGATCATTGAGGTCTCGGCCTCGGCCTCGGCCTCAAGGCCACACACACACACTAACTAACTCACTCACTATCTCACTCAATCGATTAATCAATAATAGCAATGGACTCTATATGACTGGCGACAAGAAATGTTTCAAATGGCCAGACACTGGAGCATGTCAGACAACTGATTGCCTTCAGGTTGACTATGTTGGATTTAACATTATGTGTACCAACTGTACTGTACCATGTACAAATGGCACGATGGAGGAGATGGACTCTTTTGAGCCAGAGAAGGATATCTATGAGTTCAAGCTGCCCGTCATCGACAACAACTAGTGTATCAAACAGACTCCACACACAACCAAACAGACAACAACATCACAACAGGCAACAGGGAAGAAGCATGATTGAATCATGTGAGTGCGTTGTGAATGAAGAAGAAGAACAACAACAAACAAACAATAGACACAGTCTAGACCATCGATAGATAGAATCGAGTCGAGTCGACCTGGATATAACATGCAGTAAACGTCGACTAACAACCAAGCACGATGAGCCTGGCAAAGAGGTCGCTATGTAAAGTACGCCGCACACTGATATCGGAGAGAGTGAGGAATCTTACTCCTCGTCCTTATTATTCATTTCCTGTATGAGTTGGATGGCGGCCATGTCACCTTGCTTGGCGGCCATCTGTAGCCACTTGGTCGCTTCAGCCACGTCGACCTCGATGCCTTGGCCTTGCAGGTAGAACTTGCCCAACAGGAACTGCGCGTTAACATTGCCCTGTAGCGCCGACGCCTCGTACAGCTGGATGGCCGTGCGTATGTTGCGCTCGACGATCAGGCCCATGTCGTACATGCCTCCCAGACAGAACTGTGCGTTGGCGTTGCCCATCTCAGAGGCCTTGGACCACAGGGTGAAGGCGTGATTGTAGTCGGGGATGGATCGCGTGTAATAGTATCGGCCAAGGTAGTACATGGCATCGGCGTTGCCAAGGCGCGAGGCAAATGTCCACAGTTGAACGGCAATGGACCTGTCCTGTTCGAATAGGATGCCGCCCAGGGTGACGACGGCCTGCACGTCTCCCTTGAGCTGCGCCAACTGCTTGAGATAATATGATGCCTTGGCCAGGTTGAACTCGCCTCCAATCTGATTGATCACCATGAATACCAGCTGTTCCATCGACGACTTGAGCGCCATGGACGCGGCCACATCAAAGTACGTTCGCGCTCGTTGTGGGTTGGGCAGGTCCATGCCAAAGCCCTTCAAGAACATCTCACCCAGCATACCAAAGGCCACGGGCACGCGGGCATGTGCTGCGCGGTCAAAGTGCTGGTAGGCCAGCTGCATGTTGGGCGTGCCATGTATGATGCCCGTGAAGTAGATGTTGCCCAGGAAGATGTTGGTCATGCCGTGTCGCGCGTCGATCTGCTTGAACATGTGCAGGGCCTTGTCGTGGAAGCCGGCGACATAGTGGCCGCGTGCCTCTTGGAACTGTTTGTCGCATGTTGCGTTTATCGTCATGACGTCTTCTTTTGACATGAGTGATTCAGTGATCTTATCGATGAGCTGTTGTTCACTCTGTGAGTTGATGTGATCCTTGTCCACAATGATCCTCGCCAGCAATGTTTCCAGCTCTTCCTTTGGGTTCATTGGTTTGGACAAGTCAAGTCTTTCGTATATCTTATCTTCTTCTTCTTCATTATTCATTACTTGTCGTTGTTGTTGATGTGTCTGTGATTGTTGTTGTTGTTGATGTGATTTTTGGGATGGTGATTGTTGTTGAGCCAGATGTTTCTCATCTTGTTCACGTTGCTCTAGTTGCTCCTTTGTCATCTTCTTGTTCAGTACATTCTTAAAGAAGTCAGCTTTCTTCTGTTCGAATATGTCTTGTTCATCCTTGTTGTTGTTATTACTAGAGTAGTCGCAACGTTGATATACTATGTTATTGCTGTTATGTTGTGTATCGATCATTACTCCAGCAACAGGAATCATTGTTGTCGTCTGTTTATGAGTCAACAACAATGTATTATATCTTAATAATCTATTACATCTCGTTGATAGCATTGTTTATTATTCTCTGAATTCTATATCTGTATCTGTAACTGCACTTTACGATTGTGTTGAAGATCATAGTTTTGGACTAAGTCTAATCAATGATCCCATAATTAAGAATTTGGATAAGTGATCAGAATAGACATTTGATCAATGTAATCAATCATCTTTATTATTATTACTACCTCCAGCAACAATGTATTACTTGGTTATACAAGTAGTCATATCGTAAACTGTCCCCGAAAGTAGGCCTCATAAGGATCACACGAGGCCCACCAAACGGTGTTGTGGGCCGAAACGTCATCTTGATCATTTGGGGGAAAGCTGCCTCTACACAATCAATCATGACTTATGATCCAGACATGTATGTTATATTATCAATCAATCAATCAATCACTTTCATCAATAATCAATCATACAGATAGATAGATTTACAATGAAGAGACCATCAGCTCAATCAATCAGATGGTCAATCTGTCTAGTATTTCTATGTTTGATTGTTATAACTATTGTATTATCAATCACTATATTCGTTACTCCATTAAACATTGATAACATATAATATAAGGGACATTCATCATCATCAACACTGGATGATGAAGATGACAGGATAACATCAAAGATATTAAGTGCCAATAATGATAGTTATATCGATGCGCCAGTCATCCAACATGGTGACACAATTGAATTGGAAGCACAATATCGTGCGCCACTACTTGGTTTCCGTCCATTGGTCATATGGAGTCCGAATGTGACAGATGCCCAACCATCATATGGACCAACCTACACCATGTCCATCAACAATGGCTACCACAGTGGAAGTGTTTCAGTCAAAGTCGTCTACCGTCTGTTCAACGCAGTGATCAGGTCATCGGAATGGTACCACTGGCAACTAAGTAATGCTACCTACCAAGACTCTTCGGCCACGCCATCATCGACCAACTATGTGTTCTACCAAGATCATGTTGTTCGCGTGCCCCAGAGGTGCATGGCACAGTTGGGCTCAGGCAACATCACCCGCCAAGCAGTGATTGACATATCCTCAACCAATTGCACACAGTTGTCCAAGATGAATATCACTGTTGGCACCATAATCATGTCATCAGGAACATTGTACAACATCCAGAACCCTGTGATCACGGCCACAAACAACATCACTCATATTATTATCATCCTCAACTCGACATATGCTTTGCCCATGGATGTGTTACAAGATGCATCATTCACTTCAGTTCCATTCGCACTGAGTATGCTTGACAACTCATCACAGACCCAATCAAACAAGATGGCCATGAGAATGGACTCCAAGGCAGCACTCCAGGATCCAACAACAGTATACTCGTTCAACACTGGCAACCAAGCCATGACCTTTATATCGGGCTTGGACATCACATTCATTATCAGTGGCAGTGTTACCTTGAACCCGACGGTCACCATCAAGGTTGCCGCTGGTGCCCTCTCGACTTACAAAGTAGAATGGGCTCCAACAATACATCTCGATGTCAAGGGTACCATCCGGTTCGCCAAAGCCGTGCCCCTGCACCATACTTTCACATTGTGGTCAGCGTCGGGCTTGGGCGGCATTGGACTGTTTGGAATGCCAATGGTACTCCGCCCCACATTCTCATTCCCTTTGACTATCTCAGCAAAGAGCGCCGCGGTGTGGAGTGGCGATCTCATTGGCCAAGTCGAGATGACGGGCAGCTTCAGTGCCGACTACAACCCGTCCATCAATTACTGGAGTAATCCAACCATTGACTACACACCCTCGGTGAACAAGCGAGTGCAGTTCATACCGTCGACTGTTACATCATGTATGACCGACGTCTCCATTGACCTTGGCATCGAGCTCGGTCTAAAGATGTGGGAGGTTCTCTCAGTAAGCATTACCCGATCGGTTGCCTTTGCCTACCTCTACCAGACTGGCGGGCCAACCGAGTCACCCAGCAACGGACTCGCCTCGCCCGACTCCAACATTGGCAGCAACGCACTATGTAACAAAGATGGTTGCTACTGTCCCTGCCTAAACATTGGCGACCCTATCGGAGCGTTTGAAGGCGCCAACATCAACACGGGCTGGACATTCTCGGTGAACCTCGCGTTCTGGAAGGTGTTCAGTGTGGACATCTACACCAATCGCTTCAGCCAGGATCACTACTACCCGGTGGGACCGCAGGTGTGCTCGGCGAGGAAGCCAGAATGTGCTTCAATCGTGCCAAGGCGATGTACATCAAAGAATTGTCCAAGTTGCTATCGATGTACTTCCGACTTGTGCTACTATTGTAAAGATCCATCTGCTATGGATTGTGGCGGACCTCCTACTACACAGGTGGACCTCTACTGCGTACAACAGATTGATAACAGTGACATTGTACCTGCTGTGCCTGTACCCAAGCCTCCCGGATACACATGCAATGTTAGATGTTGTGGAAAGACCAATGTATGTCGTGAAGGAAGTTGTTGGCCATATTCATCAAGACATCAACTTCTTCAACAACAACAACTTGGTGATGGTGAAGATGCATTCAGTCCCTATGAAGAGTCACAATTCCTCTTCAGTGCAGCCTAAGTAATACATTCATTCATTCTTTGTTGTCATATATAGAGAGATAAATAATTGATTGAACATGAGCGAGTAGCAAGTATCCAAAAGTATTTGAAGACACACATTATTACCTCGCAGTCAATAATCCATTTGAATGTGTGAATGATTTAAAATAATCTTTGGTGAAAGAGCCATTCATGTGAATCAAACAGTGTTTGGGTATGAATTGGTGTGTGAAACAAATGATATTTTGTTTGAATAATTGTGCGAGGGAGGAGAGGACCTCCAGATGTTACCAAGTGTGATGGGTGTAGACACTTCATACCCTCAACACTGGTTGGCAGGATAGATATATATACACACAACACACAACACACACCACACTTATAAGTGTTGCCATTACTTCCTCGCAACAACAACTTAATCTAATCTCAACTCAACTCACTGTCCATTCATTCAATCATTCAATCAATCAATCAATCAATCAAATATATAAATCATAACTTATAATAAGTAATAAGAATGGAAGTTTTAAAAGAGGTATCACCAGCAGTGTTCAAGGTAGCAGTCAACATTTGGGCAAAGAGTGCAGATAGTGAGGATGGAGCACAACAGCACAATTCGGAGAATCCAACACATCCGTATATTATTACAACAGTGGAGCAGTACTCGCCACCTCGTATGATGATTGAGAAATTCGAGCTGCGAAGAAATGAGTTGGAGCGCAGTTTGCCACACGGCAAGAAGCTGGAGACCGTCAACTGCTTCTTCAACCCCACGAGCGAGGGCCAGCTGAGGAAAGTGCTGGTCAATGGCTGGGCGGCATTCGACGCCACCGAGACCATCTTCTTCTCCAGCGCTGCCAAGGCCATCCAGGAGCAGGGCGGCGCCGTGCCATACCCCCGCATCGTCGTGGTGCGTGTGTGTCTGGGCCGCGAGGGCATCGACTTCACCGTGGCCAACGGCCGATACAGAGTGCGCGATCTCAATGGCGTCATGACCTCCTTCCTGCTGGCATTCAAGAACAGCTCGCTGTCGGGCAGCGGTGGTATGACACCCCCTGCCTCACCATTCAAGGTGCACGACGGCGTCACCTCGCCAGCCGCTTCGGCCACCTCGCCCAGCTACTCCTCGCCCTCTGCGCCCAAGCCAAAGTGGGTCGGTCAGGTGTCTGGCGACGGTATGACCTGTCCATCCTGCAACAAAGAGAACGCAGGTAACACTCGTTATTGTGTAAGATGTGGAGGCCATCTCTAAAAAAAAGATTGAGGGATGAACGAACAACAACAAGAAGAAGAAGAAGAACAAGAATAGAGAATAAGAATAAGAAAGAGGAGCAGCGTTGCGCCACACCACGGCGAAGGTTGAGGCGTTGGCCTTGTCCTTTGTAGTACCACAATCAATCATCAACCGCAGTTGTATTAAACAGACAATATATATATATTGGATGAACATCATTCATTCATAAATTCATTCATTCATTGGACTCGATGGAGTTGTCGCGTCAGACCCACTCGAGTCGAAGCAACTCGGTTCGGAATCGAAGGAAGTGTCGAGCAAACTGATCGATTGGCGCGATGAAGCCTTCCATGGTACGTTCAACAACGACAAGCGCACTCCGACGATCTAGACGTCGAATGAAGAAGCGATCTTCGCGCGCCAAGTTGAGGACGACAGTGTTGATGTGTATCAATGGCTTGAACGTGTATGACAGTATCCTTGTAGGGTCCAAGCGCATCGTTAGTACTGTAACTTGTAGTGTCTCCAGATGTGATGGTATTGATGGTATCCATTTGAAGTTGGTGTCCTCCATGAATGACCCTTTGATCGTTCGCACGCTCTCTGGAAGATGTTGCAGGCGATGAGAGTAGTCGCGCGGCAGTTTGAGATGCAATAGGTTCGGTGGCAGGAAGATGATGGGTATTTGTTGGTTGGGAAGACTAAGCGATGTGATGCCGGCGGGCAGCGGTGCCGACTTGTTCAGTATCACACTGCATCGAGACAGATCCAACTTCCGCAGGCTGTTGGGGAGTATGCCTTGCACGAGTGGTATGTTATAGTCGGTGCCAAACTTGAGTACCTCGACCAGAGGCGGTATCGAGCCTGGCATGAGCACCTTTCTGAACTGCTCGCCAAGTATCAGTTTACGAATAGTCAGTGGCAGTGCGCCTGGCTTCAAAGGTTGATTGAACGCCATTCCAAACTCCAAGTCAGTGACCGCTGCGGGTATAGCATTAGCCGCAACACTTGTATCGATAGTCCAGATCATCTTTGAAGGTACATTTCTTTGATCCTTTAGCTGTTGCTATTGTTGTTGTCGTCAAGTTAGATTGAATAAGCGAGAGAATGAATGGACTTGAGACTTAACATACAAGAGTGAGGACTGGAGGGGGATCAACTTGGACGAGTTGTTGAGTAAAGGATGTGAGGGATACTGCTCGATATCGTTCATTTGACATTCGACATTCACATCGTAGTCTAAGGTAGTATGGTCTTTGATTGAACAGACGTTTACATGACATCGACAGACATATCTTATCAATGTTGGACTCTACATTTGACAATATATATTGTAATAATAGATTGGGTATAGTTGATATATCATTCATTGTAATTCATGTGTGTATGATCACAATTGATTGATTGATTGAATGATTTAAGAAGGGTATAGTATTCTAAACAATCACTTGTCTTGATCATTCATCGTCCAAACAAATAAATGGTGTTGGGTTGTGTAATCATGGAATTGTGGTGGAAATGAACTTGATCAATTGTATTCTTTTGGGTTTGGTGTCCAGAGGGATGGATTGGAAGTAGTATGGGTAGTTCTGATTGAGGGAGAGCAGTCCCACATTTATTCTCTCTGACGAATGGCTCTCCACCTCCATTTACCTCACTCACCAATCAATACTTGTGGTTGGTGAACAATGATACAGTGATTGATTTCTTTTAAAGCTAATTGTTACCATTTTAATTATGATTACCGTATTTATTACAATCAATAAGGATGGTTGTGAGCTCAAAGCTAGTGATGAGATTCCTAAAGATGGTAATCAATACCATACCGAGCATTTTTAATCAATTTTCTCAATTGTATTAGCACAGCAAACCACTTTCACTAGCCCATTAAATGTCCAGGATTGGAAATGATAACCTTTTAAAGAATAATGAGTGAATTCTATTACATATATAGTAGTGAATACCTTATTCATTCTTCATTCAACCTATTTATCACTTATTAGAGTTACAAAGAACATGGAGCAGAGTCAGTATAAATTGGAAGAAGGTGACAATAGTCATCAAGTCATACCATCAACATCATCAAATAATACAAATATTAATAATACTATTCAGAATAACTATATTCCTGCTGATATTTTAATTATGTCTTTATACTCCCAAACACCTAGATTTATAATCAATCATGAACGCACTGGTGATGTTTATATCCACCGCACTCACTACCTTATCGAGGTGGTAATTGACGTGGCCGGTCACTCAACTCCTGACAGGATCCATGGTGTATGCCTCAGAACTCAACAAGCGCTCTCCAACACCTCCGAGTTCGCTTCCAACTACTAGGAGTTCAAAGCCGATGATCACTTTGTCCGAGCTGGCCGTATTGGCAACCCCTACAACAGGAGTCCGAATGTCTGCCACTTTTGGTTCCCAGGACAGGTTCTTCCTTCGAACTTTTGATGCCATCAACTCTGTTTGACGCACACTGGTATGCTTGGCACGCAGCAACAGGCTCAGAAGATGCATTCAACTTCTCTTAGTACATATCAATCAACCAATAATTCAATCAATCAGAGAAGTGTAATCAACAATATTTATTTAAAAATTAATTTAAATAAATATATTAATTACTCAAAAACCGATAATACAAGGGTGGATTCTTTGATTGATTAATTGATTGATTGTTAGTTTGATTGGTGTGATAAACTATTGTTGTTGGAGTGTTGATTGTGACTTAAATCTGTTGACTCTTTGTATAGTTTGTTGAGAATGGTAACCACAATACCGGCCAACATAGGTGTCATTAGAATCAATATCTTGGCCCGATATGATCTGTTCCTCCAAAAAAGACTGGCTATAATATCTCTCTGAATATTAGAGGTATTGTTAGTTGTGGAAATGATATCTTTTGATATTGTGGTTAGAATTATAATTACTTACCTTTCTTATATAAAGGTCGTAGAAAACAATCCTTGTCTGCCGTAGCGATCTGAGTAGAGTCAAGCTCCTCCCCCTCTGGATCCACAAGTTTTGAATTGACGGAGTTGACATGTGGATACCCAAACAAGGTAAGGATTGCTTTCTTGGGAGATATGTCTGAGGATGAAGGACGGAATGACTTGGTCGATCCCATGAATCGTATTTGAATTGCCTTGATATAATGAAGGGAGTAATCTATACCAATCTGTAACTGCTGGTTGTTGCCGAGGATAGTACCAGTCCTCTTCTCACATATTGAGAATGCGCTTGTACTTCTTTGGAGAGATGTAAGTGCGTCTGATACTGAAATACCTGGGCATACTGTGAGATACTCAACATCATCAGTGAAGATCTCTGGGAGATAGGAATGAATCCAAGATTAAAGTTAGTCTTAAGCGTCATAGATACTCTCAATTTAATGAATACATACTAACTATGGTATCATGATCTGGAACAGGGACTGGGACTGGGACTGGGACTGGGACTAAATATAAATGATTGTACCCATTATCTGGTATTAGATCATCTCTTTTGAGATCAATTGGTTCAGAGTACTCATTAGTCCGAGCACAAAGGTTATATGATTCTGGTTTAAGGTGGAGAAGATTATCGATGGGAACCATGATGTCTTTGACTGAAACAACATTAACAAAGTCAAAGGTGATTGATGGACTCATCTCACCAGAGAGGTGGAGGATTGAATTAAAAGTAGGCATATTAAGTTGAATGAATAAGATCTCAAACAAATGTAGTCACTATGATAAGTAATTATGTATTATTTGTATACAAATAAGATAATTGAAGTTGAGTGAGTAAATGAATGATTCACTAAAGGGGATGTACTTAGAAATTATAGATAATCAAATAATTAAAAATTAATTAATTTACATCACATTTATAAATCAATAGATTGGAGTTTATTAATATTTATGGACCCAAAAGGCCGACCGTGTCATAGGTCCTACATTGAGTGATCATTGTCTCTTCTTCACCTTGTCGTCGAACTTGTACATCAATAATAATGGCGCCTTTTGGAATACATCTGGACAATCATCACGACTCACTCGTTGGATTGAATGTGATGAGCACAACAACACTTGGTTGTCATTGGAATTGACCACCAATGTATATCCTTGAACGCTATCCTCCTTGAATATGAACGATTGTAACTGGAAAGAGATTGAGTGAGTGAGTGAATGATTGATTGATTGATAGAGTAGCCAATCACATAGCATAACTTAACTTACTTGATATGATATGATAAAGTCTGATTGGTAGTAGTCCGAGAGAGTGAGGACGGTCATGGTGCTCTGGTCAATGATGTTCATTCGGTCGAGTTCAACAAAGACATATTGTGGATGCCTCTCAAGTGTTTGGACTGGTGGTAGGTGGCAGTTCGGACATTGGTTGCTGGCATCATCCTTGATTGAATCGCGTATCGTGTTGTTGATATCGTCGTGTTGATTGTTACTGTGACATCTGAACATGATATTGGACTGTGTCAACCAAGAGTTCTCACACTTGTCACACTCCTTCATGATGGTTGCTTCAAACAAGTCGTCCTTCTTTGTCACCTGGTCCAGTATGGACATAAGAAGACAGCCTGGATACTCGGGTGCAGCGTTGTTGGGTTGCTCGGCTCCCTTGGCAAGCTCAGTGAACAGCATATCAACGTTGATGGGTTGGTCAGGGTCGATGCAGTCCTTCTTAAAGTGATCGATCAGACTGGCGATGAACGATTTGTTCGAATGGTATTGAGGTGGACTTGGAAGGAAGCGAAGCCAGTTGAAGAGACATGTGGCCAACTCGTTACCTTGTGGAGGTTTGATGGGATGTATGAGTCCATGAGACTTGGGGGCTCTGTCAATTGCGTCTGCATCATTGTGATCTGGTGCCCGAGCGGACATTTCGGCGTCCTCTGCTGCTGAAGATGTTGGCCGAGCAGTGTCCATTGGGTCGTCAATCTCAAGTTCCGAGCCATGTAGCTCCTTGAACTCGGCGGACGGTGCATCAAGTGAGCTGATGTACACGGTGGACAGCACGTCATGAAGCGTCCTCATGAGGATGGGGTAGTAGTTGAGTGTGAGACCGACCTCAACTATATCCCTGTGCGTGTTAAATGTCTTGGACGGCGGCATCTTGAACTCTTCATGAGTGGATGGGACGTACTTGTCGAGAAGGTTGCGTAGAGGTTCGTTGGGCTGCACCTTCTTGATGTCCTCCTTGCAGTCTGGTGAGTTCAGTCGATGGATCACTGTGTGTAGGTATTGCTTCCATGCGTCTGGCGATGTATTGAGGTCAGCAAGCAGTTTGTCTTTCAAAAGATTGAAGCTGCCCAATTCGGGGTTGACGGGCTGTCTGATTGTGTCGGCGTAGAGGTAGCTGTACATAAGATACTCCTTGATCACAAGACTGGTCACTGTGTGGATCGAGTTGAGACTAACACTCTCTAGTACCGAGAGGAAGTCGCCTGGAAGGTTGTCATGACCGATCCTCTTTGATTGAGTGAATTCGTGCACTGTGATATTGTTGTCCAGTTGCTCTTCATAGTGATTGTGTCTGAGCAAGTGAGTGATGGCCATATTGAAGTACTGGCACAGAGACTCCATCTCCTTGTGTGAGCTCTTGGAGTGGCAGTGTGATGTCAGCAGTGTATGGCATGTCTTGGAGATGGGCTTCCTCCATGGCGCCAGCAGCTTCATGTTCAGCGAGATGAGACTCTTGATCGACTCGGACATCAATGTGTTGGGGTTCATTCCAGATTGTGGATCATTGTCCTCGGCGACCACGGCATGGGCGATTGGGAACATGTTGAATCGTTCCAGGTTGGCACGATACACCTTGCCCGAGAGGAATGAACAAATGAGCTTGGACTCAATCATCTTCATGTTGGGCTTGAACTCACTCCTCGTGAATGAGTGATACTTGGCGATGGCGCCAGAGAGGAAGTCGTAGAACCTTTGTGTGTCGATGTTGGCGCCGATCAAGAGGTAGTTGTCACCATACTCTGAAGGCACTTCGTCGATCTTTGTGCCCCGCATACTCTTCTCTCCACCATATCCATTGATGATCGAGCCGAATATAGTTTCCTCTGATGCATTGTTGAGATCATCCAAGATCTTTTGCTGTGTGTTCTGCATCCAAGTGTTGATCAGATCAATGATTGAACCGATGTTCTGCTCGTCCACTGTGCTGTAGATGATCTGTGTGAGTGGAGTGCTGTCATCGATCTTGCCCACGTGTGTACTGTGGCAGCCGACCACGATAGCCGTCAGTCTTTTGGTGACCTTATCCCACGAGTCCTTGAGCGCATCCCACGCGCGATGTATTGTGGACGTGGCATCGATCGATTCGAGCGGTGTGATGAACTCCAAACACTCGGGCACGGTGCGGTTGAGGTAGTCCTTGGGCAGGCGATAGCTAAAGTAGTGGAAGAATGTCTTGAGGAAGTGGACCATCACTGGGATGTGGCGGGACAACACAATGTCCTCGATCTTTTGATTGAATAGCTTGAGGACCGGTATGTCCTGTCGGTCAGAGACGATAGAGGTGGCCGTTTCCGGGTCGATGGCTGGCGAGTTGTTGATGCCTGTGTACGTGTTGCGTAACTCTCTGATCCAATGCATCTTGGTCTGGCGCTGCTGACTCATCGCAGTCCTCTTGTCCTGGAGCGTGCGATATGAGTACTCTACCGACTTGATCAAAGAGGTCAGGTGTCGCTCGTATGCAGGGATGTTGTTGGTATGTTGCTGGAATGAGATTGGGCTAAAGTATGAGTCGGACCACATGACATAGGCAAACTCGGCAAAGAACAAACTGTAGTCCATGTGTTGATCGCGCATCATTGGGTTGCCCTCGACCTCGGTGATGCATGTGTATGACCTGTCGGCGACATAGTTGACGAGTGTCTCGCGTGTGTTATTGGTGTGATCTCTGATCACAAAGGCCGTGTTTGAGATCGCCTGGTAGACATTGTCCGCACAGCATGTGAGTGCGTAGGCCATGACTCCCCATGATGGACAGTTGACCAGGAACTTGTACATTGTGATGCCGCCCATCGTGCCAGTCACGACGGGTCCATGCTGCATGCGATACATCATTCCACAATCCTTGAATGCATGTCCCTCGTGCGCGGGGAAGGGCTTGACAACCACTGTGTTGGGAGCCCGCGCTACATTGTACAGGTACGAATTGGGCGAGCAACCGATGGCCACAGCTATAAAGTTGACCAAGATCTGAGCACGGATCTCGAGTTGAAGGTCCCTGTTGGCGGTGCGTCTGAGCATGTTGTCGAGGGTGCAGGAGATGAACCTCTCTTGGGTGAACTTGGTGTAGAAGTGCTTGTAGTTGGCGAGTCCAAAGTGATGGGAAAATGTGTTGTTGTCGAACAACGTGTCTACAAAGTTGAGTGGGGTGGCCGCGAGATACATCTGGTAGGTCAGCAGGAACAGTGCCATCCTGATGAAGCCACGGTCACGATCAGATGGAGTTGCGCGTATGAGTTCGTTGACCACGTCAATTGAAGAGGAGTCGACTGCAGTCTTCAACATGATGTACAGCTTGTGATCGGGATGCGCGGTGTCGTCAATGAATGGCATTAGAGTCATCTGCTTCACAAGTATGTTCTCGGCTACATGCAATTCGTCCATGCCAAGCAGTTTGAGCAAGGGTGCCGACTTGACCAGATCAATCACAACAGCCTCAGATGTGATGTTGTTGAGCAAATAGACTTGATTGATCACTATGTTGTTGGCCAATGTCATTGATGACGGCTTGGTCGTGTCCAACAGTGATCGATAGGCCTTTTGCTCCTGGGCATGTGTGGTTAGATGATTGATCAGTGCAGCGGGAGTCTTTACTGTGTTGATCAGTGTGGCCAGATGATCGAGCAACATTGTGTCCAAGACATATCGCTCCATTGTCGAGTAGACATCGTTGACTACGTTGTCGCTTCGTGTGGCCATCAGTTGGTTGATGTCTAACGGTCCAGTGGCGCGATTGCACTGCATGATGGAGTGATACAACACGTTGGCCAATGGCGGGTTGGCAGCACATGGGTTAGTGCCAGCGCCAAAAGACTTGCGCATGACCTCACTGTGCATCATTGGCAGAACTGCAGGGTTGTCGATGCGTTTGTGATCGACCTGTCCGTTGCCCAAGATTGAGAGTATGCCCCTCTTGACCATACGCGTTGTATCCTGTCGCAATAGGAGTGTGTGGAGCAGGTTGGAGCACCATCCATAAGGTATCTGATCGACCAGCTCTGGCATCTCTGATCGCAGTGTCCTGTCCTTGTTGCAGATGCGCAAGAACACATTGATGTTGTGCTCATTGTAGAGTGACGCCTCGATGATGTCCAGCACGCATTGGATTGGGACTGGTGGCATGTCGGATGTGACGAGGTGGATGTTGAGTTGATGGAGCTGTGTGAGTGTCGCGTGTGTGTTGTTGGATGTCAAGGGTTCTGGGAAGGCCTCACGAAGCAGACGTGCGGTGGACATGATAATGAGCTCATCATTGTGAGAGATGGCATTGTCAATGAGGATCTGGTACACGATGAACACGTAGTTAACTGTGCTGTCGCTGGTCCTGAGCCTGATCTGCTCGATCGTGTTACGATTGAACACTTCGCGGACCACCGCGAGCCAGTCCTTGAGGAACTCAAACTCTGCCATGCGCACATCCGAGGAAAAGGCGTCAGCAAGGCGACTCATTGACAATCGTACGATGACGTCTCGGATGTGTGAGGTCTTAAGCACACGCTCGTTAATCGGGGTGTTGTTGAGTTCGCCTATGAACAGCTCCAAGAAGTCGGTGTCCTTGTCCAAGTGATAGATGGGCTCGACCATATGTTTGAGGAAGTTGATGGTGGGTGAATGGAAGTGTTTGATGATGGACAGGTCCACGATCGAGTTCAGCTCGAGAGGCGTAAGCCTCTGCATCATGTTGAAAACGAACATGGTCCATTGGGGTTCAAACTCCAACTGGTGTACCACAAAGTCTTTGGTGTAGTCATTGCGCAGTTGGTAGTTGTTGTCGATGTGTGTGATAAGGTCGCGTGCACGATGTCGTTGGATATGTTCGTGCATACTGCTGGTGATCGCATCGATCTGAGGCGACTTGGTAGTGTGCAACACATGATTGAGCATGTTCTGAATGATTGTGTTGATCGTCTCGAACAGCGGCAGAGTGATAGCCTTGGGCTGGCCGGCTACACCCCTCACAGCAAGTGGCACGCTGAGCTTGACTGGCTCGAACCGGTTCTCAATCTCCACGGGTCTGTTGAACTCAATGCTTCGAATGATCATGGTGACCAACTGCTCCTGCGCGGTGTCGACCTCCACACGATTGATGTGTTCAAACATCAGATGATTGAATAGGTAGCGGAATGTTTGAGCGATTGTCGGGTACAGATATGATTCCATCGAGTCCTTGATCGTTTGGAGGAATGAAGAGCATGTCTTGCCCGTCAAGATAAGGTTGGAGATGTTGGCGATGATCCTCGGGAACACGTGCTCATCGTCCCAGACTCGCTCAAATGATTGAATTATCTCGTTGTACCATACTGGATGCTTGACAAACAAGTCCTTGGCGCGCAGACTCCTGAATTGAGCGTTGGAATAGAACTCCTTGGTCGTTTCCGAGAGATGTCGGTGATTGTTGAAGTTGCGGATATTGTTCGACGTCATTGAGATGTTGGTGAGCTTCTCAAGGAACATGGTCTTGAAGGCTTCGCGAAGTGAGTAGTCGTCGGCCTTGATTGGACGCAGGCCATATGCCTTGGCGATCCATGTTCGAATGTCAACATCGATCTTCTTGGCAAATGATTCGATTGGGATGTGATTGACACCAACTCCAAACGAGTCGACATAGAGGTAGTCAAAGCCGTTGAGGAAGATCGAGTTGAGCTTGGTCTGGTTGGAGATGGAGAACTCGGGCGAGTAGTGGCAGATGGTCACCACGAGCTTGTCTGGCCTGGAGAACTCATTGAATATGTTGACAACGTAGTTGATCTGATGTTGATTGACAAACTCCATGTTGGCAACGATCAAACAGATCTGCTTGTCATCATTGTTGATGAACCGATTGACGATCTCGCTGCGACACTGCTCGCTGGACTTGATCGAGCTAATCTGAATGATACTCAGTATATTGTTTGTGAGAGGCCGTGTGTATGTTGTGAGGTCCAGGCCTGAGAAGAGAAGTGGCGCAACCTCGTCCACCTTGGCGTCATTCATGAGGTCGAGAGATGGCGAGCTCCTTGTGTAGATGATCCACTTGTTGGACACATTGGTATCGCCAACAATCATACGTCGCTGGATAACATTGTGAAGGAAACGAAGCGCGTTGAAGTGGTCCTGGCGCAACAAGTACTCCTCAACGTATGATTTGGGCATCTTCTTGAGATTGAACATGGTCTCGGGACGTGCCAACTGCAGGAGCTTCCAGTTGAACATCTTGGAGAGCGACAGACGTTCCTTGGTGCTCTCGAACTTCTCATTGATGTCTGCTTTGACCATGACGTGTGCTGGTGCAATCGACATTGTCGTGTTGTTGGTGTATGCCTCGCGAGCCATTGAATACACGAGTGAGGGCACAGTCTCGCTGTCTGAGAATCCCGCCAACAGCAGTCGATTGGCGCTGGCATGGAAGAAGTTGGCAAAATGATTGCCCTCGCGAATGAGCAACTCACAGTCCTTCCTCAAGTGTGGCGCGTCAGTGCGCAGGAAGTACTCCATCATGTTCTCTAGAGAGAGGTAGTACTTCTCGAACCTGTTGAGCCATGGGAGTTGGGTGTTCTCCAGACGCGACAGTGGCATGTGGACGATGATCTTGAACTCCGGGTGGACGGGCGTGAGGATGCTGTGCGAGGCGAAGCTGACCATTGCCACGAACTTGTCTCCGTCGTCGTCAGGCTGGATGGTGAAGTAGCGATTGAACACCTCGTAGAAGCACGCGTCAATCAGCTGTGTGTTGACCAGCACCACAGTGCTGCCTACTGTCATTGCGTTCTTGATCTCGCTCACAACCTTGACTAGAGACTCTGGTCTCGTGTCTGTCTCGAAGCCACCAACACGGATCACTGTATGTTCGACTTGGAGCTCACGAAGGATCATCAGAGATGTCTCGTTCTCTGTCGGGTCGATAAGCATCATGTACCTGAAAGCGGCAACATTCAAGTTCTGCTTGGTGTCGACTGTCTCGGCCAGGGACTCCTTGATGCGTTCAACAGTGTTGTCATGTTCGAGCAGCTTGAGGTCATCAGTGCTGGCCATCTTGAGCTCCTTGAGGAATACTGTGGCCATCTCTCTGAAGCGACCAAGGGGCACACCTCCAAAGTTCCTCTCGAGTGAGTGGAGTACGATCGATGCGTTCAAAGTCTTGTTGTTGGCATTGTACGCGCGAGACATGTGTCGCAAGAAGTATACAAAGTCGCGCTGATGGAAGAGGTTGGCTTTGGAGTCACGAGCAAACTCATTGACACGCTTGTAGGCAGCACAGAGTGCATCGCTGATGAATGTCTGCTGTTTGATCTCTGCCTCGAGGCAGGTCTCGTTGTTGAAAAGGCATCCTTGGACCAGGGCTACCTCGTCCTCTTTGGTGATGGTCGGTGGATGGACGAGCAGGAGCATGCGGTTGGTCTTGGCAGCGTCGAGGATCTTGTTGGAGAGGATGACGATTGCGATGTCAGCTGTCTCCTTCTCAGTCTTCTGGGCAACCTTGTCGAGGTAGTCGTGCATGATCTTCATGGGTGAGTCATCCTCGTTGACCAGACCCGCCTCATCCAGGAACACGACTGATCGCATCTTGCTGTTGCTGTTGTCATACTCGCGTTGGCGATTGAGTGCCTGCTCAAACTTCTGTTTGATCTCGATGTCTGTCGTGTGCTGCGTGCATTGATAACGGAATGTGACCATGTTGCGCATAGCCGCCCAGGGAGAGCGCTGGTCGATCTTAGGCATGTTCATGTTGTCGCTGACAATCGAGAAGGAGAGCGTCTTGGAGCAACCGGGCGGACCGACGATACAGAGCGGGATCATGCAGTTGACCGACACGACCGTGCAGAAGATGTTGAGTTGGAGCGCCTCAGTGAGCGCAATGCCGGGCGGCAGGTGAGTGTGTTCCTTGCTACAGAATGCAGTATAGATCTGTTTGAATGTGTAGAGGAACACGTTGACGCCACCTGGTAGGTTGTCAAAGAGGTAGGGGCAGAATCTAGCGATGAAGTCGTGGCACTTTGTCAGGATGTCCTTGCGCTTGGTAACTGACACACGTAGGTAGTAGCTTAGCGCAATGCTGACGATCATTGCCAGCCAGTGATGGAGGTCTTCGTCCATTTTGGGATAGGCGCACATAAGGATGCGCTCGCCGCAAGGCTCCTCCATGAAGAAGCGATAGATGTCGATGCTGCGCACGAGGTCGCGGATGCTCATATGCACTCTGTCTTCCTTGGCATCACGAATGGCGTTCTGTCCAATAATAATGAATTGTTTGAGCTGGTCCCAATGTTGGCTGATGTTGGGTCGCAACTTGGAGAAGTGTTCCAAGAATGGTTCTTCGTGGCGTGCTTCAAACACACCATAGTTGAGTTGAAGTCGGGCCATTGATGGTGGACAGTTGTGGACGACGAATGCTTTGGACGATGTGGCCGACAGTTGGCCGGTGTAGTCCACGCTGTTGCCTTTGGTCACCATCTGTGGATTCATGGCGCCCACCCAGAAGATGTTGCTTGGGATACAGTCCTCTCCATCCAGGCGTCCATTGGCAAAGATCTCCTCGATGAGTGAGAGCGTGTCGAATGGTGCCGTGTTGAACTCGTCGATGAACACCACCATCTTGAGCTCGGTGTTGATCTTGGCAAGGTCTTTGGCCTGCTCAATCAGCTTCTTCACGCCTAGCTTGAACTCCTTGGATGTGAAACGTTGATGCATGATTACACGATGGAACAATGAGTGGAACTCGACTGACATGATGGCTGTGACGGTCTCGATCATTGTGTCCTTGGAGGTGACCACACGTGCTGCACCGTCCCTTATCCTGGCCAAGATGTCGTTGCCCTTCATGTTGATGAGCTCATAGTCCTTGAGCAACTTCTTGATCTTGCTCTCGATCTCAAGGTAGAGGTTGGCCTTAAACGTGGCCTTGGCAGTCTCGGCAGCTTGTTGCGCAGCTACAGCCCCGATCACTGGATTGTAATCATCCAGTCGCAGAAGCCAATCGAGAATCTCCTGTTTGGACGCGCCAGCATCGATGTTGGGGATGGTTGCTGCACGAATGTTGTGGTTCTTGATGATTGTGTTGATGATGGACTTAATGTCGAACAAGATGTCCGGCAGACGATCGTTCTTAGCATTGATGAGCAAAGAGTAGAAGAGCAGGACATAGGTCTTTCCAACACCTGTGTCGCCTGTGAGTACCAGCGATCGCTGGTTCTTGACCTTGTTATGCAGGAGAAGGAGACGCATGCCAAAGTCGGGCGTGAGAACGAAGCAGTACTGCTGGCTGAGGTTGCCCAGGATGTATGTTCGCGAATGGATACCAAAGGCGTTGCTGATCGCATTTCTGAATTGTGCTGGCGAGGCCTTGGCCTGGTCCTGCGTGATCAATGTGTCGACGTGCTGGACGTGTGGGTTGTTGGAGAAGTCGACAAAGTCCACCATGGCCATCTTGAACCCATCGGCCTCGTCCACAGGTAGCGAGGGGCAGGTGATTAGTGGCGGGCGTTCTTGGATCATTTGATTGGAGGCAAAGATTGGGTCAGATAGCTTGACCGACTCGAGCACGAACTGGTTGTAAAGCTGATCGGGTGTGAGCATGCGGTTGACGGGATGGCCGTTCTGCTGGAGGTATCGATGGAATACAAGATACACGGTGTGGAACTTGAGACGCTCGCAGAGGAGATGCAGGAAGTTGGTGCGCTGGTGATGTGTGATCGATGGCACACGGTATGCTGGCTCCAGGCTGCGTGCAATGCTTGTGACGTCATCGCGAATGTATGAATCGATATTGGCGACTGCCCTGGGCAGGAACTTGGTGAGTGTGTCGTGGCAGTCTTTGGTGAACATCCAGTTGGAGTTCTCGTATCTGATGGGCTTGGCCAGGAGTTGAATGAGGGGGATTGATTGGGAGACGTAATCAGCAATGCTGAGCTTGCACTCTTCCAATGGCGAACCAATCTCGATGAAGCATTGGAGGTTGATGGTCTCAGGTATGTTGATGATCTCGCCAACACGATGTCCAAACACAAAGCCACGCATAATTAGTGGGTAGATGAACTGATTGAATTGGTCCATGTCGGCATAGGGTGAGAGCAGGAAGTGGACGAGCACATTGGTGCCTGCGGGGAACTGCTGATACTTGAAGTTCTCAAACGTGTCGATCAGAGACTTGGGATCAAAGCCGGGTCGGAAGTGGACCGTGGTCGATGCCGCCACTGTGCTTTTGAGCGAGTGGACATAGAATGTCTTGCCCGTGCCACTTGGTCCCTGGAGAAGATTGAGTGACTTGATGGCCGAGCTGGCGATCCATTGCTTCTTTATCTCTGGTCCCCAATGATTGATTTGTATCTTCTCATTGTAGCGATCGATGAATGTAAACAACTCCTGGCCATCATTTCGCTCCAGCGAGATGATGTAGATGCGCGACAATGTCAATGATCGCTGGTTCTGATGATACTTGGACAGCTTGTACAACAGCCTCTCCTTCCTCTTTGGAATGCCGAGCAGGAACAGTACGGCACCCTTGACATGCTTGGAAATGCGGAAGAAGTGCTCCATTTCCGAGTCAAAGGTGTGTGCGTAGAAGACCTGCCCGGGGTCTGGCATCTTGCTGTTGTTGAGCTGTGTCAGCACGTCAAACACTGTGCGCTTGTCTGTTAGTGTGTGTATCATTGGCCCCATGCTGTCCATGTCCTCATTGAGGTCGTACACATCCATAAAGTTGCGTTCTTTGAGAATCGCTACCAACTGTATGAGGAAGTCAATGTAGTTTGCCTGGTCCTTTGGGAACATACGCTGGGGGTACTCCTTAAAGATGGTCAAGAGATCAGCCTGCACGACTGTGGGGAAGCAATACCTGATGTAGGGCGTCAGCCTGAAWTGCCAACACCGTGGGGTCTGCGGTGGGCCCAGAATCAAGATGCTCACCCACCTCTTTGATCATCGATGAGAGCGCCTGTGAGCGAAGGAGCCAGAGCTGGGGTGGCAACATCTTGATTGATTCGCGCCACTCCCTGAGATGTGCCTCCAGCTGCTTCTCCATGTGTTGGAACTTTTGGATGTTTGATTGACGAATGTCCATCTTGATCTCGCCCTTGAAGTATCGCGGGTGGAAGGTGCTGTCGAGCTGGCAGTGCAGATTGTGGATGCGCTTGAGCAATACAACTAGTGTGGCAAAGTTCTCGATGTTGGCCATCTGCTCCTGCTTGGCCTTGGTCAACTGCTTGTTGTTCATGACGAACTTGAGTCCTTGATCAAAGTCCTCGATGTTGTTTTGATTGTGTACCACACTGGTCTTGTCGGCCTTGACCTCAATGAACCAATCCAAAAGGCCCTCTTCAAACTTGGATGTGCGCGACACAAACTCAGACTTGGCCAACAGGTTGACAACTGCTGGGAGGATAGTCTCGAGGCTGTACGTGCCTGTGGCAGTCGAGAACAGCACCTGGACCTGGGCGAACGAGCTGGTGACCACCTTGATCTTGTCGAGGCACACCTGGAACTGCGAGTCGGTCGTGCTGATGCGTTGATACACGGCTTTGCAAAAATCCTCCAGTGAGTAGGACTTGCCACTTGTGTAGGCTGTGATGAGTGGCGCGAGGATCGAGTGCACGTTAATCGTCTTGGTGAGCAAGCTGTCGTTGACCGTGTCCGTGAGCAGGTTCTGCGTGATGATGTCACACTTCTTGATGAAATTGTCGCCCTTGAAGCAGGAGTAGAACTTGAGCAGGTCGACCGGCACATCCTTGAAGTACTCGAGCTGCGTGTAGTCCAGTCCGCCAAGTGCACGCGACACCAACTTGAAGAAGACCTGGCAGTCCTGGACGCCCTTCTCATCGCCATTCATGAAGATATTGATGCGGTTGTTGAGGTAGTCTCGACGCTCCTCCCAATCGTGGATCTTGATGTCCTGATGATTCTGAAGGAATCCAAACAAAATGTCCAAGTTCTTCTTGTATCCATAGATCGATGTGATCCTCGTGATGAAATCGATGATCTTATTCTCATTCTTGGCTGCGTCAACTTGTTTGTTGTTGTTGTTGTTTGGGTCAGCTGCCACTCCATCATTGACATTGAAGTATTTGTAGATTGTGATGATCTCATTTCGTTGGGAGATACCAGAGAAGTTGGCAAACTCTTGGAAAAGGTCGGTGACCTCGATGTCAGGGTTCATGTTGATGATGTCTTGCATCAGGGTCTTGGTTCGCTCGCATAGCATGTCAACATTGATCACTTTGTTGGCGTCTGACGATGACTTGGCATAAAAGTTGATGATGGCCAGGAAGAACTGATTGTGACTCTGTCGTCCAAAGTGTCCGAGGAACATCAATGATTGATCATTGTTGATGACCAGTCCATTCTTGGTACAGCTGTCCACTATCTGTTGCCTGACCTTTGGCAGCACCTCTTTCAAACGCTGGAGGATGAGTCCAGATCTATTCTCTTTGCTCTCATTGATTGGACAATGGATGGAGAATGTTCTGCTGAGTACATTGGCTGCGCTGATGTAGCAATTGAACTGATTGAGCTTCTCCTCAGCCTCCTTGAACATGGCAATATGATCATTCAACTTGACATCAAAGTATCTCAGCAACAGCCTTGCAATCTCATCAAACAATGCCTTTGTCTGTACATCATCGCTCTTTAAGTTCATGCAGTTCATCTTATAAGCATTGATCAACATGTCGTGTATCTGTTCGAGTGAAGGGGTGGGCTCCAGAGTTAGCATGATTGATTGATATTGAATTGTTTGGAGCCAAGCATACGATGTACTCACCTTGATCTTATTCTCCATGTACATGGTGAACTCGTTGGGCCAGTGAATGACATTGTTGTCACATGATGGTTGTTGTAGCACAAGGTACTTCTCGATTCGTTGCAAGAGCTTGGTGTCCACAAAGTCTTTCAAGGACATTGTGATTAGTTTGTTGACGAGCATCAAGTGGGGAAGACTGTACTTGATCACGTCAATCGGCATATAATGCGAGTAAATGTAGAGTGTATCGACCATGTTTTTGCACAGGTCCCAATAAGACTGGAAGTGATCTCCTGTCCATGGTTGCATCTCACTTGCTGTGGCCCTGAGTGCCAACTCTCTCTCGGACATCAAGTTGATATAAATCAACGTGCAGGGAAACCTTTTGTTTCCCTCTTGAAGAACGCGATAGGCTGGGACTGCCAACAACAGAGTCACGTACTCATCGATACTGGCGCTGATCATGATCTTGTTTTGAAGGAATGTGATGCACTTGTTGTTGTCATCCCGACCCATGTTCAACAACTCCTTCTTGGTGTCAAAGGTGAAGTCGTTTGGTTGACATGCGACACCATCGAGTACAGAATAGAATTGGGTATGATGGAGTAACTCGATGTACTTGGTAAGTCCTGTCGTTCTGAAGTCATTGCGAATTCGACTTGATAACTTTGTGCCCAAATTCTTGATATTGTAGGCATCCATCTTACTGGTGGCCTTGATGAATTCATCTGGGTATTGAATCAAGTTATAATATATATCCTGGACCACATCCTCTTGTTGGAACTTCTGGCTCATTTGTAGGATGAATCCAAGCATCAATGGATTGAGTGCGTTGAGGTCTAATGATTGATTGAGTGAGTGAATGAGTGTGATGAGTGAGTAAGATGCCGCCTATCAATCAATCACATTCTTGGACATACCAATGTTCTTAAACAATGGAGCGAACTTGTTCTTCTCGCTTGCATAGTTAGTATGCTCAACAAACTTCTGGAAGACTAGATGGTATTGACCAAGCTCATTCTGATGATGGATGGATGGAAGCATGGATGAAGTGTGTTAGAATATTGCATAATCAATCGATCAATCAATCAAACACTACTTACATGTGGACTGAATAGATTGAATTGCTTGGCAAAGAGACTGAGTAGTTGGACTCGATTGTTTGAGCATATGGTGCTGTAGGTGGTGTACAAGTCCTCAAGATCAAACATATTCATGGTTTGAACATAGTTGATAAAGGCTGAGAACATGACGTCAATGTGTTTCTCCGATCCAAACAGTTCGATGTACAGGAATGACGTGCGGAGCAATAGGTCTGCCACGTTTGGATCGTTCTTTAGCCAATTATTCAAGAGGAATATCTTGAATATCTCTTCGCTCACTAAGGGTGCACGAGCTTGATACCGGAACTTGGTAAAGCTCTCCAAGAGCATACTCTTTGACTCGCCAAGACCATCTGGCAGGACACTAAATGTTTGATTGAGTGAGTGAGTTATTAATTGAATTGGAATTGTTCCAATCAATCCAGTTGGATGAGCATACTTATCAATCTTCATCAAGATCTGGAATGAGACTACATGTGAGTTCTTGTTGTCGTTGGAGAGCTTCTTTAGGGCCTCCTTGTCGCGTAGACTCTCAAAGTCGGTAACAGGTGGAGGCTTGACATTGTTCAGCTGATTAAGGATGACTTCCTTCTCCTTGGTACTGATCGACACGCACTTGTTATAATACTTGATCAAACCAAGTAGTGTCGTTGTATCGAATGTCTCAGTGGGTGCAATGGCATTCTTGATGACCTTCGCCGCAGAGTTGAGTATCCTCGAGAATAAACCACCCTTGCCTTTGTTGTCCTTGTCCTTGTCCTTATCCTTGTTGTCGCCACCCTCCTCTTGTATGTCCTGGTCGGCGTTAAAGAATATGGATGCAGCATCAGCGTCAACACTCTCATCATCGAATACGATCAGATTATGCTCGTTGTTGAACTTGATCAACTTCTTTGGCACCTCTGAGAAGTTAGAGATGCAGATGAATCGCCGGACATCCTTCAGTGCCACAACGAACGGGTCCATGGATTCCACAGGATTCCATTTGTCCTTGCTGACTGATTCCAAAGGAATGGCAGGAACAGGGCAGTCAACAATGATGGTTGTACTCTTGGCGCTCATCCTAAAAGTTGTGGTGTTCCTGAAGCTTAGTACATCCATGCATGAATTGAACGACTGATGATCATCTCATTACATACCTCATCTTTAGATGTTGATTGATTGGCAGTACTAGCTTACGCTTATCCATGTCATTCAACTCTAGTTTTCCTGCTTTAACATTCATATTAAGGTTTACAATCTTTCCCATTGATGCATACTTGGTTGGTACAGCAAATTTGGGACTGTTGTTGTTATCATTGTTGCTATCATTGTTGTTATCATTGTTGTTGTTGTTATCGCCTATTGGTGATTGACTTTGTTCAACAAAGTACAATGATGATAGTTGTAAGTTATAGTCCTTTGCCATTTACACTCTTAAACACTCCTATCTCTATCTCTATCTCTCTCTGTCTATTCACTAACTCTATATCCTTTATTTATATGTATATATATAACAATAACAACTTTATATTGACAATCTACATAATCATCATCATTACATTCATTCATTCCATTGATTGATTGGATGTATGTTGCTAATGAACAAAGACCTACATTAGTTGGGCCTACAACACAACCCGAAATTATGTGTTGGTGGTTGTCTGGGCCAAGCCCAGCCCAACAAGGTCTAACTCGAGGAAAAGTCGCGATGAGTGAGTGTTATCTCAAGAGGTCGGACATGGAGAGCAACCAAACGGAACATTGTGTTGTCTAGAGTATCTGTCAAGTAGTTTGACAAGGTGCTCCTTGTCTTTGATTGTTTGTTGATCATCATCTGAACATTGTAAGTAGTCCAATAGTTCATCCTTTGTGAATTCACAACGTGGATTATGAATGAAATAACCTTCATCTCTTAAATAGTCTATCAAGTCCAACTGATCATTTGAAAGTATTGATCCAATTCCATTGACTTTACGTAGATTATTGGTTGTTGCATATGATATCCTCGTTGATCCCATCATGTCCTTTGCAATATGTCTCAATAACACCTTCATAGCCTCACTCTAATATCAATCTTATTACTGATTCTTTCTAATACACTATATTTATCCTTCAACATCAATAAATCCTTCTCTAATACATTGACCCTTCGATTCAACTCCAGGTACTCTCTTTTCAATTGACTAATAGTAAATTTTGTTGTTGTTGAGTTGGAGAGCTCAAATGAATAAAGGTATTTTGAGTTGTACTGTTCTGTTGACAGGCTACAAGACATGGAGGAGTGTCCATGAGATTTAAGTGATGAAAATTGACGGAAGCATAGGTTACGGTAACATCTTGGTTTGATTGAGAGGAGAGTATTAGTAATCATTATTTGTTTGAAAAAGTATGTGTTCTTATTTATTTGTTTAATTGTTTATTTGTTTGTTTGTTTATTAGTTTGTAATAAAGTGAATGAGTCAATATCTTTGTTAGAATGAAGAGTAAAGGTAATCTCTATCTCTTTGATTATTTGAATGAATAAATGAAATTTCCTTGTGGTTTTACTCTTCCAAATAAGGCGAAAGCTCATGTTTATCTACTCTACTCACACACAACATCAAGTTTCACCTTCACATTGCTTTGACAGCACAAACACATTCATTCATTCAAACCAACTAATCATACAAATACACATACATATATATACATATTCTTATTAATTCATCAAACAAAGAAAGAATAGAATAGTAAAATGGCAGACGCAATCATTACACAAGCTGATCAATTGCACATTGAGCAAAAGTATGCTGAGTTGCTAACTTTGATGGAGGGCGCCTTCAAGACATACCCAGACAATGATGAGATTACATGGCGTCTGGCAAGATGCTACTTTGACAAGGTGGAGGAGGTGTCTGACAAGAACACAAAGCTCGACCTGCTCAACAAGGCATTGGACCTGATCAATCAGGCGTTGGCCCGCAACGAGGCCCACTGGGCTCTGCACAAGTGGTGGTCCATCCTGACCAGCTCGCTGGGCGACCTCATTCTCCACCAAGGAGAAGATCGCCAACGCCGTCAAGATCAAGGAGCACGCCGTGCGCTCGCTCGAGCTCAAGCCAAACGACCCCACCACGCTCCATCTGCTCGGCCGTTGGTGCTACAGCGTTGCCAACATTGGTTGGGCTGAGCGCACCATTGCCTCGGCACTCTTTGGTACCCCACCCACCGCCACCTTCCAGGAGGCCCTCGACTACTTCCTCCAGGCTGACCAGCAGGACCCACTACTCGTCCGCAACGTGCTCTACCTTGGCGACACGTACGCCGCCCTCAAGGACAACGTCAAGGCCAAGGAGTACTACGTCAGAGTGTCAAAGATGCAGCCAAGATCAGAGATTGAGAAGGCCCAAGTTGCCGAGGGTCTGAAGAAGTCAAAGTAATGTAGTATTACTACCTTGAAGTTGTTCACCATCATTAAATGAATGTATTGTTTATCAAGATTGATTGATTTGAATGAATGTATGATGTGGAAAGGAAGGAAGGAAGGTAGGTTGATGGAGGGAGGTGTCTACGATCGTTGACGATCGTGGGAGTCTCTGTCCCTCTCTCTCTCCCTGTGTCCGTCTCTGTCACGGGTGTCGTATGGGTTGTACTCACGTCGTCTGTCCTGGTAGTCGCCGCCGCCTCGTGATGAGGAGTATGAGCCTCTTCCATCGCGGTCTCTTGGGTATCTGTCTCGTCTGTCATCATTGTTGTGTCTGTATCCACCTCCACCTCCATCTCTGTGTTGGCTATATCCTCCATCGCCTCTATTGTATCCACCTCTGCTGTTATATCCACCATCATCTCTGTTGTATCCACCACCACCGCCACCACCTCTGTTGTTGTTATAGTATCCTCCGCTGCCACTGCCACTGCCGCCACTACCACCGCTACCACCACCCCTGTAGCGAAGGTCGCGCTTGTTGTTCTTGTAGTACTCCTCCATGTGTGTACGAATCTTGTCGTAGCCAATGTGTTTCTTGCCTTCGAGATGACTCATGGATCTCTTCTCCTTGTCGCCAGTGAACAACAGAGCGCCACAGATGTCGCACACGGACATCTTCTTGTCGTGCGACTTGGACTCCTCCTCGCGCTCCAACTCTGCCTTGATGATCTTTAGACGCTCGGCCTGAGCCATCAGCTCCTGAGCCTCTGTGATCTGGCCCTCCTCACCCAGCTCCTCAGCCTTCTTCAGCAGCTCCTTGATCTTGTCGTCCTTCTCAATGATCTGTGTCGTCAACTCCTTGCTGTTGTCCTGTAGGCCTTCCTCTGCGGCCAGTTTGGCAGCATCCATGATCAATCTCTCTTTGTTCTTCTTGACCCTTAATCATTCATTCATTCATCTGATGTTTAGTATAGCCCTCCTCATCCTCTTCCTCATCATCAACACTATATATCTTATACTTACTTCTTGTCGTTATCAATGATGATTGAATCAATTAGCATCGCCCATTCTCTCTCATAGTCATACTGTTCTTTATCTTTGCACAAGTTGTACCTGTTTGTTTGAATGATTGATTGAATGATTGTTAGTACCTCGTAACTCGACTATATTGGAGCTTGATTCAATGATCAACTTACTGTTTTAGACAGTCTTCATCATGAAGCTTGGTGCACGGTCCAAAGCCCCTAATGTCGGTATTCGTGAATAACTCGTTCGGACACAGTCCACAAAGGTAATTCTTACATATGTCTTGGTCAGAGAAGTGAGGCTTTCTCTTTGCTTTCTCGCTAGGCTGTACATAATGATGAATAAGTAGGTCGATAGGTCGAGGCAGAAGGAAGAGAGGTATGAGTGAGTAATGCGAGTGAGTAAGGAATGTTACCATTCAACAACTAAGTGTATTTATATGCATGGCGTCTTCTAATAGTTCTTGCTCCAACATCTAAATCATCTACATCTACATCTACATCTTCATGTTCTAGAATGGTTGTTGTTTCTGAGTTTAACTTACCGTCATATTTCTATTCTTGCCTAGGAGTTCGTCAAGCTGTGCTCTTACAGAGTCCATTATTGTATATGATATATATGTATGAATATTATTATAATTGTGTAATAACTAAGTTTGTGATAATAATACGAGTTATAAAATGTTGGAATCATCTACAAACACTCAACCCTAGGCTAAGTTTGAAAACTTCAACAAACACAACTTTCTGTCGTCAAGATTTAGTTTGTTTTGAAGGGATATCCAACAAACATATAATCATTCTGACATCAACTTATACATCCAGTGGCAATCATTCATCAATACCAACTACAACCGTGTTGTTATGAGGTAGAGTCGACTAGGTTCGATTAATTATTATTGACTTATAAGTTGAGGTATCGCAAACGAATTCAAACACTTAAATATCTAAAACCAATGCTATCTATCTATTTCAAGATGTTATTAATATCCATTGCCTGCCCATCATATATAAATATTAATATCTATGTTTGATTCAATTGAATAGTCAACTTCATCTTCATCTTCAAAGTGGCCTGGTCTTGGATATGCGTTGTTTTTTATATTTGATAAAGTTGATTATTCCAATGACTAATACATAAATGAATGTTCTTTGTATGTCTCTCTTCAATTCAATTCAATTCAATTCAAAGGAGTTATAACTCCTATTCATTTACGACCTATCTTATTATCTTGAAAGTAATCGAATGAAAATCATTTGAATCTTGAGGTGATCGGTGGATTTCAGGTGGGAACCACATACCAGATATTTTAGGATATGAAAGATGATGTGTAAGATTGTGTTTATTGTTTGTTTGTGTGTATGGTGAGTGGGTGTTTGAAGAGTACGAGGCGAGTCGTTTTCCGTGTATTCATCTATTAGCCTTCTTGAGTGTTTGTTTGTGTGTGTTCTACAACAAACTTGATAATTAACTTGTGTCCTCCTACTTATAACTTATTACTATTATATATTTATATATATCATTTGTTAACAATTACAAGATACTATCTTTGTTGTAGATGATAGATACTATTTAGAATTCAAACATGTCATTAACTTATGAAAGCCTACCATTGATCATCCCAGTAGGCAGTGTGCACTACGATGATGATTACACTGCTATAAAAGGAAAACATGAAGGTAGGTCTCTCTCACATCATTCAATCATTCAATCATTCAATCAATCAATCAATCAATCACACTAACTCATTCAATCAAACAAATAGAGAAACCACCAAGAGTTATATCATTCATATCATTCTTGGCGATTATGTACTTTTGTGTATCTGGTGGACCTTATGGTATTGAGGGCGCAGTGGCCGCTGGCCCTCCTGTATATGTTTTGTTGACATTCTTGGTGTTGCCATTCTTTTGGGCCTATCCACTGGGTATGATCACCGCTGAGCTGGCCAATCTGACGATGGAGGATGGCGGCGCATCAATGTGGGCCGAACGTGCATTCAACCCTTACATCAGCATGTTTGTTGGATTCGTTGGATGGACTTCAACCATCGTCGACCTCAGCCTCTACCCCCTACTCTTTGTCCAATACCTCTCCAATTGCTTCGAGGGCACGCCCTACGCTGGCAACCCCTGGGCCGGCAACCTCGACAACTGTCTGCATTGCAGATGGATCTTTGCCGTGGTTGTCATCCTCGCGGTGATGGCCATCAACATTTGGGGCGCCGAAGAGGTCGGCGTCGTCAGCAACATACTCGCCGTCATACTCTTGCTGCCCTTTATCATCTTGGTGTGCATGGGCATTGGCCACGTCGAGTGGAAGACAGTCATGGATGGCGAGGGTGGACTAAAGAGCTTCAAATCCTTGGACATTGGCCTACTAATCACAACAATGATGTGGTCGTTCTCAGGCTACGACGCATCTGGACAACTGGCTGGCGAAGTCAAGAACCCATCGCGCAACTACCCACTTGGTATCATCTGTGTTTTACTCATCTCGATAGTCAGCTACGTACTACCATTGGTCGTGGGCATGTCCTACAACCAGAACTGGAGTCAATGGGTCGCCGGCGAGTTCTCTGATGTGGCACTACTCGTTGGTGGACACTGGCTAAACGTATTCCTTAGTGTTGGTGGCATGGCCTCTAGCATTGGACTGCTCAACGCCAACCTCTGTACATGCTCTCGAAACATCTTCAGTCTTTCCCAACGTGGGCACCTTCCCTCCTTCTTCTCCAAGATCGCACCCAAGCGCGGAACACCCTGGGTAGCAATTGTTCTAAACTCTGTATGTTTGATTGATCAATGTTGGAATCATTCCAATCACACTCACTAACTCATTCAATGACCTATACTACAGACTGTAGTTGGACTGTTAACTATACTTCCATTCAACTCGATATTGTCACTGGACATGTCATTATACTCAATCGTTGTACTGTTTGAGTGTGCAAGTTATGTCAAGTTGTTCATTTGGAAGCCCGAGCTTCCAAGACCTTACAAAGCTGTGACAACAAAGTTTGGCCTGTTCCTACTGACTGGATTCCCAGTGACGATGGCATTGCTGCTGTTGGTCACACAGCCATGGGACTCACAATGGAAGACGATGGTAGTGGTCGGAGTGTACGCTGCAATATCAGTGGCCCGTTATATAATTGTTAGAGTTAGAGCATCTAAACATCATAGAGATCATCTGTACATGCCATCAGACGACGACGATGACAACAATGATCACCACCACCACCATGCTCACCATCACCATCAACATCATGGCAACATGTATCCACCACTTACCAACTATGAGCATATACCAACATCAACAACTGTCAGTGTAGACTACGATAATGATCATGCGTCTCAAACACCTGGCAACAACAACAACATCACATATTTAATCAACTGAACACTAAAGTAGCGCACTCTTGTATAATGTATAATGTATATCAAACAATCAATCAATCATGCAATCAATCAATTATAACAACATTGCACCTACACTTTATAGGTTGGTTAGTGGGTAGTTGATGTGCATACTCATAAGTGCACAATGACAGTACATTGACGTATATGTATCTATCACCTAATTAGTGAGTGGTTCCAATCAAACAGTACGTTCATTGGAGTATGTGTGGCTCATGCGCTCGACACTGACAATGGATGCCAGGTGGTATTATGTTATGTTTATGTTTAAACATAAAGAGTGAAGTGTATCACATGTCGGGGTTGGCAGTTCCCAATGCCAAGATATCTACGTCGTGCTTATTTGTGTGTCGTTGAGTGATTGTGTGTGAATGTGGTCATGTCGGTGCTTGTTATTGCGCGGCCCGGGTGTGTGATCAAAGTGATTACATGATCAACTTCTTTGTGTGTGTTGTTGAACCATGCAACACCTTCTATTGAATCGAGATCCTCACATCGAATCGCTTATCCCGTTTTGATCGGAACCGGGGTTGATTCAGGTATGTGTGGTGCGTTTGGCGCGTTGTCTTGGGAATATCCATCGATTCCCCGACACACAACCCTTTGTGAGTGAGAGAGTGAATGAGTGAAGGATGAAGGAGAAGGAAGATGAGGGCCAACTTGAGATATTGAACTCGGCTTGATCATGTACATCCTTATCCATCAATTCAATCACTACTACTTCTACTTCATTCATACAATCAATCAATCAAAGAGAGATAGATAGAGCATGTTCAGTTTCCTTAGAAAGAGAAGCTCAACTTCATCGGTGCCAAATAATAATGTTGGCTCGAAGACTACAACAAATGCCTCATCACAGGCATCATCAAAGAGTTCATCATCACAAAGACATAATAAGACTGTGATCGAGAGGAAAATATCGGTATCGGACGGTGGTGCCGCACCCAGAGATGCCGTCAGTCTGGGGCATGGCCGATCAGAGGTCACACGATCAGACTCACAAATACTATCAAGGCTATTCCAAGACAATAATGGCAGCAAGAAGGGTGGATCGTCATCGTCAGGCAGGAAGTCAACATACACAGAGAAGGAGATATTCCCTGGCGGAGTCAAGAGAGGTGTAAAGGGAATAATGATGGTTGGCGAGGGCAATGAAGATGTGTTGTCACGTGCCAGAACTTATATCAACACATCAGGCGAGCTACACTTTACAGACGAGGACTTGGATCAATACATGTTGCAGCCTTCTTCATCATCATATTCATCATCACCATCACCAGTACTCAACTCCAACTTTCCAACTAGTTACACTGAGCCACATCAGCCTGTACTCAGGGTGCCAAACATCGTGTCCATGTCCAAGTTTGGCTTTGAACAAGACGACGAAGACGATGACATGTTCTGGGATGAAGAGATGCCATCACGTCTCAATGGTCTTTCTCAATGGGCTCCAAACTCGCCAGAGATCATCTCGACATCCGCCCCCAAGACCAAGTCAACACAGTTTGCAACTGAGTTTCCACAAACTCAAGAGGTTGTTGTCGACAGCTTGACACTCAACGACAACAATGGATGCTTCAACCTTGAGGATCTTACAACATCACAAGTCATGGCACATATTGAGAGAGAGGAGGAACAACCCGCGCTATCAGAGCTGGAAGATGCAGACTTCCCAACAGAGGACATCTCCAAACTTGATACTTCAGTTCAGTTCATTGTCAACGGCCAGGCCACTCAACAACATCACCAACAACATAATGATGATGATACAATCAGTCAACTATCAGATGCAACCGATGCCTCTGATACATCCGAGTCATTCTTTGAAGAACATACTCCACAAGTCACATCCTTGGACGACTTGGTTGACCAACTGCCAGTTTCCGACCAGCATCTGAAACATGTGGCTGCCAAGGAGATGGACGATGACAAGAGAGCGGCCATCAAAGCTTCATACGAGGCTGGTATCCTAGAGCTGGAACAGCTTGAGTTGGAAGTGCTGGGGAGCAGGTCCAGCAATCAGGTATCCGTGTCCGTGCCAGTGCCCGTGAATGTGCCCGCTGTGGCTGAGCAGCAGGTGTCGTCCGAGCAATCCACGCCAACATTGAGCCCATTGCTCAATGATGAACCCGACATATTCAAACTATTATCCGATATGATTGCTTCGCCCTTCTCCAATCAACTGGTCAACGACAGTATCGAACGACTCAAGGTGTCCAAGGAGGCCAAGCCACAAACATCATTGCAAAGGATGTTTGTAAATCCAGTGTAATAGGAGCTACAGCTTGAGCTAGATCTAGAGCTAGAGCTAATAAAAAACCTGTTGTTGTTGTAACATCTCATCGCTGATGTCATGTCATGTCTTGATTGATAGATAGATAGTATCGTTTAAGGTTTATTGGTGGCGGATCGATGGTACTGTATGTCTTCCTTCTTCCTCATTCATCTAGAGGATGGTATATAAACAAGCTGTAGGTTGAGTGTAATGTATGTATGACTGATTGATTGTAGTTGTGCTGATACAACTGCTACGACCATTGCTCGCCAGGTACCTGGAGAGTCGCAGCAGGGGACTGTTATGTATGTTAGTGAATGATTGTTTGAATGTTGCTGCTTAATGAGCTGGAGCGTTGTGAATGACGTTCTCTGGACGCTCGCGACGATTAGCATAGACGTCCAATGTATCGGTGTGCAGCTCCTTGGCTGACTTGAGGTTCTGAACCTCGTGCTCCTGAGCAAGAGTGGAGTGATCGTCGAGGAGGAGCTCGCGGTTGGCAACGTCCTCTTGGGTGGCGGGACGGATGAAGCGGGCGGGGCTGCCACCCCAGACCTGGTTCTGTGGAACGACGGTGTTGGCGGGCACGATCGAGCCGGCCTCGAGCGAGGCGCCCGACTCGATGCGGACGCCCTCCAAGACGATGGAGCCAGTGCCAATGACGACGTTGGAGTCGATCGAGCAGCCGTTGAGGATGGCGCCTGGGCCGACGTAGACGTTGGTGCCGATGGTGGTCTGCTTGTCGCGTGTTGCGTTGATCACTGTACGGTCGCTGATTATCGAGTTGGTGCCAATAATGATCGCATTGGTATCACCGCGCAGAACAGTGTTGTACCATACTGATGATTGATGTCCGATCCTAACACTTCCAATCACACTAGAGTTTGGAGCAATGAATGCTTCTCTTCCCAAATGTGCAATGTTTCCTCTGAATGGCATAACTCTGCTATGTCTATTCACTATATATCATCGTCGTCATTGTCATTGTCATGTGATTGATTGATTGATGTTAGACTTGATTCGTTCATTCATTCATTCATTCATATCTCTTGTGTCTGTCTCTGTCCCTGTATTCATTCATTCATTCATTCGTTGAATCGATGATCATTGACACGTACATTTCTCGATGTAAGCATAGTTGCCTTGGATCGAGCAGCCTAGTCTGTCCAAGGCCTTGCCAGTCGATCTGATTGAGTCGCCCAATACAGCAAACACAGTCTTGAACATCTCTTTATATATATATGATGTGTATCGAAGTAATGTAGTCTGATTGATTGTGTTTGTTGTAATATATGTTGTTTGATTGATCTTTGATCATTGATGTGTGAGGGCAAGGGTACGACCCAATGATCGTTTTTCGATCATACAAGCTGAAAAATTTAATGCCCGGGCATTACCATTTTGAGCCTGATACTGCCCCCATTTAGTAATGTAGTTGTACTGCACATGTGAATATGTTGTTGAATCTTAAGTACTATAAATGGTTAAACAGATAGATAACATTATATACAACACAGTTACTTATACTAAGAATCAAATACTTGGAAAGAGATAGATAGAGGATTGACAGGAGGCAGAGGGAGACAAGAAGGAAGGATGTTGGATACATTATCAACATACATACTCAAACATTTATTTAGTTGTATAAGTAATGATGTAGATATTATTTGTTTGTTATTATGTTGTCATAGATTTTATGATCAAAGACAGACTATTGTGGTGTTGCAAACATCACAGATTAGATTACTGTCTTTGATACCATTGCTAAAAGGTCTGAAGATTGCAGATATCAATCAGACTACAAGTTTGAATGAAACACATGGTATTGACCGACATGGAAACCTCACCATCTTCAAGTGGCCAACCGAGGATGAAGATGCGCCTTCGCCAATCCCCAACACCATCACACAGTTAATATTGAGCCCTGATACTCATGTTTCAAGATATGCCACCAAGCTGAAACCAACCACTTTGCCAACGTCCCTGAACACATTGCTGCTGGGTAGACAATTCATTCAGAAGATCAAGCCCGGCGTGCTCCCCAATCAAATTACATCACTCACGTTCATGTACAAATCATGGTACAACCATCCTTTGGCAATTGGAGCGCTGCCCAGCTCACTTACTGATCTTCAGTTCAAGTTCTCTGCGTCATTCAATCAACCATTGATCGTCGACTCACTTCCAAACACACTCCGACGTCTGACTCTTGGAAATACCTTTAACTATCCGATTGATCCGGGTGTCCTGCCACCTTCGCTCATCTATCTGAAGTGTGGATCAAGGTTCAATGAGCCATTACAGGTCAAATCACTCCCTCCATATCTCAGCTATCTGATGCTTGGATCAGACTTTAACCATCCAATCAAAGTTGGTGTACTTCCGCCAAATCTACTCTACTTGAACGTTGGGTCCACATTCAACTTTAGTATCGAAATTGATGTCTTGCCACCAAAGCTGGTCAAGTTGGTGTTTGGCTTCAGGTTCAACTCGGTCATTGCCCGCAACGCCCTTCCATCATCGATTGAATCCATTCACTTTGATTCCGACTACAACCAGCCAATGGAGAATATTGGACTTCCAAAATCCCTACGCAAATTACGCTTTGGCTGGGAGTACAACAGTGCCATACCTCCAAACATGCTTCCTCACTCACTTACAAAGCTCAAGTTTGGCTACCAATATAACCAACCGCTCGTCCCTGGATCTCTCCCTCCATCGCTAAGACGGCTGATGTTTGGTGCGCGATTCAACCAGCCAATGGTCGCTGGTACACTCCCCTCATCGTTAACTGAGCTGATAGTGGATGGTAACATTACCAATCTTGGTAATGATCAAGGAGTGTTGCCACCAGGTATTCGTTGTCTGCGACTGGCCATGAACTTTAATCAACAACTCACTCTTCCGCCAAAGCTCACTGACCTAACATTTGGTTATCAATTCGACCGGCCAATCCATATCGATGCACTCCCTCCAACACTAGTCAACCTGACGTTTGGAAGTGATTTCAACCAGCCACTTGTGCCAGGCTCGTTGCCCTCCAGCCTTAGATCAATCACATTCAACGCACATTACAGCCATGTTCTGGCACCGGGCACAATGCCAACGTCGCTCACCAGTATCACCATCGAGTTGTCGCATTTCAACTGCTATGTTGACTTGTTCCCATCCATCCCATCTGCAGCCCGCGTCTGTCTGGTGTCACACAGCTACGACTTTGAAAAGCTGAGCCAACTGGGCAAGCTGTACAGGCATCCTGACGTCCTCAACTATGTTGTCAAGGGTGTGACACATGATATCTCCCTTCGCATCTTGGACGAGAAGTATACCCTAGTTCTCAGACCTGATCTCGTCGGAGGTCTAAGATCAACAGACATTGTATTCAAGACCTCCACTGGCAGCAATAGCAACAGATCCAGTAAAAGTGATACTAATAGTGATGGTGATGGTAATTCACGTGAACCTATTGTCAATGGCGATCACGACGATTCAATCATCACAATGGGACAATGATACAGACATACTTCTGTCTTATCAGTGTTGGCATTACAATGATGATGAAGAATATCGTTGTGAGTGTGGTGGAGTGTTGCCATGACGACTGTCTAACCCCCACACGAAACCACTCACTCACACACGTATCTTACTACTTTCACCAACTTGGAGCCAACTTCTGCTTCTTTGAACATATATGCGCCACAAAAAGTGGTGTTCGAACTCAATCTGGCGAAGATAATATAATATAAATTGTTGTACGATATTTAAACAAACAGATACAGATAAAGATAATAATATAATACAGATAATAATACAGGACTTAAGTAACATGCTGTAATGGGAGGAGTACAAAGTAAAAAGTTGTTAAAGAAATGTAAATGTCAACAACTAGGTGTCAGCTGAGCATCATCTTAGCATTAGTATTAGCATTGAGAGAGAACTGACACATACATATACACATATATAGTGGAGGCGAGTGAGGTTGAGAAGATCACAACTTTATTCAATGATTTGTCATCAGTGGTGAAGAAGAATAGGATTGTGGACAGGGATGGATTCAAGAGATTCCATTTCCTCACTGGTCCTCTGGGCGACAGATTGTTCAACCTGTTCGATATAAAAAAGACGGGAATGATGACACTCGAGGAGTTCCAGATGAGTCTAGCAGTCTGTGGCAAGGGTACAGAGAAGGAGAAGGCATTATGTAAGTGTTGTTCGTTCATTGTGTATGTATGATTGAGCGAGGATACTAACTCTCGCCAACCACCAATCAATCAAACAGTGATATTCAAGTTCTTGGATATTGATGATGATGAGATTATAACGAAAGAGGAGTTGTCTGTTCTGTCATTGGTGACATTGGAGTCAAACTCTCCAAAGATGCCAGCTCCAAGACCTGCAGCAGCAGAGGAGACTCAAGCGGATAACCCAATCGTGGCAAGCTTGGTGGAGATGGGATTCACAAGGGCAAAGGCTCACCAGGCCATCAAGGCAACAGAGAATGGCACAAAGGGACAGGGTTCGTCACCAATGGAGGTCATTACTTCGTGGATACTACAGAATGAATCCAGTCCTGATATTGGAACTACACCAGATGTGCAGCAGCAACAGCAACAGGTGTCACCGAGACAAGTCGTCTCTGTGAAGCCTGACCAAAAGACGATGGATGAGTTGACGGCTGGACTGGCCGTCTCCACAATCTTGGGCACCTTTGAGGCACTGTTTGACACGATCGACAAGGACAAGACAGGAAAGATCAAGTTGACTCAGTACAAGAAATGGTCACAGGCATCAAAGAAGCCACAAGAGCTGGATACACTCATCAAGCCAATCACAGGACTATTCGTTAGAGCATTAACATGTAAGATTGATTGGACTTCAAACAACAACAAGCATGTACTCGGCCACAGTCACACTCACTCGCGCGCATACACATTACAATAGGGAAACAACAAGGCGGTGATTTGGCATCAATCTCATCATCATCAGATAGTATCAGCGAGAAGACTGAGGAGAAGACAACAGCACAACCACCAGAGACCAGCGCAAAGGACTTGAAGAGGTTCTCATCAGTATCTAGCATTGATACATCAAAGACAAGAACACCACCGCCACCTCCAAAGAAGGAGGCATCTCTTGCCAAACTGGACAAGAAGGCAGAGCCTGCGCCAGTGTCACCTCGCGAAGATCCAAAGGCCAACAAGTTGGCCACCTCTGGAGAGCATGACTCATTCTCTGATTTCTCAGACAGTGATGACGAGTATGTGTAAAACACATTTGATTGACGATCAATCAGCTGATATCCTAACATCGTGATCATCACACAAACTACAGAGTCATCAAACCAGCGATACAGGTAGTGATTAGGGAGAAGCCAATCGAGCCAATCACAAAGGAGCCATCTTTGGTCGACTTTACACCTGATATTATCAAGCCAGAGAGAGCGCAGACATTGAGGATTCGTGGATCAAGACCAAGCAGCTCACGAGCCTCGCTCACCGGTGCCTTTGGCACCCTTCACCCATCGTCCCAGGCACAGCAGCTGTATGCTGCCATCACACCAACAACAACATCTGCCACTGCCGCCTCGACCTCATCCACCTCATCCACCTCAGCACCTCCAGCTGCCCATCCTGCTGTTCTGGCCACTCAGACATCGGCCTCGACCACAGCCAACAACACACCAGACTACATCTCAGACTCCTCGTCCACCATCTCCACAGCGAATGCTGGAACTCCATTCAAGACCATGCCAGCCGGCCTGGAATCAATGAAGCTATGTGTAAAATATTTAGAACAAGGAGACTTTGCCGAGTCCCGCACTCATCTAGACCAGTGCATCCAACAGATCAGTATGTCACTCATTCATTCATTCATTGACCAGACCTGGCAAGATCACTAACAATCAATCAAAACAGAACAATCGACAACAGACATCAACAGGATACGTAATGACATTATCTTTTGCGTTGGATATAGGGTTGCGCTTGCACTACTTGAGGAGATACAATTGTTGGATCAGCAATACAAAGCTTCGGACAATGAACAGGAACGAACGACCTTGATCACACGACTGGGAATCCTCTCGCGATATTTAGTTGGTCTTCCACTACAATCTCAGCATCGTATTGTTTGCGCCAACATGGCCGTCAGGTACAATCTAGAGGCCAGGAACTATGGCATCGCCTCAAAGACCATCGATCTTCTACTACAGCAACAACAACATATCGTGTCGAGTGAGGATCGCACTCGCCTGGAAGCACAGCAGGCGACATGTCAGGAGAATCACAACACGAACCACTCATTGCCAATATACTCGTGTCCCGCGTGCAAGGCCACCAGCTCACCCATTGCCGATGACCGTGTGTTACCATCGGCATGCTCCTGTAACCAACCATACCGCTTCTGCTTCAGCAAGTTTGAGCCGATCAAAGAGCAGGACCACCTGGCCTGCGACTACTGCCACTCTATCACCACAACCAGTAACAAGGCGTCCCCATGCACCATGTGTACGATTGGTCAAGTGGACATTCGCTCCTGAGGAGTGGAGTCATCATCATGACCATTTAGATCCATCCTATACCTGTCCTTCCATCCTACCTTGTCAAATAAATCACAGAATCGGTATACTTCATTCATTCATTCATTCATTCGTCCATTCAATAAATCATCATTCATAACCATGTCGGGAAGTGTTGTTTTGAACTTAGACCAATCAATAATGAATGCGAAGGGGTGTCGGCGTCCGTCTAGGAGGTCCAATCAATGACACGCTGAAGGGGTATTTCATATTCCAAAAAAGGATATTGTTGCCCAAAAGTTAAATTAAAGGACCAAACATGTTGATAGAGGTGAGTGATCTGACTTTACAGGCTGGTGAGCCAAGCTAAGTAAGTGAGCAAGTGACTCTAAGGGGGTGAGGTGAGGTGATTGAAGAAGGTAATCTTGTTTATTGCTTGTTTGAGTGAGAGTGTGTGAATGTGTTGCGATGGTTGAACAAACTTGGAAGTGAGTGAGTGAGAGAGCCACTCTACACCAACCCTCAAAGGATGTTTGAAGTGAAGTGTTAACGTTCATTCATTCATTCATTCATTCAGCCAGTCTTTGATGATTCTCTGTCTCTCTCTTTGACATTTATAATATGTGTACACATACATATAAATAAATATATCAATCAAAAATAACAAAGAACACAACCAAACAACTAACAAACATACTTAAAGAAGGATGTACACACCGCGTACTGCACAAATGGATGCGGAGGATGTCTCATTGCTCAATCCTTTCTTTTATACTGGTTCTGATTTGTCATCACCTACAACGATGGACATTTGGAATGATAATACCAGTTATGTTCCTCCAAATACAATGACTGAACAACAACACAACTTTAAAACATCTATTGCATCACCATCAATGACAACCAGAACCTTGGGCTTGAGCAACCCGCCAACTCCATCATCATCAAGGCCAAGCCGACTATATGACAATCAACAAGGATTGAAGAATCTACTGTTTATGGAAGATGACGATGATGAACTGGATCTAAAGACAAAATACTATATTAAGCCATTCAATCATAATCAAACAAAGAGTCAACAGCATCAACAAACACCTAGCAGACTGTTCACTCATACACCTACAACATTATCAACAGAAGATAGTAAGCAACAGGGCAATGGTGGAAGTAGAGCTGGTTTCACATCAATATTGTCACGTCATCCTATGGAACAAGGTTCGCCCTTATTCGACTCACCTCCACTTAAACCAAACAAAACAACATCATCTTTATCATCACCATTATCAACAACAACTACTTCAACATATAATAAGCATAATAGATACGCTACCAGTGGTACCAGTCCCAACCCTTCGTCGCACTCATCCCCATCAATGGCACACTCGCCATCATCCGTCAATACAAAGAGTGCTGGAAACTCATCTCCTACATTTGGAAAAGCAATTCAACAAGAAGAGGAAGACAATGATCACTTTAGTTATGAAGACGATCAGATCAGAGAGTTGACAACCAACGACAATGACTACTTTGTTTGCCAAGCTTGTGGCATGCAACAGTACCATCAAGTTCATCATCATCACCATCATCAACCACAACAACAACATCATGAGCTGGACTCGAACCCCAACTCTGAGTCTCACTCTACTCCTCCAACATTCAACGTCATTGAACTGCTCATCCAGCAATGGTCCAAGATATCTCAACGTGTGTCCATGGTGGCGCTCAACGAGACTGGTGGCGGACGCGGTTCAGTCGGCCGTCCCACCACCCGCAGCGGAATGTCCTTTTTTGTTCGCCTGTCCATCCTGCCCTTCCTGCTCAGTGCATTCGTTCCCTTTACATTCTGCGTTGTCTGTTTCTTAATCGTTCTATCGGCTCTCTCCCTGTCCACACTGGCGGCCTTTGTATTCCTGTTGCTCACAACACCCTTCTTCATTGTGGGCATTGTCGGCTTCCTCTACGTGGCCACATTCATCATCAACGGTTCAATCGTGGGTGGACATCGAACAGTCATAGTTCTTGGCGTCTCACTCTTTGAGCTGCTCATAAAGTCGGTGCACTCAACCATCATCTATCTGGCCAACATGTACAAAGGTATCAACAATGGCAGATCACTTCGACACAGATAGAGTGAGTGACATATATTCAACCAACTCCACAAATCCAATTATCTGTATCATACATACAACTTAACCTGTCAGACATGCTCATCCACTTCCAATGTTGTGCATGGTCTCTCGCGCTCCAACAAGTCGGTTGAAGTGCGCCTCGCTATTTCATTCCAAAGTATCGTCCAGTCCAATAAATGATAATATCCACATTTATTTCTGATCCAAGTCGATACATCCTATTGTTGCTGACGCCTTTGATTATATACAATAATAGACCGTCTCTGTTATAAATAATGGAAGTGTGTATTGTTGCCTGCTACCAGTTTACAAGTTGCTGCGACCTTTTGGCACTGCCTGTCTTCTCCTCTCTTCTCCTTTCTTCTCTTCTCTAGTCTTGTGTTGTCTTATGATACATGTTCGTATTGTATATCTTGTTGTTTGATTGAATGAACACTATCAATCCCATAAGAATAGCATTCCAACAAATGATTCGTATTGAATGTATCCAGAGTTCTGTGGATCGGCCTCGTAGATCATCTCCTCAATCTATTGTTGGTTGAAGGATAGTCTTTGTGTTAATCAACTCGTTCTGTCTTGTTGCTGTAGTGTTGTTGATTGTTGTTGTTGTTGTGTTTGACAAACATACCTCATCATGTGGCATCATGTCTCCGAGCTCAGTCAAGACCTTTCTCAAGTAGTCCACAGTGACGTATCCGTTTCCATCACGATCGAACACTTTGAATGCTTCGATAACTTGTGCCTTGGTGTTGACGTGGTTCATTCTTATTTATATTATATTATATATGTATGTATATGTATGTTATGACTACTGATTGATTGATAGTTTTGTTTGATGATAATTGTTTTGTAAACAAAGTCTCCCATCATTATGTCAAAAACCCACAAATCAGATGGCTTTTGATTATTATTTGAATCTATTTTTTGTGACTGATGCCAGTCTTGACCTCTTTTTTTTTAGAGTTCTTTAGACTTGATCCTTTAATGTTGTAGTAATAATAACAATAGGTATGATGTCAGAGATAATAGATTCTTTGTAACACGATAAATATCTAATTTTTGATATTTTTTAGTTTGATCGATTGATTGAATCAACAACCAAAACCATAATTCAAATAAGTTTCAAACAATCATGTGCTAAAAGTAGTGTGAAGAATAAAGATTAGATGGGGAAGTGCACCGGTGCCCTGTTACTTCGATTAACATAATCTCAAACAAACTTTCACTTGAAATGAAAAGCTTACTTGGCCTGCGTATACCCATTCGACCAAGGCAAGCGCCTCGGACGAATGACCACAGACACCGCCATCACTTCCCTTTTAAATCTTTGATCTTTGATAATAGATGGATCTTTGATCAATCATAGATGGATTGTAAGTGATTGTCATATGACCATTGTCATTGAGACCTTACGATGGTTCGGACCAGGAACGGGACCAACCCCTGGGCTAAGTGGGGGTCGGATAACCCTTTTGCCAAAGAAAAAAGGTAGAAACGAAAGATCTCAACAATGTCGAGAATGACCCGAGGATAGAGTTGACGACACATCATCATCATCATTGCAACAATAACAAAAACAATACACATAACCTTGTAAAACAGATAAATATACATCATACATTGTAATAAAAATGGAACCATTAATCAATGTTGATAGTTCAGTTGACTCGAGATGGACTCGTCTTGGAATGTCAGACTTGCAAGACATACTGAATGTGAATGCAAAGTCATTCTTGAACGATCAGTATCTCAACTATATGTTCCACGAGATTGAAAAGGAGGAGAGAGCACCATTCATTAGAGCAATTCAAAAGGCGTTCATCAAGCAGACGATTGGTGCCAATCAGAGTTATTGCATTGGTGACAAGGCCACTGATGGCGTTCGTTCACTTGCCCTAATGTTGCCGCCCCAGGTTTCCTGGCCCGAGGACCTCTGGGAGGTCTACACACAGAAGCAAGAGAAGATCCTCCTCGGTCGATCACTCACTGACACTTACGATAGATTCATTGAGCTCGAGGGTATGTATCATGTCGCGTGTCTGGTCACGCTCAATCACTCACTCTATCAATCAATCAACCAATCAATCAACGTAACATAGAGTTCTTCTCTGAACGATTCGAACACTTCAATGCTATCGATGGATACTACTTGTTGATATTGTCAACTGATGAGACTTATCGTGGACAGGGATTGGCCAACAAGATTATGAACATATTGGTGGAGAAGTTGGACAGAGAACAAAAGTCATGCTATCTCGAGTGTACAAACTCCAAGCTATTGACATTCTACGAACGTTATGGATTCCAAGCATTGCAGACTACAAACCTACCTATCATTCCAGCCAACATCTCATTGGATCTCGTTCCAAAGGTTACATTCTTTAAGCGAATGCCCAAGCCTCTGACATCGAATCAATAAATGAATGAATGAATGAATGAACATGTGCAAGGCATATACTATTTTACTTACGTAAGTAAGAGCTTTTGATTGATTGTTTGATCTTAAGTGTATCCTAGTTCACTCTAAACATAGATATTTATAATATTACTTCACACAAGTTGATGAGGAGGCTATTTGATCTGAGATGATTGAATGATTGAATGATTGATCATAGATTGGAGATGTGTATGTGATTAACACCTCCACTTCCTTGATAATATCAAGTGTAATGTAGGAAGACAACAGACATAGTAACACCACTTCAATGAATGTCCTCACGCCCTTGGAAGGTCGACCTTCCTCGTCCTGTCCTTGGACGATGGATTAGCTAACCAAACCAAACTAATCCAAACTTACCTTGTTGTTGTTGTTGTTGAATGAACTGTTTGAGTTTGAAAATGTTGAACTAAGTTTGTCAACAACAGAGTGAAGCTTTTAAAGTATACAATCATACATACACAAATAACTATCTTTGGATAATCAACCAATCCAATCCCGGTTGCCACCATCTTGTGTTATTATTAGCGCCTGATGCATTTTGAAACGAAATGTTAGCACTGGAATAGTTGTCGTGAACTAAAGACGGCCTTCGCGGGGCCTAAAAATGGCCCCCATTACGGGTTTGCTTTTTCTCAAGTCAGTGTGACACCCCTCTCTTTGATTGGGTTTGGGCGATTTACCGGGCCTGCCTCCACAAACAGCAACAATGGGCAATCACCATGGTTCCTGATTTGGATAAGGGCGCCCTGTTTGCAAACAAGGTCCACCACCAACCGTGATGTTGATCCCCATCAGTCATTGTAAATGATATCTTTGAGGTACAGTCGTGTCGTGTGCATGGATGGGTCTGTCGGGGATTCTCACCAAGCAATCGATCATTGGTTGATCACACTTCTTAAGAGTGTACAACTATCAATCTGACAGTCATTGTTGATTGATTAATCATTCTACGTCTACAATTAGATAGATCAGCTTTGTTCAGCTCCAGCTCTCAACACCTCCCCATTACTCAAGTTCCTTCGTGACCAGTTCCTACCTACCTTATCAACTTGCCTGTCTGCCTACCTTGCACATAAAAGTGAGTGTTTGACCTTCTCCTCCTCATCCTCATCCTATTGAAATAATATTGGTTTGTAGAACATTCCTACATCCATACTTGTTCTTTACTTGTAATTGTAACACTACCAACAACAACAACAACAACATTACTGATTGATTGACTGATCATTATCATTCATTCATATTCATTCAATCACTTTATCTCTTTATCAGTATCAACTTCACACACCCACATCATTACCAACATCATCACTATTACCACACCATCATCATCAACATTACCACATCAGGCCATCAGTCCAAGTTCCATTATCCATTATCCATTACCACACACACACACACACATACACTTCTCGTCACTCTTAGAGTCAGACGGACATCACTATACCCAAACCTCTGGTGTGATGATATCACTTTCGGTGTCGCCTACAAATCACATCACAGCCATCCAGCTCCAGCCAGCCAACAGCACACAGCCACTGCCACCCATTCATACCAACGTCTGATCATCATTCCACATCAGTCCAGTCCAGTCAATCAATTAATCAAACAATCAATCAACACACCTCTTCAATAACAAACCATCAATCTCCTTTACTCATCAGTCTACAGCTTCTGAAGCTCCACATCC